GATGCCAATGTCTCGAAGACGATCTTGCTTCTCGAGGTAGATGTGGTTGCCTAGACTGTCGAGACCTTGGAGGTCTTTGGTTTTGTTATACGGGGTACTCATCTTGAGAGGAATGGGAGGAGATTGTGCCGGTGCTAGTGGTGGTAATGCTTGTGATGGTAGCACTTGAGTAGTTGGTGTTTGAGTAAGCGGTCGTTGTCGAATGAAGCTTTCTTGCGTAGGTAGTGTCAGAGTAGGTGGTGATCGTGATGGTACTGCTCGCGCAGGTAGTAATGGTGGAGATCGTGATTGGGGAGATAAGGACGATGGTGATGGTGATGGTGATGGTGGTGGTGATGGTGATGGTGGTTCTGGCTGCGGAACTTTTGGTCTTTGAAGTGCAAGTTTATCAAAAATGTCCATCCGAGTTCCTCCAGATGAAATTGAGAATGACGAAGAATTTTTTCTTCAACAGCTGGAGAGTATGAGCTACAGAGTAGACCCTAAGGAGCAGAGGACGCGGGTCCCCCTCGTTACTTATCATCCAATTCTCTTTACGCGAATCGCCTCCAACCTTCTCGCCGGAGGTAGTCAGCTAACTTTTGCCTTTCCAACATGGTCGTTGTTTGCAACAAACAGGTCATTTGAGGCCCAAAGTAGCCTTCCTCTTGCCTGGTGTCGACAATACCCGATTCAGGTCTGTAGGCATCTCCATCGGGTTGCTGATGTTGACGGTACGGCACTAAGAGGCTTGGAACAAACAAATATTTGATCATCATCCCGCACGCGTAGTAGGCCTCTCCCTCCCGTGAGTCGAAAAGTCTGCTGCCGATGATAAAACGGACATGAAGGGTTTGATGTTACTGGCTGGTCGGTATCGGCGCCACCGCAAACGGAGAGTACGGGAGTCGGTAACTGTTCTCATGCTAGCAAACTCGATGCAATTTTCCTCCTCTTCTTTTTTTAATTTTTTTTTTTTTTGGGTTTTTTTTTTCCTTCTTTTTCTGTCTTTCGGGATAATGAAACCTCAAAGCCTTCCTGGTGTGGTTGCTCTCAGCAGTCATTGCTCGTTGTTGATTTGTTTGTTTGTTTGTCTGCATGGGCTCATTGATTTCACTACCCATCCCCTACCATCTCCATCTGTGCGAATCGCTCAGGTTTGCAATGAACTTTGCCGTGAGGATCTTCACGGGATGGTCTTTGAGCAGGAAATGAATTCACAGCTTGTCGACAGATGTTATCGAGAGATCATCTCAGTCGGTGGCGATTGATCAGTAGGCATGTAGGAGACCATATAGATCATTCTCTACTTTGCTGGAGCCAAACGCAGCCGTGACAGCGTCGTTGAATTCTGCTTCCCAAGTACCAAATACTGAGAGCTGTTAGAACCCGCCCCCATTTTCGGGACGACCTGACAGGCAGAGACAAGTGACTTGGATACCTCTTCTATGACGAGTCCTCCGAAAACCGAGCGGCCAGCTTACCGCTCCCCGCTGCAGACACTCAACGAATTCAGTTTCACCTCTGACTGAAAGGCCAATATAGCAAATTCGTGCAAGACTTTGAGCTTGTCTCGACTACCTTATGAAAACCCCTTCTGCCAATGTCGGCGTTGAGAGTCAACAACAGTATCTGATGAAATGTGAAGTTATTGGTACTTCTAGATTGTGTCGCAGCTGCCCCGTTGGCGCATGCGTAAAGAGGCGCTGCGGAACTTTAAGAAGGGGAGAACGCTTAAAATTCTGTGAGAGTGACTCGAGTATCAAGGATCAAGGAAGGGACCACGAGCGCTTCAAGGAGAGGGCTGATTACGCGTCGTTTGCTCTACATGGTTGAACAAGCCTGATCGTCGTTATGTTCCCGTAGCAGTGAAGGTCAAATGCGCATCACTGCAGAGCGAGCACCTCTTGGTCCAGCTTATGCAACTCAATACCACACATTAGGAAAAAAAAAAAAAAAGTATTCGGACAGGACTTAGGGAACGAGCAAAGAGCGCCTATGGAACAAAATAAGAGAAATCAAAGGCATACGAGGACGGGAAACAGAAAAAAGAAAAAAAAAAAGAGGTGAAAACTATAGTGGTAGAGGAAAGGAACAAAAAAAGGAAAAAAGATTGCGCCAGCCGCGAATCGAACGCGGGGCCCATCGATGGCAACGATGGATTTTACCACTAAACCACTGGCGCTTCTTAATAATCGATGTATGAATCCCTCTGAATCTGTGCTTATAGCATACATGCAAAGCCGCAGTTGCCGCAACAAGCCTGATACCCTCCGGGCATTGCCAACGACACTCCAAGATTGCCCAAGTTCTAGCCAGCAACTATCAAGTGTGTGAAGATTATCTCCAAACCCTTTCTCTTAAGGTTCAAGATTGACTAGCTCTAAAGGAAAACCTCGTACCTTTGTGGCGCACAAAAGCAAATCATACCTTGTACCCAAGGTCTGCAGCTTGGAAAAAAAACATGATTCTGGCTCAATCCTTCCGATATTGCCGGAAAAAAATCCCAGACATTTTTGATGAAGGTGACACAGAAAGCGAAGAAGACCTCGAAGTTGGGGCGTCATTGCGGCTATCTAGAGGTAGGCACTCTAAGTGACTGCCCATCATCTGTCACGGTAGCTCGAGCAGAACTTGGGTATCACTGCCCACTGAACATCCGGATAGTTTGACAGCGAAGGATGCGAGTCTACAGTAAGATAGAGGGTAGGATACGGTCATTAGTGATTTGTGGAAGAACAGGGGTTGTCACGGTAAGTGCCGGACTCTGGGAGAGGATTTCATACTCGGTGACTACGAGACCACTGCATCTCCACACTACCTCTAGGTATGTATGCATCACTGGTGGTAATGGACGCCGTTGACTTAACTGACTGGCGATGAGTGGTTGTTTTGTGGAGGGACTCGAGTTTGTGTGTGAATTGCCGAGTTGAAATCTGTGAAGATTGAGAAACGCTTGTCTCATTGTGAAGACTTATTCCAATGGACTGCTTAGAAGTGCACGTCAGTGAGTGATGATATCTGGTAATTACAGCTTCTCATCTGTGAGATAGACAGTTCTCTTCCCCAGTAGATTTTCATGGGAAGCTTTCCAACATGGGGAATGGTGGTTTGCGAACAATGAAGCCCATCAATCTACCACAGATCCATCACCAGACCGTGAAAGTAAAAACTGATCATCATTAATAGCGTGTGGCCTCGTAGAAGGTAGCGTCATATTATTCAGCCAGCAACTATCCACGGCTAATCTCTCCAATGGTCACCTATCATCGAATATGTTATATCGCTGTCTGGTCGTCTTGCTCCTATAGTCGAGTGAGTAAGTATCCAATATCTGATGTTTGTTGATCCGACTCTGTATGTGGTATTTCTTTCTTCCTCCCAATGTTTGCGGATCATGATATGCTTCTTCCCCGCAACAGGCATTTAGTAAAACTTGGTACGCCCAGATCTGAACTTCGAACGGTTCTGTCGTGCTTCCTTCCTCCGCAATACTAAAGTGGCATGGAGGTAGGTACCTCTAGAAATATCCGAGAGAGGAGGATGTGAGGAGGTTAGGCAGACTGCAAACTGCTAACACATCCCGCCCGACCATTGCGATATTTGCCGACACGTGGTTTTTGACATGCAGACTGGGACACTTCATTCTACCGATTGGACGACAATGTTGTTGAACGCTCTGTGGCTGTTATGTTCAAGAACAAATGGAAAACTCAACGGTTGATCATGTGAGTTGCTTTCAGTTACTAGCACCAGGGAATGTGGCGTTCAAGATAGATGGCTGCCAGAGACCCGAAGTCAATCTGAGTATAGCGGTCTGTGACCGGGTTTTTCCAACTTCCACTAGGCCTGACAGCCTAACGCTTGCACAGCAGACTCTGGGCGCGATGAGTATATTCCAGCAGGACCATGATCAGTCCAGGCAAAACGAAGCAAAGGAAAGTAGCCACAGCGGATACTAGATGGATAACGGTAACACGATAAGGAGCCGGCGGACCTCTATGATCTGTACAGTGTACGGTCTCCCATGAAAATTTTTTGGTACTAACGTCGTGTCCAGAAAGGCCAGGTGCGATTCCACAGGTACAGACGGAGGGGAAGAAGCAATATAATTGTCATCACAGCCATGTTGTATAAGGACCTCATGATGTTGTCAAGCCAATGCCGGTATGTCAAGTCCGATGTGCATTTATGCGGGCTACCTTTCTTGATGTCGAAAAGAAGATGTCAATGGCCTTTGAATGCTTCGAGTTTGACATATTTGCCTGGTGCTTTGAAAATGAAAGCTGACACGAGTTTAGCAGAGTGTTGACTGCTTCTGATGCGCGCTCCATGGTGGTGGAAAAACGGCCCCTTTTCCGGGGACAAATGGCGGGGTGCATAAGGCAATATATCGCCGCAGGGGTTAATGCGACATATCGATGCGATCTTGCATGTTGTAACTCTGGTTGTCAGGCTACTTATCCGTACCACAGGTATAGCTCACCATCAGTTTAGTCGTGGACTCGGCCTGGACCAGACGGGGAAAGGCTGAGTGCAATACTAGGTATCAAGGTTGTTTTCCCGTCACGGCAACCCAGCTAGCAGTGATATAGAGTACGCGAAGACTGTACTTCGGTAGTTACCGAGAAAGCTCAAAACTATCATGATGAACTTTCAGCTATACGTGCTGAGGACCCTGAAGGCGGATTAAGTTGGATCCGTTCGAGCCCGATTCCTTCGATCAATACCTACTGTTAGTTAGCCAAACACACCAAGTTCGTTGTATTATATTGTTTGCTTGTGAAACATTAAAGGAATTGCGTTAAATCGTCTGAGCTGTAGGTAGGGTATGCGCATTTCTCGGCAGGATTCAGTATCAACAGCAAGAAATGCCCGAAGCTAGATCATATGCCACCAAACTTTCGGATGATCAATGAGATGTCCGCTTAAGGTGCGTATTACTATCCAGAGGAAGCGCTATGTCCCCTTGAACTTAGCATCGTGATGGACAAGAGAAAACTACCTGAGACTGAAGAAACATGGCCGCGCGCTTGCGATTAGATCATGCCCAGCAAGGTGTTTATCGGAATTCTGTGCTCGGGCTGATGATTTCTCTTGAGCTAGTGGTAAGGCGGTCACTTACAAGCTCATACAGAGGCGGGGTGAGATGTTGCTTCCTAATACGGGCGTCGGAGCTGTCGATAGTCCGGAGAAGACGTTCTTGGACGTTCAAGGATCGGGTTTGCGGCAACACTTCAGCGATGTGGCGATGGAGGAAGATGCCTATTGGCTCTCCAATACCAGTATGGCAGACCGAGTACAAGGGTATCAGAGCGGTTAGCAAATCAGAATGGACACCGCAGTGTGACCGGCAAGACTCAAGGTCGTGGTTGCGATCTGGCTTGCATGTGGAGTATCGGTCCGCCGGCCGGTCGGTCGGGCATCGCAACAAGGGTTCATTCTCCATGATCCTCGTCGTCATCTTCCCGATGGCAGTGTAGTGTTAAAACGAGGCTTCCGTGGAGTCCTTCCCCGGATTTGAGTTGAATGGGCGTGTGGAAGGTGCATTGGTGGCCTGGTCTTTGGTCAGGTATTTCAAGATGGTTTCCTGGGTTTTTGGTTCAGTTAAACTTCTTCATCAACCAACTCCTTGCTCTTGAACCCTCCACTCATGAGCACCACCACAGATTGGCTGCACACGGAGAAGGGGGAGACAAAGCGAGACGTCAAGGGAATCCACATATATACTTGGCCTGAAGACAGTCTTGGTCAGTTTTCCGGATCTCGGGGCTAATAACGTCAGGGTCTTCTGGTGACTACCTAGTCAAGACACTAAAAGAAGAAGGTTCAAGAAGCTCCAGTCTGCTCTAACCGATGGGCCTGCCGCGCTACTGTTGGGGTTGCAGGTGCAAGGCGGATTGGCGGCAGGGTAGCGTCCCAAGATTGTACGTAGTCTTGTACATCCTACCGATTCGGGGTTGAAGAGGCATGGTTGACGGAAGTGTCAAAGAACGGCCCGCTCAAGTGAGTCCCGAGCTGTCATGGGCGAGATTATGGAGGCCAGCTTCTTGTCCGAAAGGTATGGCACCGCACGGCTGCAACTCGACGGCGCCTACCATGGGACATGGAGACATGTAGGTACGGCTCCACTGCATGATCTCATCCATCTCGGTTTCTTTACTGACGATGGTTTCCAAAGAGCCTAGATGGTCAAGATATTGTGGCTAGAGGTCGATAGTTTCCGTAAATCTGGTATTTTTTTCATCCACACCACAACACTGCAAGTTGCTTGCTGTGGGTATGTTTCTCTGATCTTTAAGCGGTGCGGAGGGTTTAGCGAGTTAGGAAGTGATTTGCAACACTATTGTTCAAACAAAGCATCCACAGGTGATGACGAACGTTGGAGCACGCTGATCAGTTTCTTGTGAAACGCCCACCTGAAGATATCCAGACTTGGCGCTAGCGCTTTTTGATACCGGGTGCGTCTGTGGAGAAGTACATCAGTATGTAAAGTGTTGAGCGAACTGCCGGACGGGATTGTGACGTCGTTGGTAATTGAATGGGCGTGTAGCATTAGAGGTAGATCCGACTATGGAAAGTCTCTTTCTCGCTCTTGTGTTGGTCGATATGTAGTTCGCAGAAATTGGAGAAAAAGATAGATTATGTCTGATAGTAACAGAATGGAACAGTCTGGAACAGCAGAGTTCGATCAATACACGAGGCTAGACAAATCTGTAATTTCAGGTTCCAAGGACACGTCCAGATGGGCGTTGGGACGCGCGACTCAGGCAGCCCACGTGTAATCTACAGAAGGCGTTGTTCATGTAGGGGATCCTCGTCACTAACCCAAAAGATGAGAGCAAAAATTTGGAGAGAGCTTGTGTAGGTTGAAATTGAGAGGTGGCACCGTCCATCAAACCAGAGGAAGCGGGCGATATTTGATGCAAGAGGATATTGAAGAACAGTCGTCGCCACCGCGTAAATGAAAGTGGTGTTGTGTTGATTTCGCAGCAAAGGTGCACCTGTCAGTTCAGACCACAGAAACCCAAATGCGGAGAGCATAGAGGTATCGGACAACGGGAGATAAACGAGGAAAGAATAAAGCAGGTGACTACAGCAATGCTTGAGTTACCTGATATCTTCCTCCCTCTTGCCCCTCCTGCCAGTGTTGACTACCTAGGTACCTAGATAGCCAGCAGCTACATACAACCTGGAAAGCTCGCTGATCCCGTGGTTTTCGGCCGCTATAGTACCGAGTCGCGCACCATCGTCATCGCGATAGCAGTCATCGGCAGGGGCAGAGTCGGAAGCTGGCAAGCAGCCGCTCGCCCACAAGCCGAACATGACCTACAAAAATTTCTAGGTGGCTCCCGCCAAGGCGTCATGAGTGGGCACATGTGGATACCCCGCAATACTTGGCCGGATGTGGATCGGCTTGGCAGGTCTTTTGGTTCTCGGCGCTCTCCAGGCTTTCTTCACCCACAGTTTGCCCCGAGCCTCCCCCCCAGTTCCCCAGGGGCATCCCACGATTTCCGTGACCCCAGAAAACTCCAGAAAACCCGAAAAACGCGCCGTGGAGACCCCATTCCACTGCAACCGAAAGCGTCTTTTTGCTCCACCTCACATCACACTTGACTTCAATTCCAGCCGCCAAAATCCTGCGGACAACATCCAATTCGACACCACCCAAAGGTCAGATTGATTCCCGCGAATGCGGGCGTGCATGTTTCTGGCTGCCACCCACCTCCATCACGAACCAAGGACACTTTGATACACTGACACACTGTACACCAGATTGCCGCAACCAAGGCCTCCAGCGACTTGTTTATAGTGTACACAGTAGCCGGGAGCTGGGCGAACTGGGTCGATTTCCACCCATCCGGATGAGTCTAGAGCACGCCAGCAAGTCCGGGGTCAGAGAAGCTTCCACTTCCAACAATCTAACCGCACAGCGGGCGTCCCAGCAGGTGGTGGATATCTCCAAAAGACACCCCTGCTGGGTCGTGTTCCAGCGGCACTTTTGTGTGGACAAAGCCTGTCCAGACGCCTCCATTCTTCCCCACTAAACCCACATGTTGCCCCGGAGTGGCCCGGCACAAAAACATGGAGTAAGCTAAGCGACAGGCTACAGCTACGGTACCTCGACACCTCCGCTTTTCCCCCTCACCAGAGTCGGAATGGGCGATCGCAACGGCCAGAGTCTAGTTGGTTGCCATAGCAGCAGGCACATATACCTACACTACACCTACGGTGACTACACTACAGACAGAGACGAGAACGAGTATGGCAAGGCTGGTGACAGGTACCCTCCTACGCTTGGAGGTAGCAGGGGACGGAACCGGCCTGAATGGTCAAGGCCATCCCTTTCTGTCCTCAAGACCACTCCGCGCTTCGCAGCCATTCCTACAACTTGGTGCCGAAGCAAGAGGGGAGCACTGGGGAGGGGCCGGCAGCGCTTGAGCGGCAGGGGGTTGCAGCGCCCATTCGCCATTTCGCAGTAACGCTACCATCGTTTGGCCGCACCTGAGTCTCACGTTCAATCTCCTCTCGCTTTTAGATGCCTTGTCAAGTCATTGGGAAGCGCGTCGCCTTACCGGGACTTGGGAAACAACGGATTTTATGACGGACGAGACAATGCCGTGAGGAGAAAAACGCGGAGGAAATGCGGAGAAGAGAGAACGGGAGGGGATGCGAGAAAAATACCTACCAATTAGGGCAGTAGACCCTGTCGTTCCCAAATCCTGCCATTCCTCAGCGCCATGAGACATACGCAGTAGTGACCGGTCAGCCACCAAGTCACCGAGGTTTCAGCCTACCTCTACCTACCCCCAAAACCCTCCATCTGTCCAAAGTTGGGACGAATCCATCCTCAAGGTTCATCTGAAGTCCATGACTCGCTACATTCCAGGATGGCACAGTCCCCTACGTATTCAAGTGATAGTGTCCACGAGATCAAAGAGGCAGTCGGACCATATCAGACATGTTAACCATTGTCGGGACAACGACAAGCACCATCCGGCACCCAAACCCCTCAACGCCATAGGTTGTTCGCCCCTTATACCTACTCACAGTTGAATTACCATTCGTTGCATTTTCCGCCTTGTTAGCGGCTTGGGTTGGGCAATGGTTTGCTGTGCATACACCGTTCTTTCTGGGGGGCTACCACCCTTCACTACCACCATGATGCAGACGCACACCACTTCTTTTCTCCACACGAAACCACTTCCCCAAGATCCCTGCCAGTAGGCCAACCCAGTTTGGAGAGTGCTCCGCTGTGTGGAGGGAAGATGGTCCGTATATCACCAAGTGAACCCTGAGGCAGCGGCTTCCACTTTCCCAGGAGGAATTGCACGAAACCCGCTGTCATGTTTTTTTCCCTCTCCCAATCTCCCTTCCAGCATCCTACCCAGCCTGCGCTACATCCTCTCCTGCTCTGGAGACAGATTCACGTCTCCCCAGGCTTCTCCCGTCCCGCCGCCCTGTATACATATTGCCTTCGCAATATAAGCTCGTTACCTTAGTATATTGTCTCTGCCCAGAAAGGAGGCGCGCTCACCAATTGGATCTGGTCTGGTCAGTCCTCATCGACCTCGCCGTCAACCTCACGTTGTATATGCACGCCAAGCATACATAAACTCTTGCCCAAAGTGCAACCAAGAAGCAGGAACCGCTCTCAAGAAAAATTACCGACGTCTTCCCCTGTTCGAATCCGGTCTCCTTTAGCCCTTTTGGGCTTCTCTACTCCCTCCGACTCCTGTCCACCACTATACGGCATATAGTTGGAGGCTGAAGATATAGACAGTCACCCGGTCCGGACCACAACCACGAGAGACAACAACTGCAAGACGGCGACCATCACGACTAAGTCTTACCCCTAACTGGCGGGCTCGGGAGAGCGAAGACACCACTCCCTAGTCCAGGAATCTCCTGGCCGTCCTGTCTTGAACCACATTCTGCGCCATGTACGTTCACACACCCTCCTCTTTGCGTACCACCCCACCATCATCATGACCACGTTCTCAACGGGGGCCGTTTCGATCATGTCTGCTCACTCTTGCGTCTGGCCCGCCACCTGGTCAACTTCTCTTATACCCAAGACCCGCCATATTATGCTGGCCCTGCTGCCTTCGTGCAGATGGATTGTACCGGCCTTTATTCTCACCCATGTTGACCTCTCCCGCAGCGTGGTGCCCCTTCTGCTACCTACCCTATGCTCCTGTCCCGTCCCTGGGCATCTCCACATCGGTTTCTAGTTCCCCCTGTTAGACTACTGCTGACCAGTCCGGCTCCCGCCCGGCAGCTCATCAAGCTTTTGCGCCAAGGGTTAGGATATAGATAGCGCTCACCTCTTCATCCTCGCCGACGACGTTTCTGTCTGTTACCTGTGACTACGACTGGTACACTACGGCGCTTCAACCAGCACCCGCTCTCACTCAAAGTCCCCGTCTTTGGTCCAGCGGCTCAAAGGCCTCACATCACCTGGTACACCTTATTTCCATCCTCATCATCAACGCTGCACATTCGGCCAAGATGTTGTCTAATCCACTTCACCGGTTCGCCCCTTATCATGCTATGCCCTCTCCTACCCTGCTATCTGGCGGACATGTCTCAGCCAGCCATCTCCATACCGCTGGCCTCGACACCATGGGCCCCGGCTCTCACTATGCTCTTCAGCAACTTCAGCAGCACGTCAGTGTTCATAACCACCACCTAGCAAGGGCAGGACCTCAACCAAAGCACCGACAACATCCCTATGGACCGGTAACCAGAGCAACAGGAGCGGCTGGACCCATTCGTAGACGAATAAGCAGAGCGTGTGACCAGTGCAATCAGCTGCGGACAAAATGCGATGGCCAGCATCCATGTGCCCATTGCATTGGTAAGTAAAGTGAGTCTTGAAACAAGTCAACGCATAGTCTGACGGTGATTAGAATTCGGACTTGGCTGCGAGTACATCCGAGAGCGAAAGAAGCGTGGAAAGGCTTCAAGAAAAGATTTAGCGGCACAAGCAGCTGCCGCCGCCGCCGCCCAATTGAACGGTCACAAAAACCCGAGCCAAGCCGGCGAAAACGATCAATCCCCCCCGAACCGAACCGAGAGTACCACAGCAACCAAGCGAGCTTCTTCCTTACCCATCGAGCACCAAGCAACTTCAAACGACAAAACCATGAGCGATATGAGCGAAGGTTCAGTGAGGAGTCAAAGGACCGGGAGTATGGACAGTATTGATCTAGGCGCACATCAGACACATGTCGCGAGTCATCCGGGGGCCATGGACAGAGATCTGGAAAGCCCGGCTGCTCTCGATCTCAGTTATGGGAATGTCCACCAAGAATATCACCGTCAAGGGATGGGTGCTCATCTGATGAACGGCGCATCGCATCATACACCATACGGCTCGAATCAGGCTGCCATGTCCAACTATCCAGATCTACCATACGCGCTACATACTCAAAGTCCGACCGGCTATTCCGCAAACACATCAAGTGGTTTTCGCATTGGGACCAGTCCGTTGAGCGCTTATCCTATGGCTGGCGGATCAACTTCGCCTGGTTGGATGAACTTAGCATCACCGCCACCCCAGTTTGCGCAGCATATTCCGCAGCCCACCTACAGCCATGCACAATTACGATACCCCGTGTTGGAGCCACTTCTACCACACCTGGGTAACCTGATGCCGGTGTCGTTGGCATGCGACCTCATTGACCTATACTTTGCCAGTTCCTCTTCGGCGCAGATGCACCCCATGTCGCCTTATGTTCTTGGATTTGTATTTCGAAAGCGCTCCTTCTTGCACCCCACGAAACCTCGTCAATGTCAACCTGCGCTTCTAGCAAGCATGCTGTGGGTTGCTGCTCAAACCAGCGATGCCCCCTTTTTGACGAGCGTTCCGTCAGCGCGCGGCAAGATCTGCCAAAAGCTTTTGGAGCTCACAGTGAGCCTTCTTAAACCTCTAATTCACACCCCGTCCGAGGAGCCTTCACCTGTCTCGAGCCCAATTGTTGATGGAGTGGCGCTGGGTGGCCTCGGTGTAGCTCTTCCGGGATCGATCAGCATGGATGCCTTGACCGGTGAGACTGGCGCATTTGGCGCCGCAGGGACCTTGGACGATGTGGTGACTTATATCCACCTTGCCACCGTGGTTTCTGCAAGCGAGTATAAAGGTGCCAGCTTGCGGTGGTGGAACGCCGCGTGGTCACTAGCTCGTGAGCTCAAGCTCGGACGAGAAATACCACAAAACTCACCCTCTATGCAGAACAGTGGGAGCGAGCTTGACGAGGAAATGGGCAACATTCCTGGCATGATTACCGAGGAGGAACGAGAAGAGAGACGGCGTATTTGGTGGCTCGTCTATATCGTCGACCGTCACCTTGCACTATGTTACAACCGGCCTTTGTTCCTCCTCGACATCGAGTGCGATGGTCTTTTGCAGCCCATGGATGATACCGACTACCAGAACGGGAACTTCTATGCTTACACCGATCCGAATGTTCTGGCTTCGGATCCTAACACTCCAGCTGCTCGGCATCGTGGACCATCTTTTGTCTGCACTGGTCATAGCATTTTTGGCTACTTCCTGCCCTTGATGACCATTCTCGGCGAGATCGTGGACTTGCATCATGCTCGAAATCACCCACGCTTTGGCGTTGGCTTCCGTTCATCCCGTGAATGGGATGATCAGACAGCTGAGATTACCCGCCACCTTGAAATCTATGAAGAAAGTATCAAGAGATTCGAGCATCGTAATCTCAGTCTTAGCGCACAAGCACAAGCTGCTGACGAGAAGGCTGCCGAGGCGGCCGGTGTTCCAACCGCCAATGATGTGCCCCACGATGCTGGCACACCGTCAGTTCAAAGTGTACACAGCGTACACACCACTTCCAGCCGGATGACAGAAAGCGATATCCAGACTCGCATCGTCATGGCCTATGGAACACACGTTATGCATGTATTGCATATCCTCCTTACGGGGAAATGGGATCCCATCAACCTCCTTGATGACAATGACCTCTGGATCAGCAGCCAGGGCTTTATTACTGCTACTGGGCATGCGGTGTCCGCTGCCGAAGCCATTAGCAACATTCTTGAATACGATCCCGGCCTGGAGTTCATGCCTTTCTTCTTTGGCATCTATCTCCTCCAAGGCTCGTTCCTCCTTCTGCTTATCGCAGATAAACTTCAGGTTGAGGCATCACCCAGTGTCGTCAAGGCTTGTGAGACCATCATTCGTGCGCATGAGGCCTGCGTGGTTACCCTGAACACGGAGTACCAGGTATGTCGATCTCTTCGTGATAGCATAGGTCTTGTGGACGCGTTGCTAACTCTTCCTTCTCCTTGCAGCGTAACTTCAGCAGGGTGATGCGCAGTGCTCTTGCACAGGTCCGCGGCCGCGTGCCTGAGGATCTTGGCGAACAACACCAACGCCGCAGAGAACTGCTGGCCCTTTACAGATGGACCGGCGACGGAACTGGCTTGGCCCTCTGATTCTCTTTCTTATGCCACACCATCTGCAGTAAATACTGTGCCCTTCTGGCTTTTATACCTGATGCTCAATAGAGCCTGAGATACCTTTTTCATTTTCTTATTTTCGCTCACAGCGATTTGACTGGCGTTGGTGTTTTTGCATTTATAACTGGTTGGGCTGTTCGAATTCGGAGTTTTATGAGGATGGGAACCCAAAACCAAAGGCGTGATCAAGGCGGTTATTTAGGTGGACGGAAGCTGGTATCGGTTGGGGGGCTTCACGTTCGGGTGGGGTCGATCGCGATTGTGTATTGAATGGCAAAAGATAAGCAATTGTCTGGTTACTTGGGCTCATGGATGCTTTTTGGTGAAAAACAAGGGAACAACGAAAGGACTTGCCTGTGTTGATATCGTTGATACCTCTAAGACATGTGCAAAGATCATAAGTAGGCCAAATCCAGATGCTGCAAGAATGGTTGGTAATGAATGGTGCAATGCTGTCGCAAATCTTCATCTCGATCACACAAATCGCACTTATGCAACAATATCCAGAAAAGAAAAGAAACCTCCATCTATATTCTTCAACAAGATATTCAGTGAGCAGTAGTATGGCAGTGTTGGGTCTTGCATTGCAGTGGCACAGAAAGTAGTCGAGGTACAATTTGTTAATGGGCGTCCAACTTCAACATGTACCTCTCTTTATAAAGTCATCTGACCAAAAAGTTTCCAACAACCAACTACGACAGCTGATCAACAGTTGTACATCTTCCGTAGTATAGTGGTCAGTATGTGAGCTTGTCAAGCTTGAACATCAGTTCGATTCGCTCGAGACCCGGGTTCAATTCCCGGCGGGAGAGACCAATTCTTCTTTTTTTTATTCTTTTAATAGCATTTCCCGACTTCGCATATTGTACGGCTTCACCCATGCCATTCTGCGAATTGTTCATATGATTTTACTACATTTTGAGTTCCGTTCGTTCATCCCTGAGAATTAGTACTAGTTGGCATTCATCTTATCGTGCTATGCCGAACCACACAGTAGCCGCAATCATTACCATCATTGTACCCTCACGATAGTGCAGTATACTTCCACTTCAAGTTATTACTTCGGCCGTATCGAGCGTCCTTGCCTCCAAAGACCCAAACGATGCTTTTGACTTTTATGCGATGAGTGAGGTTGGTAGCTAAGTACTTCATGATTTTTTTTTGTCAGGTCTGTGGCGATTATCTAGTTTAGGGAGGCGCATCCGGTGCTCCTCCTGCCTTTGCGTGTAGAGTACCAAGAAAGGTACGAAACGCCCCCTCCTAGAAAAAAAAAAGATTTGCTAAATCTGGACTGTGAGGTTGGACGATTCGCTTCTGTAAGAGTCGGAGGAGACGGATTGAACTCCGAGCCGTGCGTGGGTGATGCCGGGCCAGGCTACTTGGTTCCGGATCTAACAAAGACAGTGAGTGGGATCAGTAATATTTCGTTAGTTGTTCTCTCGCTACACAATTTTCTTCTCACACATAAACAAACCTCTGACTTACATATAGGCGTGTAAACCTGCAATCCAATCGCCCGCCCCCCTTCGTCGTATATGTATGTAATCCACACGCAGCAGACTACATCTTCCCAGGGACCCACAAAGCTGAAGATTCCAATACGTAGGAGATCTGACCCGTTCGAGATACCTTACCATTTCAAGAAAGAATCTACAAGATACACATACACCTTCTTGGCTGACCGGAAGATATGATGGCAGAAGTCGGTTGTGGCCAGTGCGTGATCTCAAAGGTCTGTCTCCCTATCGTGATACATGTGAAAAGAAGGCTGGAGGTTACAGCACATACATGGCTCCCATTTCGACCTTGTGTACTGGAAAGACATTGATGTCTGTTTGACCGGCTTGGCGAACAAGAGAGAGGTGGGTCGGGCAGATAAGATCTAAGTATACGTAGTCTGGGCTGTCGACATCCGGCTTTGGCGTTCAGCAAGATGCCGGCCAGATAAGCCTGAGGTTGAGTAACTGCTCTGATGTTGTCCGTACGCGGTAAAGCAAGACTGGCTGACTAGCCTGAACTAAACACCACCAACACTATGCCTAGGCTTTGCATAGAAGATTAGAATATGTGTCTGCTCTTGATGCTTGGCGGTTGCCGTCGACCAGAGTTTACCCCTGAATCTTTGTTGTTGTTGCGTCTAACTGACAGGGGTATGTAGCTATCGTTGCACCGGCTGTAGACTGGGCAACAATGCTCGCTCACGCTGTTAGTGACTTGTGTATCACTTAAAAGTTTTAGCGTAAATGAACACCTAGAGAAAACGACAATCTGGCTATCTACTCACTGAAACTTGTGTGATCTTCTGGCCATAGTCCGCTGTCAAGCTGACCCTCTCCTCTTCATGGGATGCGCCGACCCAAATCACAATCCAAACACACAAATGGGTTGCCATCCAAAACGATACTACCATTTATTTTTTGCTACCCATGCACCGTGGAGGTCAAGAAAAAAAAAAGAGACACAAGACAAACCCCTGACGAGAGATGTTCCATTCTCCCCCCGTGTCCCCGCGTTCAAAAGTCAAAGTAACGAGGTATACCAACCCTACCCACCTCTTTTTTTGTACGTAAAAACACCCCTTCTAACCTGGATGCAAAAGAAAACCCCTGCCAAATATGATATGTATAGCCTCACCCAATAGGCTATGTTATAATGCTTGTAAGATATAAATAAGACCCGACTATCTGAATTTAGACAGGGGCGTGGTTGAAAAGATAAGACACCGACTCGCCGTTGTGCGTGCGGCGGATGGCCTCGGCGATGGTCGGGGAGATGTCGATGACGCGGATCTTGGGGCACTGTATTATGTAGGGTAGGCGCTGGTCAGTTATCTTGCCAAGTTTGATAGGGAGATCGATCTTCCACATCCAGAGGAGACGAAAAGTGCAGTTAAAACCAACCCTTTCAATCTTGTCACCGAGCGGGACGGTGTTGGTGCAGATAAGCGCCTCGAGGACACTGCCGTTAAGGTTCTCAATGGCGTTACCGGAAAGAATGCCGTGAGTGACGAGAGCGAGTACGGCCTTGGCGCCGTTCTCCTTGAGGACGGAGGCAGCCTTGACGAGAGTGCCGCAAGTGTCGGCCATATCATCGACAAGGATGGCGATCTTGTCCTCGACATTACCGACGAGAACCTGTTGTCACACAGTCAACTTTCGGCCCTACCAAAACACCATTTCAGACTTTCTTACCATACGACCAACAACGTTGGGGCGGGGGCGCTCCTTATGGATAAGAGCGAAGCCGGTGTTGAGGTGGTCTGCGATGGAGGTAGCACTTGAAGAAGGGTTAGTCGGGCCGAGCTGCTTGTCTTGCTGGAAACGCAGAGTACTAACCGCTTGGCACCACCGGCATCGGGGGAGACGATCACGCAGTCCTCAGGCTTGTAGTTCTCGCGGATGTAGCGAAGGAAAGAAGGCTCCGCATACAGGTTGTCGACTGTTCATCGGTTAGAATCGGGTGGTCTTGTATGCGGCAGTGGCAGGCTTACCGGGAACGCTGAAGAAGCCTTTTGTTTTCGATTCGTCAGCACGCGTTTTCCATATCGAGTATGTCGAGGGAATCGTTCAATCGTTCAATGGGCAAAGAGATAGGCATACCTTGGATCTGTAGGCGACATTGTTAACATATGGCTTCGGACAAAAGATGGATCGCAAAGACAGAACATACCTGAGAAGCATGAAGATCAACGGTGACAATGTCTAAGTCACGGTTAGCGGCGACCAGAGCCCCTCGAGCAATTAGAGAACGGCTTACGGTTGGCACCAGCGGTCTGCAACATGTTGGCGACAAGTCTGGCGCTGATAGGAGCGCGGGACTTATCCTTCTTGTCCTGGCGAGCATAGGGGAAATTGGGACTGAAATAGTCAGTTCAGTCTGTCCGGCTTCCAAAGCAAAAGCATTGTGGCATCTTTTGCGCCAACACAATCAGGCTACCACTGAAGCCCCAATGGCTGGCGCAAAGAATGCGCGCGAAGTCGTTCATGCTCATGGATCAGATCCTTACATGACTGCCGTTATCCTCCGTGCACTGGCGGTTCTGCAGGCCGAGATGGCGATGAGGAGCTCCATCAAGCCCTCGTTGACGTCGCCGGTGGTGGTAGACTGGATAATGAAGACATCTTCGTCGCGGACCGACTCGCCGACGGTGAAGGAGGTTTCTTGGTTCGAGTAGTTGAGAGAGATGGTCCTAGCGACCTCGATTCCGAGTCTGCGACAAAGCAAACACAAGGCGGGTCAGAGATTTGTTGCTGCTGGACGACGGCGCAATGCGCGATATCGGAAATGATTTCGAGGACAACATTGGGAGGGCAGGTGGTAGGTAGGCAGGCATACCGCTTCGCAACCTTCTCGCTGAGCTCGGGGTGGCTCCTTCCGCTGATGAGTTTGACCTCGTTCGCCATTTCGCCGGACATGTTGTCGAGAAGTCGGAGAACCCGTCAGGTAGACGACAGGCCAGCGTTGGTTTGACAAAAGATTTCGAACGGAGGGTCTCGGATGTTACAGCCACGGGCGGGTTACTTCCTAGCTTCTCTTATGCAGCTGGTGACCTGTTAGCGGGGTTGCCGGCAGGGGGGGCTCATGGACAACACGAGAAACGTGATCCTGAACGGCCACGATGTGGTTCGCTGGTGGTGGGTAGTAGGAGAGGGAGGTAGAGTTTAAGCTCCGACGGGAGTGAAATGAGCCGTGTCGAGGTGCGTACCTAGAGGCAGGCTCGTAGGGTAGACGGGTGTGGTGGGTGACTGGTGGTGAATGGCAATGAAGTGTGGTTGCAGTGGGATTGATGTTATACCGGGAACGCAAATGGACTCAAAGGGCAGGAAAGACAGAGGGTTCTCACTGACAAGGAAACAAAGGATTCTCGGATCAGCAAAGTGGTCAAAGTGCGTCTTGAATTGATTGGATTTGAAGGTATCAACCGCAAAGGTCAAAGTCGCAATAGGCAAGTCAAATAATATTGGAATGGGGAAAAAAGTCTCGAGTTCTCAGCGTTCGAGACCGATGGACAGGCACAGCGCGTCGACGGGGCCGGGATCACAGGCCAATGCCCCATGACGGGCGAAAAAAAGTTGAAAAAATTCTGTGGAGACCCCTGACAGCCGAACTGCGGACAGCCACCGGGCACTGACTGCGTGGTGACGCTCCCGGGGCCGTTTCATGGCAGGGCCAGTCCGATCTATGAAAGCCAGCCAACTGCCGCCCTTTCACAGGCGAAAAAGAGTCCTTTCAACATTTCTTCCCCTTGTAGAGGTACAACTCACCTCACCCATTCACAGCGCCTATCCTCGTCGCCGGTACGTATCGACAGCCCCCGCCCCGCATGCCAAATGTTACCTATCGATAAGCTGCCCGATGAGCCAGCGGAATCGGTTGAGCGGATGGGAGTTGCACATGTAAGAGCATCCCCGGCTCCTAGGTGCGTTCAGCTAGTCCGCCATCACTTGTCTCACATATCGCCCCGACGAGTCTTGTCCGAACGCTAGTGTACTGTAGGTACTATGAGCCATTTGAGACAAGGTACTCGGAGAGAACACCATCAAATGCTTCATTAGCGAGACTTGACTCGGTCATATGTGTGTACATATGTAGAGTTTGTCGATTGACTTTAAATGCCCTCGGATAAGACCGTAAACGCAATAATTCAAGTCGCGGCAGTTGCGGTGAAAAATCATCGACAACTTTGTTGAACAACGCCAAGGGTTTGACTTCACCTAACCCATCTGGGTTGTTAGCGCAGAAACGAAAACGGAATCAAAGGATTTGGACGAAGACATGGGACAGAAGATTATATCAAAATTCACCTCCATGCCTACTAGTAGCCTACAGTGTTCATTAAAATCCTTCCAGTTGATATGTTAACACCACCATAAGTCTACGCTCAAGCAGGAGCCTTTGGCGTAGCAACTTCATCAAGCTCCTCTCCTTTCGGGTCGCTAGTCTTCACCCCAGCCAACGACTCATCGTCTTTATTATCCCCCTCGGTCACATCCACATCCAACAAGCTACTGGCCTTGCTCACACTCGCACTCTCCGTAGTCTCCGCCCTCAAACCCAATCCCTTTTCCTTTGGAAGTTGTTCGGGATTAGCACCCTTCCAGTCCGCAGGCTTCATCTGGGGTACAGGGCTCCCCTCCCCAGGCTGGGTGATGACTGTAACTCCCTGGGCCGTTTCAGGCGCAGCAGCAGCAGCAGTCTCAACAGTCTCAACAGCGGCGCCAGCGCCAGCGCCAGCGCCAATCCCCGTCCCAGTCCCAGTCCCGGCGACTTTCCAAACAACAGACAGCCGATCGAGAGCCCTAGTCCCCTTCTTACTTGATCCCTTGATGCCATCCAGTTCATCCCACTCGATTTCGAACACACCGCTATCGTCTGCTTGGCCATCCTGCTCCGGTCCGTTGCCCTCGAAGAAAGCGTTGAACCAGACGTGACCCACGGCAGTAACCATGGTTAGGCCCATGCTGGCCGAGGCGCGGCTTCGTCTTTCAATGTCAATGTTGATATCGCTGTTGGGGACGATGATGGGCTTCTTGGGCTTGAAGATGACGGCCCGGCCGCCTGGCTCTGATTCATCAGCCAGGACCGGCTTTTGTCGCTTCCGAGAGGATTCGGTGCTGGTTTTCGAGTGGATGGGGGTGAGGTTAGAGGTAGATTTGCTGACGCTGTTCTGTTCAGTCGATGGGAGATTCGTAACCTGTGAGGCTTCTGGCATCGCGATGGTCTTTGCTTTTCTGCCATTTGCTGATGAAATGCTCAGCGCGCTCTGCTTCTTCTCCTCCAGCTCCTTCTCTTTATGGTCCTTGCTCTTTCGCACCGAAATCTTCCTCATCAAACTGCTCGCCGTGCTCCCCATCTTGTCCACCTTTTCCTTACTCCTACTCCTTCTCGCACTAGACGCATCCGTTGACGACCGATCTGTCACATGATCATCAACATCGCTTTTCGCACCATCCAAGCCCGAAACCTCCTTTTTATGCTCCTCCTCCTCTTCTAAGTCGCTTTCTCTACCGGCGCCGTACCCAGCCATATCATAAAACATATCCATCACCCCGCCCCCGCCAGGCGCATCCCCCTTCACCACAATCCTCTCATCCTTCCCAAACGTATGCAACGTCTCGATCCTCTTACCCTCGTCCGCAAACCCTTCCACCGCAAGCTTGACCCCGTGCCGGAGTCCCCAGACGTGTATCTCGACAATCTCAATCGGTCTGTCCACATAGATCTTCCGCTTGGCCGGCTCGCTACCGGCGTGGGCCCACCTTTCGACGTAACCCACGTATCGAAGCTGGCTGGGAATCGATACGCCCTTACCAAAGTTGGGACGCATGCGTCGCTCGGTGAACCGCGCCAGGGCGTCGGCGGCGGTCCAGCCGCACTCGGAAATCAGGTAGCTGCAGATGGAGGTGCCGGAGCGGCCTTTGCCGGCTTTGCAGTGGACGACGACCACGCGCTCGCCTTTTTGACGCGGGCGGTCGAGATCGTGTTTGTTTCTGTCCGCTGTGTTTGTATCCCCTTTCTTATTGTCGTTGTTGTTGTTGTTGTTGTTGTTGTTGTTGTTGTCCTGTTGGTTTCCGTCAATGGCGCCACTGGCAGCCCCCCTTTCGTTTGTCGTTTCCGGCGTCGCCAATTTCGTAGTATCACTATTGTCCCCAGACGACCTTCCATCCTCCCCATCCAACCAATTGCGCATACTAGCCGTAATCAACGGCACCAGCCTGAACGGCGGCGGGTGGTGATCCGGCCAAGGGTAGTGTCTAATCCGGTTATATACCGCTTCGTCAGGATATCCCGTGCCCTCGGCGCGGAATTCCCAGATGGACCAGCCATCACCGTGTTTCTCGTCGAGAAAGGTGACCAAGCGGTTGAGCGGGTTACGGTAGGCTAGTTGGGGGTAGGTTTGTGAGGGCCCAGATCTGTGATTTTCGCCACATCAGTTAGTCATTCCATCTCTGCAAACACATGGAGGCAGAAGAAGGGAGGAGGAGGTAGAGGTAAAGGTAGTACCTACGTTGCGATGATATTCGAGGTAACATAACATAGATCTAGTCCCGTATCCTCGTGTTGTTGGCGCGGACCAGCGACGAGCTGACGCAGCAGGGAAACCATGGTCGGTATTCTTTTTAACCTGAACAACGTCCTAACAGATTGACCTGTCTATAGGTTAAAAAAAAGGGAACTTCAATCCGAAGGAGAAAGGATGACGGCTTAGAGGCTGCTGAGTGACACAGCCGTTGGCGGAAAAGAAGGTATCGTTTGCTCAAGTGGTTCGGTGACGTGTTAAGGGATGAGAGTAACAGACTAAGGGAACAGCTCAGTTATAGAGGCGCAGCACATCTGGCGCCAGAAAGGCATTTATTTACACAAAGGTTGGAATCTCGAAACCTGGCAAGATCATACACCGTTTCCTAGTCGATCATCCAAGCTATTCGATATAATCCAGATCCGAATGCGTATGGGTCGAAACCTCGTCTACCAGCTGGATGATGAAGGCTGTGAGGGAGGCCTGAGAACCCGCTTGGTTCAGGCCTACCTCTTGTAAAAGCGGAAGCGACGTCATTGCTGGGAGCCCCAGCGACATGCTGCTGGCGCTGTTCGACATGGAGGGGCCCGGAGGGGGTCCCTGAGGTCGGGTGATAGGGGTACAAAAGTGGGGCAGCTACTGGTCGAGGATAAACTTGAATCGACTCGTGGAATGTTGGTATTCGTACACGACCCCTACGACCAGAACAGCTGGCTTGATGACAATATGTTTCTAGGTAATAATCATACGGCTAGGATATGGATTAACAGAGAAGTAGACCAGGTATACACGCATTGGTGCATTCAGCAGCTAGGAAATTCAAACACCCTTCTTCAACCACTTCTCTCCGCAACCAGAAAGAGTAACACTGCAACAAACTGTCAATGAAAGCCTAGTAATAAACTGACTTTAAACAATTACTGAGCTTCATTCCGAAGCCATTACGCACTATTACCCCTTTCCGTGGCATGTTGCCTTCCAGCCAACAGGTCGTTCCCGGTACGCGACCCCTCCAGAGTCCTGCTCTTCCCAACCGAAAGGTATGACCGATCCTTCGCTTCTGGGCCAAAGATTTTCGAACTAAAGGAAGCACCGCAGGCTATTAATCTGGGCTGTTGTCTTGCCTAGGTCGCGCTAGCATGCGCATGCGCGAAGCAATCTTGTCATCAATGCCCAAACATCTCAAGCTTCGGCGGTAGCCGAGAACTTAAGAGGTCTTCTTGGGGGCAGCGGCACCGCTGATGTACTTGTTGACATCAGTAGCCTGGTGGAACTGACGGGCAAGGCCCTTGACGGTCTCCCAAGCCTGACGAGCAGCCGGAGGGGTGCCCTGAGCGCCAATGAGGTTGTCGATGCGGGCCTCAAAGGTGCTGAACGAGTTCTGGACGTGGCTGCTCTGAGCAAAGCGGGTGCGAAGGAAGACGGTGTAGATGACGAGCAGGATCCAGGAGCGGCGCTGGAAGATGATGGCAGAGAGGAGGATACGGATCCAGAGGACGAGCTCAATGTTGGCAACGACCGACATGGACGAATCGTAGTACTGCTTAACGAAACTGCCAATCGCGTCGGACATAGGGTGCTGAGTGTACTGGGGCTTGGCGCTGGGCGAAGCTCCGGCGGCAGGGGCCACCTTAGTAGGGGGCATGATAGTCGGGATCAAGTTCGCACGAGTGTAGGTAGCGACATGGAAGACCGAGTAGATGGCGAAGGGAAGCATGGCGATGGGGTACTGGGGCATGAAGAGCCAGACAAGGGCCAACACTGAGCTTCGCGGTTAGCATTCGTTGAAAGGGTCACCGCTTGCAGGAGAAGAGTCGACATACGGAGGTACTGAACGTTCTCGTCGGTGAGGTAGCTGACAACGTTGGCCGGCTTAGCACCGGTCTTCTGACGAGCGCGCCATGTCTTGTAAACCACGATACCATATGTGAGGGCAGCGGAGAGGAAGGTGGTGCGGTAGCAGAACTGGGCCATACGACCATAGTAGTTCATGCGCAGCCACGAGAAGGCGTAGCGGGTGACGCAAAGAAGAAGGGTGGCATGTCTGTAGTGATCATTATCTTGTCAGCATACGTTCGAAGCAATCGAAATATATCCTGGCGCGAGAATCGGCTGTTCCGCAACTCCGCTCCCGTGAGATACCGCCTTGCTGCCCCTTCTGAACTTTGCTTCATCCTGATCGAAAGCGGGCGGCACGAGAGGGAAGCGGGACAGCAAGCCAATCGAGAATCATGACGTACCCAGCGAACCAAGCGACTAAGAAACAAAGACAGTTAGCCATTTGCGCTCACAATAAATCTTCGAATCGCTACAACAGCGATGGAGGCTCAAACGGAGAGAGAAAGTTGGGTGCACACGTACACTGCAGGGTCTGTGCCAGCTTTTGAATCCTCTGCGCAAGAGGCAGGTCGGCGGGCGGCGGGGGAGCCATTGTGATAAAAATGCTGTACTGGAAGTGGGTGGCTTGAAGTTTGTTGAAGTCGGTGTCCGGCGTGGTAATTTTTGTATCGCTCGGTCCGTGGATGAAGTTGTTGGAAGAGCTGAAGCTGAAATAACTTTGAGAGCAGCCGGCGGGAGAGAGCGTGGCTGAGGTGGTGAGCGGTGCGTATGGTGGAGTTCTCTGGGAAAAAATAGGGCGGTCGTGTGCTTGTGCTCCAGCTCCCGCTTCTTCAATGTCCACGTCGACCCAGGTCGGGGAATTTCTGCCGCAGGTTCGATAGTGTGGCCGGTGCGCCTTGCTAGCTGTTGCCCCTGCAGGACCTGGTATTCTACTAACGTAGCCTGGATTTTTTTCTGGTGGCAGGTTAACCTAAACTCGTCGAGATAGGCGTTCACAAATGATAGCGCAAACGACTTTCAGGTTCTGTAGGGCTGGCTGCAACTGCGGTTTGTAGGACTCCTGTCTACCACTAGCTTCAGAAGGGGAAGTTGAGATGGCGTATCACTGTTGACGAGCGGTACGATGGCGGAACACCTGAAAAAGACGACGGATAATGAAGACCGAAATGGACAAAGATGAGCAAAACAAAATCCGGAAAGGTCGGTCTTTCCACGATTGATACGCGATTTTATTGTGAAATTTCTGCCCAGAGGCTGTTCTACACTAACAATATGGCGTCGGTCTCGGCGGAAGAGCTGGGCTGTGTTCGTTTGTCGTCATCGCGCTTTTACATGAACCCGCCAGAATCTGGTCAGGATCCGGGCTGGTCCGATTTCACATGCAAGACGTCAACCCCGATGCCCAAATCTGGGCTGGCCTCTCGTCTTGGAGGTTGTTGCGACGGTCATGGGTTGAGATGAACTATACAGATGCTGTATATCCTTCTTATCAATGAAGATCCTATCGGGAGTCTTCGTACTCTTGCTGTCGTGTCATGGAACGTAGGTATTCTTTGGACTGTTAGATTTCCGTTCAGTTGGTTTGCATCTCGCGATGGCACCGCTGGTAGCTCCCCCCCAAACTTCAGTGCTGTTGGTTGCCGCCTGCGTCATCCTTGGTGAGCTGAACTTGGTTTTAATGGAAGGAAGCTTGGGCCAACTGCCCACCCGCACATCCAGCCACGTCATTGCGGTGGCTCAAACCTGCTTGTTGTGGTCTTATTCAACCCTAACCCTTCTCAATCACCTGCTTTCTTTTCAAATCAAATGACAGCGACAATACTATGACCGTAGATATCGACATTCAAGATATGACAGTAGGAGCTGTGGAAGTTGAGCTCAAGCGGTCCTGATGAGACCTTTTACTGAGAAACTCGCACAGAAACTTTTATATCTTACCTCCAGTTTCCCCGAAGGTTACCCAATAGGATCAACTAGGAGCTCCCAACCGCCGACATCCCCATCTCAAATCAGGGCAGCGACGATATCATTTATCCGTATAATTAGATGAGTCCATTCTTCGGCAACGGCCAACTCGGATCCCTACTGTCGTCTCTTCTTCCCGGCTGCAGCAGCTGCTGCTTCTGTAGCCATTGTTGTTGGTCCCCCATGCCCTGACCCTGCGATCTCACACTCCCCGTACTCGCCGCTCTCCGCCTCGAAGTCGTCGTCGACGGTCCACGCGCATGCTTGCCGCGTGCAGAAGCAGATGCGTTACTGGCCATTCTCTCATCAATGCTATTATTCCTCGCACTAGTCGCCGATGCAGTCCTCGAATGGCCGAGTGGATGTCCACCACCACTCGTACCGCTCATCACCGACGTGTTGGTAGGCACGGTTTCCAGGGGCCGAGCCAATATGTCTCCGTAGACGCTTTTGCTGCACTCAGGAGCGTACCGTGTTGAGATGTTCCTCCTAATGTCTTGTGTTGTTGGGGGAGTGGGTAGGGGAATGGTTGGCGGCGGGCCAGGCGATGGGAGGAAGATGTCGCTAGAGGTACTATATTTTCTGCCAACGGCCTGTCCCATCTTTCCCTGGGACATATCGGCCGATGGTTCGAACTGGGGTGTCCAGGGTGTTGGTGACGGGAGATAGGCTTGCGAGGGCCGTCGGACGGGAGGTGGTTGTGGCCCCTGGGTTGGAGAAGGTGTGTGTGCTTCTTGGATGGTCTCCAAGTGGATAGGTCCTGGTGGCCCCGTCGGACTAAATGGGTCCCCACTCTTGGTCGGGCTGGCCTGGTCGTTGACGATATAGCTGACAATGGCACGGTCAAGCGCGTCGCTTACGTTCTGGTCTTCTTCTTTTTGTTTTTGCTTCCTCTTCCGGTATCTCACGAAGAGGTAGAAGCCGGCGAGAGAAAGCACAGAGGAGCCAATGATGGCGACGACAACTGCTATAGCAGCACGGTTAACCGATGACGCGGCTCCCTGCACAGCTTTGATGTCGGGGCTGTTGAGAGCCTGCGGATTGTTTGGAGCCTGGCAAAGGTTAACGAGACGGCAACAAGTTTCAATATCAGGGAGCACTCACCATTGTCGAATTTGGATCTGCCGTGATGGTTGGCCCTACGAGGTCTGTTGTAACCGAGACAACGGTTGCTGTGACCGTGACCGTCCCTTGGCCCAGCTTTTCACTCATGCTGCTAACGGTGCTCGCGGCCGAACGTTCTGCAGCTATCACAGCATTGGATGCCGATTCCTCGGTTGACGCTATTGCGATGGAGGCTGAGGCTTGAACAGATGCTAAGGCGCTGGAAGCCGACGAGGTGAGACGATCGATCGACTCCTGAAGCCCGATGATGGATGTTGCCAGGAGGCTTGAGAAGTATATCGCGTTCGAGTTGGCTTCTTCGAGGGCACCGCTGAGGGAGCTTATTGTTGCGAGTAGGGAATTATTACACCGGCAGGGTCCTACAGCCGTAGGTGCCGTTGTTGGGAAGGGTGAATGGGTTGCCTCTGCTGCCACTGCAACACTGATCGCCGAGGTCACGGTCGTGAACACGGGCTGTGAGCCAAGATCTTCATGGCCGCTGACCGGATGCCTTGCAACAACGGGTGGATGATGGTGTGGCCATGACGAGAAAGGATTCTGCCCAGTCTCGGCAGACTCTGCACTTGCCACATAGTCAAGGGTGGTCAATGCTGCCGAACAGCAGACAATAATTCCTAAAATTAGGCCGTATATGAGATGATCCCGATTTCTCATGGTTCATCTTGACAGACAGAGGGAGAAGGATAGAGAACTCATTGTGCTATTGTCTGCAGTTGGAACAGAGCAACTAGAGACGAACACTGGGAGGAAGAACGTGGGGATGGCCATACGGGGCAAGAACCCAACGCCAGAAGATTATCCCGAGTCAGACCATGATGACTTACACGCCAAAAGAACGGGACGGGATGTCATAGTCCTGTACGCGCAGACGATGAGGGTCAAGCAGCTAGAAGAGCACGGATCCGGATGACTGAGGGCCATCCGGGTTTCTGATTCGGCAAAAGGTTTTGATCTAGAAACAAGGTGGAAACGACTAGACCAGGTCAGCCTTGAAGATGCGATACAAGGATCTCTTGACCACTGTCACTCGGCAGCTGGGGGTCCGTTGCGGACTTGCCTCCCCTCCTCAAGGATTTGCCCAAGATCTTACACAGAAGTGAGTTCTGAATCCCCGAGTCAAAGCTGACGAGGTACCTATATTCCAGGTTCTTCACGAACAAGATCGCATCAGCAGCTTACGCGGAAGTAGGCGTAGGAAACGTAAAGATCCTCCGTCGGCGCCACCTTAACTCGATCTTTTGAAGGATCAACCTGTATCAGTAAGCCGAAATGACTCGAGAATTGGATGGCATGACTTGACTCGAAACAGCCGACTTCGATGATGGTGGCAATATCCCATACGATCTTCAACGCTTGAGCCTACGTTTTTCAGGAGGATGGACCGCAGATTAAGGATTGTCGTTATACAGATCGGAATACAGCATCTAATCCAACCCAACAAGTGCAGGTATACCTCACAGGTCGGTTGAGGTGCAAATAAGGTTGAGTGTTCCAAGATTGCCGCCAAGGATTCTCCATTGCGAAAGCGCCCGTGACATCTGTCTGGAACTTTCCTAGCAGCTGCGGGCAGCTGCCCTGCCTGCCAAAAGCGCAAGAGGGTCCAGACCGTTCCATACGGTACAGCTCACTGTAGAATGTCCGCGGTCTGGAACGTCGCCCGCTGAAGAAATGGGACCTGACAGTGGAAGGATTGACACTTGTCACCAGCTTGATAGGCGCTGATAGCGGCTCAAGAAACCATTCGAAGAGACGGAAACTGGAAGAAGAAAGATACCTGTATCGACATATCAGGAGGAAATATCTTCACTCGATTCATTTCGCGTCCTCTTTGCTCTTCTGACCCCCCCCCCCCCCCCCCAAGTGCTCCCCTCCCTCCTAGATCAACATCCCAATAGACCGCCGCCAGAAAATGACCACTATCGGATCCCTCCAGCGGCTGTCTGCCACGTCCCTGTCCAAGCTGATCCTGGCCGAACAGGCCTCGACGGCAGCAGCGGCGGCCGGCACGGAGAACAGCCGCTCCACTTTGGCCATCATTGACGTGCGGGATGACGGTGCGTAGCTAGTTCCCGCTCCCGGTCTTGTCCTCCGCAATGAACCTCCTCCACCTTGTCTCCGCAGCATCATCATCTACACCAGTCCTACTCCATACCAGATACACCACTTACTCGCACAATTCAATCCGAAAAAAAAAAGAGACATAGAGTATATCATCATGCGTCATCCCCGGGTACTAACAACCCTTCACAGACTACATAGGCGGCCACATCAAGGGTTCCCAGAACGTTCCCTCGCACAAGCTCGACGCCATGCTTCCTACCCTCGTCCGCCAGCTCCAAGACAAGGAGACGGTCGTCTTCCACTGCGCGCTCTCGCAGCAGCGCGGACCCAGCGCTGCCTTGCGCTACATTCGCGAGAGGGATCGTCTGATGCCGAAGGAGGTGGAGACTAAGCTTGCTGCTACTGTAGAGGAGGCCGTTGGGGCTGATGGTGAGGGAGAGGTGAAGAAGAAGCAGGGAGAGGAGGAGGAGAAAAAGAAGCCCGTCGACCAAAAGGTGTTTGTGCTGGATCGTGGGTTTGTGGGGTGGCAGGAGGCTTTTGGGTTGGACGAGAGGTTGACGGAGGGGTATAGCAAGGAGTTGTGGAGGGATGGGTACTGGATGTGAGCGTGATCTATGAGATGGCTGGCTCTTTTGAATATTGAGCGAGCAAGCATGGAGTTGGGAGTACGAGAGGAAGATATAGAAGGTTTACTGGTTAGCGAAGCGGGAGTTAATTGGGTTCATAGACTTGTTGTCAACAGGAGTGAACTTTGCTGAACATTCCTCTACCTGATGAAAGATCACGGATGGGGCCTTTGCCGACAGGCCACAATAGATTTTTGGCTCTGCGCGGACAACAACACTATCAGCACTTTAACTGTGATACATGTGTAAGGAAAGACCTTTGCCATTGACCCCAACGTTTATTTTGGCTGAATTTGCAAATTTGACTCTTCTGCAGTAGTCAATATAACACCCTCACTAATCCCAATATGCCCACTACATTTTTCCAAGAAACTCCACAGCCCCTCTCCAGCCCTCTAACCAGTCAGTCTACCTCAGTAGGTACCCCAACTCAACAAAGCCTTTATCCCAGTACACTACGTTGTGGGGAACCAAACGAACGGGTCATGTTCATGTTACCCCCAAAGTAGCGAAGCAACACTCCAAAATGCACGACACTTTTGTTCTACCAGTAGGTATCATGAGTGCAACGAAAAGGCACCACGCATTGGGGCCAGCCATCCATTTTGGGAAAGGAACAGTGAAAAAGATCAAGCTGAAGTCTTGGGTAGCATTGTAGGTGCAGTCGAACGGTACGTTGTGGTGGTAGGTAGTATCCCCAAGATTCTTTTGCCCACTTTTCTTGTTCTTCGGGCTTTCTGGGATCGTATTAGTATACATGTGTGGGAAGTGGAATGTGCGATGTAGTGTAGGTGACTTTGTACGAGTAAATGCCAAACAATCATGCAACGGAGGGATCTTTGGTCGACGCTACTGTGCATGTATTAACTGGGTCTCTTGGCCCTTGGCAAACACCTATACTCGGATTTAACCGCGTACGGTTGAGTTGGCCTTCAACTACTGATGGACGAATGCCGAATCGGGTATATACAGACTTCTTCGAAGGGGGTTCTGGAAGGTTATGGTTCCTCGGTAGCTTAACCAGACCAGCCTCCTCCACGGATACGCGAGCTACCATAACAGTGAGCTCAAGAGCATGAGTGAAGCGCCACGGCTCGGCCACATCACTTGCTTATCTCGTCATCGAATTCCTTTGTGACGAGCTTGAGTCTGAACTCACGTAGATAGTGACTTTGACAATATTTAGTGTCAAGACAAAAAGAACAGTTGTAGAGAGAGAGTGTGTGTGTACGGTACGTACTTTTGATGATCATAAATCCAATGTAACTTTGGCAACTTTGAAATGCTCAGTAACGTGTCCACGATTGATGGAAGCATGCCCGGAAGCCTTGGCACGAAGAGTCTTTGGGACCCTTCACACATAATATTTGCATGAAGGGCACATCCTTTCTCAATACGATCAAACCAATGTTCACAGTAGGATGAAGAAACTTCGAATACACCACGAAACCGGTCACTGGAATGACGAAAGACATCAACGGTTGGTTGGAAAGTAGTAGACAGGCCACCATTGGACAACAATGCGAGAGTGGTAATGGAAATTTGGAAATATGACAATCCAAGATATTACCGAATCTGCACTATCATACAAGGACGCAAAAGCAAGAGGGAACTAGTATGTTTTTTCCAGTAGCAAGAGTAGCAAATGAAGAGCGAAAAGGTAATGGTGAAAGGAAATATCTTGAAAATGCTGCTTGAGTCCTGTCTTTGTTGTTTGCTGCATAATAACCTGAAGATGGGAAAAGAGAAGATGTAACTCTGAAAGCATCGGTGTTGCCGAAGGGCACTGTGGATACTTTAACCTTTTCAGTCATTGGGCACTTCAGTTGCGTGCTAGATCGGGTGCTTGCTGAAAGGCAACATCCACATTCCATGTTCATATGTATTCAGGCGTCATCCACTAGACGGTAGGTTTCCTAAGTTGTTCACGTACTAGTCTACTTCATCCACATTGATACGAGTGACGGCAGCTGATGAGACGGATGCCATCTTGCGTGGATAGCGCCGGCACACATGCCGATTGTTCTGGAGTGCTTTGCTCTATACTGTTCAGATCTGGTCGGAATGCCCTCAGTCGAGATCTGTGGCAGGTAGCTGTGCAATCTCTCTAGTCTCAGTTTTCTGGTTCATAAAAAAAAAAGGGCCAAGGCTGTCATCAAGTCGATGATGTGGAAGATATCTGTGCATGAACGCATCTTGGCTGGCTGCCAGCAAGCCACTCATTGGACAGCCGAAGCGAAAACGGTCGTGCCAGCGAACCGTCACCTCGGAACGCGAGAAAAGAGCGACTCTCAGCTCAGGATTTTCCCCCGTGGGTTAAGATTGAATTGTAGGTACCTGCACTGACAGGGTAAGCTCATGTACCATGATGGTACATGGAGTGCTACCCTTGCCGCATTTTGGCCAATCTTGATACTGACAAAGGTACTTTGGTCTCATTGAACTGGTTTCAACAGTCTCAATAGGTGCCGCAAAGACTTGGCGGGCTAATGGAGCAACAAAAGGGCCAGCTAAGAGGAATCATGAAGTGTGTCTGACGACAAAACTTGGGGAAACGTCTGGCATGGAGAGGATTGATGGCCAAAGGAGAATACCATGGACGGATATCAGTCACGGTGTGCAAGGGAAAGGGAAGCGTAGGAACATGATCCATCCACACCATGACAAATTGTGGGATCAAGGGTCCATAGCTCAAAGATCTCTTTCGGGTATCGAGTCCGCGGTGGTTCCCAAAGAGAGTTAGCGAGGGGAAGGTGGGAGATATCTGGTGGGGTTGGTGAAAGCCCGAGTGTGAAGGATCCTAGCAATCAATGATGGCCGGCGGCGAGATCGATCGCAGATCAGGGCAACGGCGACAGGGGAGATGAATTGGCTGTCCGAGATTGTAGCAAAGGGAAGTTATGTACTTGGAGGTAGGTAATTGAAGAGGAAAAGCTGAGATTGGGTGGGTAACTTGAAGCTGTCGGGGTAAGGGTTGGATGTAGAAACTGAAATGTAGGTACCTAGGTAACTAGTGTAAGCTGTTAGTTCGAAATATGAAGCTTGTTCAGTTTGGCTTTGACGACTCAGCTTATCGCAGATCCGTATAGCGCACGGTGCCCCCCCCCCCCCCACTTGCCGCCTTCGGTTGTTGCCGAATGCTCTAGTGTAGCCTGTGTACCCTGGACCCGACTTCGGTCGATGACAGCGGTTCTGTTTTCCGGAACATTTTGATAGTGGATTATTGCCGACTTGTTAGTGCTGAGAAGAGCATTTGTCGACATAGAGACGCATCGTCAAAACATGCCTCAGGTTGACAAATACCGACGCGTGTAATACGCTCCCATGTTGACAGTGCCTGAAGGAACCGCGAAGGAAGCATAGCCCTACAGGAAACCGACCAATCAGAGGCCATTTCTCGCTCCTGATTGGGCAATTTGGGAGACAGCGCACGACGGAGCCAGTCTCTATTTGTCAAAGTCTCTCTTCGGCTTGTCTTTGCCTTCCTGGTTTCTCTTCCTTTGCTTTATTTGCGTACTGAACTCGGCGAAACTCAACAACAGCTTCCCCCATCAGCATTTGGGCAATGTTTGCAATTTCAAACGCATTCAACGTCGTGATGATGTGACGGGACATAGGGCCTACGCATCTGCTTGCCTTTCCAGGCCACGTGCAGGCCTCAAGGATGCCCTGTCCACCTCAGCTGCCTTCAAGGTGGAATCCCACTTTGGTCTGCATCACTCAGTACTCTGCAAGACTCCTGCCTTCAAAGCACTACAATGTAACCGCCACTGCATACAAACAATCAATGTTGGCACCTGGACTGCATGGAAACAAGCTGTCGAAGCTGGTCCCGCATAGAACACCAATCTGATACTACCTAGAGGTATCTTCACCTATAAGCTTACTGTCGGCGTTGAAACATGGATTATGAATGACTGGAGAGTATGACTCGGCAGGTATGAGCAACACTTGAACAGCCCCAGTCTCAAACCAGAAAGAAGCCCCACCCCTCAGCGCGTACTACTGTCCAAAGTTGGGTACAGATTTCACCTCTCCACAGTCTGTCAAGATTTAAGCGTGATGCCGTGCAACGCACGAACTTGGCCATGAAGCTTGGTCCGTCCGGGCGAGTCAAAGAGGAGCCTAGAGTTGCCGTTCTTGCCTTTCCCCGAGGTGCCCCATTGAGCTTTCTTCCTCCCCTTGTCCACTCAGGTCGAACACTGCCCGTCCATCCACTTCCAATGCCACCACTTCTGCAACCCCCATTTTGCAACCCCCATCACCACCCTTGTCGCCGGTCCTCTCTGAGGCTCATCAGGATTCCCTCTCACCTACCGAGGCTGCAACTAAACCCTTTTGACTCTGGCGTGACCGGTGTCGCCGATCCTCGCCGAGAGAAAATGCCAGCATGGCTTCGGTCTAGGGTCCTCCCGTATACTATACCACAATCAGATGCTCCGTACGAGTTCTATAGTCCAGGTATCTGCATCTACGTGCTGCTCTATACCCAGACCTACACTACCTCTAACGCAATGCGAATGCCACCCAAGTCGGTGTTTGACGTCGCATCGGACTCTCTGCTATCAACCCAGTCAATGTTTATCACGTCCTAGCTGATCACCCCCGTGAGAATGAAGATGCGGGGGCTTAAGTCTTACACAGTATCAACCCCATCCAGGTGCCATCAAGATCCAAGTAAAGCACCGTGACATCCCTCACTGTGATATACACGCGGGGGCTGGATCAGAATATATATCAACCAGAGACCCGCCCTCATCACTGATGATCTCTTCGTCGACATTCAAGGCACTTTCCGCAATCTACACCCTACTCTGACCTACTTCACCTTACTTGTACCAGCTATCAAAGCCTTCTTCTCGGCAAAAAGCACAAGATGGAACAATCAACCGACAAGATGACAATAGAGACAACCTCCACCGTCGAAAAGACACCGTCCCCGAAGCCGGCGGTGAACGACAGGAGAAAGCTCCAAAACCGCATTGCCCAGCGCAGATTTCGGCGTACGTACTTGCCTCGTTGATCAAGACTACCAGGCGAAGCATGAAAGCTAACAAATCTTTACAGAAAAGAAGGCAATGGAGGCTAGGGCTGCCAGCTTACAAGCAGAGGGCATCTGGCACGAGTACTTCAACCTCCATCCACAATATGCCGGTAACTACGAAGTACCATACCTGGGACCATCTGTGCCCACCAGCCCAACCGATGTTCCACAACAAGCATGGCAACCAACTATCGAATATCAGATTGGTGCGTGGGACAACCAGCTCTTCGGCAGCGACAATTTTTGCCTGAGCAACTCCCCAGCCGATATCGTCGCTCCCATGTCTCCTCCCAACAGCTCAGCTTCATCATCTGTATCACCTGACGGTTCGGTCTATGGTGGGGAGGCACCCAACAAGACATCCTACTTTCCACTCCGGGATCAAGAGGGCTATCCATTTTCCATGCAACCAAATCAACTTTTCTGCGACGGCATGTTCTCTGGCGCGGCTCCTTTGGACATCAACGGCTCGATTTCCAGCACTTCACATCACGGTCTTTCTAACGACGCCCCCCTTGAAGAAAACACAGACACTCAGCTCCAAGATCAGGTGGCGACAAAATGGAATGTGCATAAGCCAGCCCAGTCCACCAGCTCATGCACCTGGACCTCCAGTGATGGCGAACCATGGGAGCCGTTACTACACACAGCAGCCAAGAATGGCAACTGTGGCATCATCCTCATGCTGCTTGATCATAATGTCGACGTCAACGAGCGCAACAGCAGCGGCATGACAGCGCTTCATGTAGCCATTGAGAATTCTCAGGAGGATGTCATCATGCTACTGCTTCAGAGAGGTGTCGACGTTAACGTGGAGGACAACAGTCACCGGACTGCCCTCTCCATGGCCGTCAGCAACAATAGCGAGTCTGGTGTTCGGTTATGTCTGATGCATGGAGCCGATCTGAAGCTGGCCAAGGCTTCTTCCTTTGGCGGTAGCCTAGGAAACCATAGTGGTGGAGTTACGGTGGATGTATGATGCGAAATCAGAAGAAGAATGGGCATTGAAACACCATAGACGAAACCAGATATTGATACGAGATTCAATCGAAACATGTTTCCTCCTACGTCTACAGTTTGTCGAAACGTGCCGCGGGGATGCAGTCGACATGTAACGAGCCTCACTCGGCTGTGGCGCTTTCAGGTCCTGACTGGTGTTCCTTTTCACTAGGTCAGACACCGGCTGAGAGCATTCCTAATGCTGCGCGGTCCCTTTGCAAGAGGCTCTACCTATTGCAATCACGTGTGCCTAATATGTGTAACACGAATGTAGCACGGCACACACACAGAGAGAGAAGACTGTATGTATGAGTATCAGGGAACTCCTTCCAAGTTATGCTCCGAACGCATAACCTAGTATCGATACAAAGGATGACCTGCTCATATACTCCCCTGACTTTGATCCCGAAGGAGGCACAAACTCGCTCGACGTCCTCGAGTCCCGACGGAAACAGTGAAGGGGAATGACAAGCCCAAATCTTTGCGCCCACCATCCCCACGCATCCCGGAGTGATACCAAAAAGACCTCACATCATGAAACTCGAGATAGCGCAAGACGCCAATACGACCTGAAGGGTTACATTGCCGCGCCGGTACCGCCCAGTTTCCACGGCACCTCCCCTCCCTCCCTCCCTCCCTCCCTCCTCCTCCCACTTTTCCCGCCCTGTGTCTCGATGCTACCTTACGGCATCCTGTTTCGAACCTTCTCTCGGGCTTCTTTTTTCCATTTCGTACTAATCATTTTCCCCGAGTCCACTTCAATGGCGCCCGAGACTTTTGTAAATGTCTTGCTCGCTACTAGGCGGCTACTGTTTGGCCTGTGTTCCACCTCACGATGCCACCTCGCGGGTGACAGGGACCTTTGATCAGGATTGGAGTGGTGCGGATGCATCGCTGACTGACTGAAGTGGATACCGAATACACGCTCAGAGACACTCCTTCTGCCCGACTCCGCGGAGAAGAGGTTGGAAAGGTAAATTAAGTGGTTGTCAGATGTTGAAAGAGGACATTGTGATGATAGTGAACAGTCTTTGTAAATCGAACAGGAAGCGGTGGTATCAAAGAGCTGACGAGAAGGATGGGTGATTGTAGCAGTCATCAATGACCCAATAAGCAAGACACAATCGTGCTCTGAATGGTGTCCAGCATAATGCGAGAGGTCGGACATTGAACGCTTAGAGACATGAGAGATCTCGCACTTACAAGTGTTTACAAATACTTGTTTACCAACCGCAGTCTAGCGATTACCTGTACAGTACTCGAAGGATCGTAAGTCCAGACACATCCTTCTTCTCCGTCACGAACACCCAATTTAGCGACATATCCTATCAAAACCCCACAGCCCCAATTGCCAAAACATGGCCAAGCAAATAGACAACATGCTGCAGCAAATACGACTGAGCCAAGTTCGGAATCGACAAGGGCCAATACCTATGCAAGTTCGAGACCAGGCCCGTCGGTGTTGACAGAATATCCAAATTACCCAGAATGTTTGAGGAGGAAAGTGAAACATGGAGGTACTCTGGGTACACTGCTTGCGCATCAACCGCATCTACACTATCTCCGTCAGCGCGCCGTTAAGCTTTGATTATCATATGCGTGATAGAGGTATCATTGATAGGCGCCAGCTCACGTCAGACTCGCTGCCGAACAAAAGGAAGATACAGGGTACCTAGGTAGACATGGTAATTAGAACATTACTATTGGTGTGATTCCTTTCTGCAGAGATAGTGTACAAGCATACCTCTAGGGTACTGTAATTAACAGGAGGCTTTGTCGATCATTCCTGAGAACGTGGGGGGACCACATATCGAAGCAAGTACCGTGCACTGCAGTTGAAGGATACCTCTGCCGGGAATTCAAGTCCTTTGCCAACCACTCATACAATTTGCATGGACTGGATGGTATTTTTTCTCAAATTCTCGTGCGTAGAGCCGAGCCGCACTTTGACTTGAGCGCAGCTGCGGGCTCCCAAGGTCAGTCACAGTTTCCTTAAAAGAACGAAGCCCTACAGTACCGAGTTTTCACAGCAAGTGCGAACCTGGCTTCCTTACACTCCTCCTGCCACTGCATCATTTAGGTCAAGGTGTCTCTTTCCTCAACAGCCCTTATCAATGCAGTGATATTTGCTAGGTAGTGACGCGGCGTATGCAGCAACAATCTTTCCTTCCTGCCCTCCTTATACCGTACTCGCTGACTTGACATGATTGTTTCAGTCCCAGCTGTCGCTGTCAGGTACGTGTAACACCGATACACTGACGGAACTGCATGACCCTTTCTACGGTGTCACTTAGCCAGAACACTGCATTGAAGGTCAATGTCATCATGTCAACGAAAGAAACGAGTGCTATGCTACCTCTAGGTCAGGTACGTACCTCCAGGTAGAGTAGGTACATTAGTAGGTGAAAAGAAAGGAAGTCTTGCGTCTTCAAAAGCTTACAGTCTCGAAATCAAAAAGCCACTCGGCCAGTCGAACCACAAAAGTATGCTGAAACCAGAATACTTCCAGAAAGTACCTCCGTTACAAGCAGACTGAACCAACAAAAAGCCAAACATCCCCTCAAACAAACCGCCTACCCTCTTTCTCTACACACTCGTCAACTCGACGACCCAGAGTTCAGCGACTCCGTCACTCAAGCACAACTAGCCCTCTTGAAATCCACCCTCAACTCAGGCGGACTCTGCTCAATGTCCCACTTGGTCCCCACCTCCCTCCTCCACTCCTCCTTGTCCCACTCATACACCTCTCTCCCGACCTTGTCCAGCCCTTCCGAGTCGCTCCTCCACATCTTTTGCTCATTCCTCAACCACAGCCTCAGCATATGTCTCTTGTGGTGTTCGCCTTCATCCACGAAGCTGCTTCTAGCATGCAACATGGCAAAGTTGTTAAAGATCTGCATGTCCCCCTTTTGCAGCTGGATCTCGAGCGCGTGTTCCTTGGCCAGGAAATACACCATGTCGAGCGCCTCGGCTTGGACCTCGCTCATGGCTGGGACCAGGGGGTGGTGAGGCGAAAAGTGCGCGCCTGTGAGCGGGCGGCGGGAGAACTGGAAGCCTGGGCCATGATGTTCCTTTCTTCCATCGACGCTGGAAGAAGAAGAAAAGTTATACAGAAGCGGCCGCGTGTGATACTGGTTCTTGTAAAACTCGTCAAACGGCCAATCGTCCTGGGCCAAAACATGAATCACGTCCGGCCGCATGCGCGCAATCTCGTTGTAGATGGTGGCTGATGAGGCTAAATATGATTCACCGCCATACTTGGCCACGCCCAGAGCGTAGAGCGACAGGACGTCGCAGAGGTCAGTATGGAAGGGCTGGGCACGGTTGACGTAGGGCGAGTTGGGCATGCTGCCGTGCTGGGTGACGTCGCTTTCTTTGCGGACGGCTTGGATGTGGAGGATCATGCGCCCATCAAAGTCCTGCATCCCGCGGGTTTCGGCAATGTAGCTGGTGACGCCGAGGTAGAGCAGAATGTTGTCCGTGCTTGAGTACTTGTCTGGGTTGAGACCGCGGAGGACGACGAAGCCGCGGCCGTTATGGATGATGTCGGAGACTTCCTCGAGCTTGGGGCCTAGGTTGGGAAGGGGGAAGTTGCTCTTGGAAACATCGTCAGGGCCAAGGTCGAGAGCTATAGAAACGAGAAGCGTCAGCTAGGGGCTCGAATGCATCACCCGTACAAGATGGTGAAGTGATGATATCTTACTCTTGAAAAATTCCAGTGCGCTCTCAATCTCCAGAATGTCTTCTTGGCTGAGCTTGACCACGTAGTCGTCCTCCGACTTAAAGTCAGACCCAGACCAGACACGTTCAGATGTGATCTTTGCAGGCCATCCAGCAGGAAGGGTGGTGGGACGGTTTAGGTTCTGTGCTGCCAGGCGTTGTACACGTTTCTTGAAGACTTTGTAAGAGGGAATCCAGTCAATGTCTGGACGAATGATCGGGTTGGTGTCCTTCTGTGGAGGTGCCATATTGCAGGCGCGAGTGAACTGAAGGGGGCAGGCCATTGTGTGTGAGTAACTGAGTGTATCGAACACTTGGTTGGGTTCTGTAATATCAGAATGTAAAAAAAAATCAAAGTTCTGATGTTCTTAGAATGTTGAGTTGAAAGCCAGTGAAGCTGAAACGATGATGCTGAGTGCTGTATTCATCTTGACAAACTCGTCTATAACCTCACCTTTATATATCCAGACTCCTCAAGGCTTAAACTACCTTCAAGGCTCATCTCAAGGTTCACTTTGCTACCTAGAAGTTCTCGAAGCCGAATTTTCCGCAGAGCCTCAAGCTCGGTGCGTAAAGAAATCTCAATCATGTCGTCATCAGAGCCTCAAGTCCTCCCCCCGGACACCGAAAACCACATAGCCGCATCGAAGCAAGTGAGTCAACAAGGTCCTCAGCTCAGTGTGAACAGCTGAGGTTTCTATTTGCCAGGCTCAAAGAGCCGCATCGATAAGAATTGAACAGACATGATTGGCGACTTGAGCTTCAAACACCGAGAACTGAGTCTGAGCCTCATTTGCTCTCCACCTGGTTCTATGAGGTAGTCATAGGGCAGACCAATGATCGTCTTCGAGCAGAGCCTCAAACAACCAAGGGTTCGTCTTGAGCCGAACAACCGCATGCAGATAAGCATGGTTCTTCACACAAGTCCTACGTTGTGCAAATAGGGCTGACGGAACAGAGAAAGTCGCACTTGGGGTACGAAACGTAGATACCCCCTTGCGTGAAACACAAATAATTGACTGATTGACGGGTATCTGATTGAGCCAACCACGGGATATCATACCATGGCTCGTCTTGGACAAAAAAGTTGAGACCTTTGACATTATACTTTGGCTAGGTATACTCCTACTACGCATCCAAGCGTCTCTGTGCCACCTCTGATCTTGAATTCTAGGCAATTCCTGAATACCTAGAAATATCCAAATGGGACTCTAGCCGATGTCTTTTCGGAGTATTGTAATCCCCATCACAGCCTTGCAACGGTCCTTTATCTAATCTTGGCGAGGGATAGCGGACTGGTTTACCTAATCTTTTATTCGGTCTCATCTGTCTTGCCTCAGGCGAGCATGGGTCTTGAATAAGTGACTTGTGGTTTGTTTCACCCTTACCTCAGGCTGCCACCCCGACTCATAGGCTGCCATGCCGGCTGACTTTTGACCGCAGTCACCGAAATGAACGACACTAGTACGCATTGGAGTGGGGATATCATATTTCTAATGCTTTCATCACGATCTACACCATTCTTCAAGAAAAGAGTTACTTTTGAGCCGCCATGCGTGGGGTTACCGGGTGTTGTCTGTCCAGTTTCTGGTACTGGTGCTGAGAACAGAGTCCCCGTTGTATGCCACCATGACAGGAAAGCGCTGTCCTACCCCCACCCGAGAGTTTCGGTCACCCAGTCACTCGTACGGGTCCTTTACTTCGACAGGGGACGTGTCCCAGTCTTCGATGAATAGCTGATGATACCAATGCCCGTCAGTCTCGTATTCATGTTTGGAGGGGAGATTGCGAAGATCATGTTCTGTAGCGGAAAAGGTCAGTGTCACCGTGTTTCAAATTGCTCGATGAATCAGACATTCTAAACGTACCTCTCTTCTTGAATTCTTTTTGTATTCTCTGCATGAATTCAACTTCTTTGGGCCCAAGCTTGGCCATCGAAGAGACCTGGGACGCTTTCCAGTCAAGGCCCAGCGGTACAGACCCATTACACGCGTAGTGGAAACGCGAGAGGATGATCTTTGCAGTATGGAAAGCCTGCTCAAGGAACTTGGTGTTGGAGTATTTGGTCTGCCTCAATGTCAGCATACAGTCATATGTACTGATCATCTGTTACCGACCGGCATTGTGTGGGTCTCGGCATGCCGGACAGAGTGTGCCGCTAGCCTTTCGATGTGGGTGAGCATGATGAATGAGGCAAGAAAGGTTTCGAACCAAGTCTCAGGCTTTGCTGGAGAGATATTCCTCTCAAACAAGCGGATGAGCTTGCCTCGGAGATGATTCAAAACAGTCTGAATTATGACCTGATCCAGTTGAGTGTCCATCATTGGAGGAATTGGAATTTTGCCATGGAATTTGGTTCCAGGCAGATTCACGCGGGAAACACCGAGTTCATTGTTCTCCAGTAATTCCCATGGGTCTTCAATCATCCTACAAATAACCCAGAGATCAAGGGCCGTATCAACAAGTGAACACTGGTCCGGTTAGCAAAACTGGACAAGTGTATTTGGGGAAGAAAACTCACCTTTTTGGTTCTGGCGTATTCGATGGCCATGGATACAATATCCCAAGTCAGACTACCATTGCCCTTGAGCATGTGCAGGTAGTCTTGTTTGGACGAGTGGAAATACTTCAATATGTTAAGATGAACCTCGTCGTAATTGGTCAGACAAAAATGGGGCATTGGTATATTGTGCTTTCGTCCCGTCCTTCTGTCCGCCGTTGGCGTGTAAGACAGTTTGTCTCCCGGCAATGGCTCAAATTGGGAGGCGTACACCACCAAATGATGTTTGCCGATGTTCTGTGTGAGCTCCAGCCTAATGACGCCAACATCAGGTTTCGAGAAGTCTGTAAGCCTGAAAACCGTTTCTCGCTTAATGAAAAGTGGTTCATTGACCGCTGGGCCTGCAAAAGATTGCCTATTGTTAGCAAACATTTCAACTTGGATCGGCTTTGTTCGAGGATTTGGACATGCCTGCACGAAAGAACAGCATATCCGCTAATGTCGAAGTGAAGCAGGGCATTCGTAGAACTCCCTTGTATGTCTTCTGAGTCGCACATACACCACAGCTTTCAAAGGGACCTTTCTCGTGAAGGTCACACTGCGTTGAGATTAGTACATGGGTATGAATCAAAACGGTGATGAGGCTGCAACTTTACCCTTCTCTTATTCTCCTTACACCAATAACAAACCCCATTCTTTCTGGCCAACGCACTGGTTCTCTTCTGCTCTTCGGTTTTCCGAACCTTTTTGACGGGTTTCTCCCGAGGGTGAAAGACGAACTGGAAACCTTTGACTGTCCCTTCTTGATCTCTCATGACATCTTTTCTAACAATCTTGGCTGAACCGTCTTTATCATCATCGTCATAAGTCAGCCGCTTTTTGGAGGTCCTATCACCTATGTCGCTTCCAGCAGTGTACTGAACGAACTGAAAAGTCGCTGACTGGCTCTTGCATATGCGCTTCGGCAAGCTGGGCTCTGGGGTGGGCGGACCAGAATTACCAGTCGACTCAGGAGTGGTGGCACTTGTTGACAAAGACGGAGTTCGTGGGTCGTCTCTCAACTGTGGCGTACGTGATGTTGAGTACGGTATCAGACTTCCACATCCATCAAGAGGAGACTGGACCCCCACAGAGTGGTCGAACCCAATTGCCTCACGATCCACATCATGCCCGTCATACCCGTCGCAAGGCTGTGTCACCCAGTTGTAGAGATCCTCTTGAGGATCGAGCCACTGATTCACTGCATCTGTCAACTCATCAACGTACTCCTGGATGAGATGGCTTCCATTTTCTTGATCCGACCAACCACTATGTCCTGAGGCTCCAACAGGTTGGCATGGCTGGGACGATGCTACAGCATCTGCCAAGACCGGTGCATAGTTTATGCTTGATGACAAGTGGTTAAGGTTCAGATGAAAGGCGCCGTATGAATGCTGGTGCTGTCCAGGATTTGCACTGTTCAAGTTTGCTGTGGGTTGCTTCGCCCCGAAATTCCAGCTCTGAACTTTGTGATGACTCTCTGAAGTAGGCCATCGATAGCCTGGAGGCGCTGAATATAAGCCATTGTCTTCCCCGCTTCCGGAAGTCCCTCGAGGCAGGCTAGAGTAGGCATCAACGCCAATCATTTGGGGTGGATGGATGATTCCGCATGGTGATGATGCCAGTCCTGCATTGGGAGACGCATGACAGTCGAGAGCCTGATCAGATACGATGTCATGAGGCTCCGGATAAGCTTGGCTCGAGGGGTTGGGGAGTCTCGGTGCTGATGCCGGAGCAGGGAGTGGGATTAGATTCAAGAGAGCTGCCTGATGAGTCGGCCTCGGCCCAAGAATACGAGAAGAGGAAGGGTAAGCGGCGTCGGGTGAATGGTTGAAATCGATCCCTTCCCAATTCAAGTCTGACCAGAGACCAGGAGGAATGGGAAAAGAGACGGAAAAGAGGTCTGGGTTTGAGTCGTCATAAGGCTCTGCTGACCCCACGAGGGAATTTTCGAAGAAGGACGAATGGGGAAAGGGACCCAAATGGTCGGTGGGGGGTTGAAATGCCATCTTGTCCAACTTTGGGCAGGTGGCTGTTCCAGCTACATAGCGGTTATTGAATTAGCGTGGATAATATGGGACAAGGCTGCGGAACCTCAAGGAGGTGAACCGATGAGGAGGTTGGACTGCAATCGCCGTGTCAAAATGGTTGCAAGGTTGTGCATCGTGGAACACCCAACCGACATACCTGGACACTTCACTTCTTTATGATTCCCCCGGGGTCTTCGGTCCCAGCTTGTTATGTAGGCAAACGACAAGTTGGAGAGCCGATGCTTGAGTGTTGGAGGCTTAATGTGTTACCTAGGACTCCTTCCCGGACACTCTTGAAGATTCGACGTGAATGCCCGGTTTCCCAAGAGGCACATGGAAAGCGAGGGCGCCACGCGGAAAGTTGTGGCTCGTCTCGTCATCCCCCCCCAGCCAGGCTTCTCGCCCGTCATCGCGGTACCTATGATAGGTACTCGGCACATCCATATCATATTAGGAAATTCCTGCTCGCCGCAGTTCCTGTCTGGGTATGGTCTCATGCAGGATCCGCCTTACGGTCTCGATGGAACTGGGCAGTTCGGGATGGTGTTGTCGTTCTCAGGTTGGAGGGGTTGAGTTGCCCGGATTGGTTCGTTGAAATGTTACAGTGCATGTCACATACCCTGGGCTGAACTGCAGAAAGTTTCATGAAGGTGGGTGGCAGCCGTCAGCGGTTGGTAGCGGCTGCTTCTTTGACAATTTCCTGCTGAGGCGTTATCCACTTACAGCAAAATGTGGCTTTGACTCCGGAATATGGCCATGAGAGCGAATATTTCTTGTACAGCTCCACAATCACCCAATCACATCACCGAATTCCATCTCATCTTCCCGTCGGTTTCTCAACCTTCAATTACTTAGGTCATTGTGGGCGGCTGAGGCTGAACTCCTCACCAAAGTACTATGACATATCGGTCAGCCATGTTGTCGTCGGATGTCTGAAGTTTTCAATACTAAAACACGTCCACCTTCTTTGACATGCATTTCCGTTTGTAACTACCATCAACCATTGCCTCGGCCTGTTCACCGAGTCACCGAAACGCTTCAATCTGGAATCCAAGGTAATCTTGACACGGCAATGTCCACGACTAAATGCGTTTGCCGTTCGTTGGACAAGTTACACCGCCCAAACGATCCAGTCGAGGCTGCCCCGCATACTTGCATAAGAAAAGGTGCGACGGCAAGCGATTCTCAACAAAGCTCAACAGAATAGGCGGAATGCCTGGCTGATCTGTTCGTCACAATCATCGGTCAGGCTGTCAGCCAAAAAATGTCAGCCAGTGGGAGGTAATAAGGCTCGCTCACTGTCCCTCTTTCCCCACGCTGGACTTTTGGGTCGGATATGGTAGTAGTTGCCCAGTGGGAGCCTCAACTATTCTTCAAACGATCACTACTCAAAAGAACTGTCATGATCAGGCTTGGACTCCCGTCAGACGTTGATGCCATCACCAATGTCATCATCAAGACAATGCCCCTCGACCCGCAATGGGACTACCGTTTCCCTCTGCGGAAAGAATTTCCCGAGGACCACTACAAGTACACGCGCATGTTATTCAAATACTTCTTAGACCCTTCGTTTGATGACTGGACGGTCATGGTGATTGAAGACGTTGACCCCGCCGGCAGCGAGAAGCTCAAGATCGCCTCCATTAGCGTATGGGATGTCTCGTATCTGAACAAACGCAAAGATGGACCACACTATGTCCCCCAGGACCGCAAGTATTCATCCAAGCCCACCTAAACCGTCAGCTTTGCACTAACCGCTTGGAAATAGCTAACCGTGAGGTTGACAAGCGAGGAGGCAGCACACGTAGAGATGCCAACCAGCAACACTTCAACGCCTTCCACAATGGTCAGGCTAAGGCCTACAAGAAGTACTTTGGGGACATTGGGCCGGAGCAGCTTCATCTCCAGATCCTGGCAACCTTACCAGACTTCCAGAGACGCGGCCACGCGACTACGCTTTGCAGATGGGGAATGGACGTCATTCGCAGAGAGTCCTTGAAGGACATCTCGGTCATGGCGAGCCCTATGGGATATCACCTGTACACACGGCTGGGATTCGATCACCTTGCTACCGTCATCATTCAGGTCCTCGGAGAAGATGAGAAACTTACTCTTCAAGCGATGAAGTATGCCTCTATCGTGGATGGGAAAATTGGCAAATCTGTAGCTGCTCATCCGGTTATAGCCGCTAAAGTGTAAAGCGAGGGCTTGAGCCGTCTTACTAGAGACAAGCTGCAAGGCTGGTGTTGGTTTCACACAAAGTATGGTAGCGATGACTTATTTCTAATGTTTTCCTCACTTTCCCAGCCAAATCGCTCTGAAATCCCAAATTAATACCGCAAACCTTGACTACAGTGAACCCGCTTTGACTGTGATAAAGTTAAAGTCACTACTAGAAAAACGGCACAGACGGCTGATTGAAATCCCAACACAAAAGAACTCATATTAGAATTGCTGAACAAGTGGAATATCGACATGACTTTCTTATTGAGGTCAGAAAGAAGCGGCCACCTGGAATGACAATTCAAACAAGGGCTGAAACTCATAGAAACGGACCTTTCCCGTGGCAGGAAGGAAGCAAGCGTCCAGGTACGATGTTCTAACTATAGATCGCGACTTCTTTGTCTAACTGTTTTGGTTCAACCAGGGGGAGGGCGGTACTATATTGATGCTTTCTTCGTTAAGATCCGGAGACTTTCACTTCGCCATCTGTTCTTCATCGTCCATTTCCTCTCTCTCCACCTCAAACTGTCATCGGATTCATCTGGCTTCAACATTTCCTATTTAGAACGCTACTTCACAGGTCTTGAATGGTGCACAACCTAGGAACAAGCATTCCCAACCAAGATCAAACCTAGAATCACTGCTTAGAATCATTCATCCTCTCTCTCTTTCTACTCTCATAGGTGCAATGGAACATGGGTGGAATTACATCTTGCTCTTCGTCTTCTCCCTCATCCTCATCCTCGCCAACGCAGCCTCGGTCCACAGCGCCAACACCCGTCGCCAACTAGTAGCCGCCATCGAACCCAACACCGTCCTCGTCGAGCCCCACGACCAGGGCCATCTTGCCCCAGCAATGCCCTTCCTCGAACCATTTACAGCCACAACAGCTCCAGCAACAACAGCAACAACAGCAACAGAAACAAACAAAATAGAAGCAGTATACCTCCCCCCCTCCACCTTCCCCCCCGAAGCATCCTGCATGATGGCCATCTGGTCTCTCATAGTCGACATCCCCACCCCCGGCCCTGCTCTCTCGGCCGCCCTCCACCAAGCCAAAGACACCCTGGCCCCTTCGGCCATGGCAAGCCCTCAATGCACCATCACGCTTCCCGCCACGTTGTCAAGCGAGTACGGGGTGTACACATCCAGAGTGAGTAGCTGGGTGAGCAAACACAGCAAGGAGCTGGATACGTTGGATAGTGTTTGTGCGGAGACGTCGCGAGATACGGGGACGGGGCCGGGGTGTACGGCGCCGGTTGCGGTTTTTACTGGTGAAACTTCTGTTGGTACTATTTCTACCGGTGCCACTTCTACCAGTGCCACTTCTACTGGTGCTAGTTCTATTGGTGCTACTTCTACTGTTACTACTTCTACTGGTAGTACTTCTACTGGTACTAGTACGGCTGCGGGTGGCGGAAAAAGTAGCACTTCGAAGGCTACGGGGTCTAGTGCCGGGGTGATGACATCAACGAAGATGGGGACAGGGATGACAACGACGACGACGACGGTGGCTACTGTTACCAGTTCGGTGACGAGTTCGCTCACCGGGTCGGCGACAACTGTGGCGGGGGTGACGAGCTCGCAGTCTGTGTCGGGGCCGCAACAAGCGGGTAGTGCGGCGAGGATGACGGGTGTGGTGGCTGCTGCGATGGTGGTGGCTGGATTTTTGGCGGTTGTTGTTGCGCTGTGAAGAAACCAGACAGGATTGTATGACCATGGATCGGGGAAAAGACCACCGGAGGGTACGGCATTCTGTTGCATTATTGGCCCATACATGGCTGGAATAGTAATCAACAGGTTAGGTTTTCCTATATAAATACAAACTCTCTACAACCACGGCGTCGGCTTTGGCAGTGTCGCCATAGCAGTCGAGCACTTGTCCTTCAACGCGGCTTTCGCCTCCGGGCTGGTCGAGTTGACGCAAGGAACGCCAAGATCACCACTGATTCCATCGCAGATGACAACTGGCTCATCACCGCAGGGGCTAGTGACGTTGAAGTTCTTGAACTTGATGTTCTCGCACACGGCGTTGGGGCTGCAAGTCAGGCGAGCAACAGCGCGTCCGTACTTGCCCGAAGTATACCCGGAGAAGTTCTCGAAGTTCACGTTACTGATGTTGACCTGGGAGGGGTACGCGGAACAGGTAGTAGCGTTGATCTGGGTACTCTGTGTTAGTTTTTGACCTTTGTTTCTTTCTGTCAGAGAACAGAGACTTACATTAAAGTAGCAAGAGTCAAGAAAAGCACTGTACTCGTTATTGGCATTCCAGAAGTTGCGGAACGTGACGTTATCAATGAAGCCATAGCCGACATCAGGACCGGCCCATGACTTTAAACGAGCACCGTGCTGGCCGTTCAACATCCACAAGTTCTCGATAACCACATCCCGGATAAAGCTCTTCTCGCCGGAATACTGACCAATCGACCCCATCGACTGTCCGTGAGTGCCGTTGCAGTACATGGTGTTCACGTACAAATCCGTAGCATTAGATTTGGGGGAGAAGCAGTCGTCACCAATGTTAACCCAAGCACGCTCGACGCTAACGTGCTCGACATTGAGCGAGTCAAAGAAGTCCGAGTTCTTGGGAAGAGCGGTGGCGTTGTTGGACTCGGCCGTGCAGGCCACGTCCTTGAAGGAGATGTGCTTGGAAGTGACAAAGAAGGTGGTCCAGCAAGGCGAGTCCTTAAAGTGAATACCCTCGATCTCGATACCGGTAGTGTTCTCAGCATAGAACAGGATCGGACGCAGGTACGTGTTGCCGGGGTCGAGAATCTCCGAACCAGCGAATTCGTTCCACCACCGCTGACCGTTGCCATTGAGAACGCCGTTGCCGTAGATCTTGATGTTTCTACCACCCCATTTCCAAAACATGAGGCTGTTCTGGAAGGGATGGGCAAACGCGTTCTTCTGCCAATAGGCCGTGTCGTTTGTGAACCTGATTTCGCCCTCGAGGTGGACATGGACGTCGTTGAGGAAGGTTAGGTCGAGCGGCTTGCCAATGACAAAGGTTTTGTCCTCGGGCAGGTAGAGGGTGCCGCCGTTGTTGGCCTGTTTGAGACCGCGGAGGAAGTCGTCGGCAACGTCATCAGTGTCATTTTGCGAGGCCCGGATGGAGACTGTCTTCCGACAATGGCTGCTGCGCTTGACTGTGTAAGGATGTTTCTCCTTGAACTCGGAGAGGGAACGAGGGATGCCGGCGGGGAGCTCAGGGGCAGGGAATGCCGAGACGACGGCGGCCACGAGGGCTGCGAAGGCGAGGAACTTCATGGCGGCTCCAGAGAGGGAAGTTGCAGGCTGGATGGCGCGGTACCACTCGGTATCTTCAATAAGGACGGGGCCATTGGCCTATTATATAGTCGCCCCCTTCGCATGGTTGTCGCCCATCACACCGTTTCTTGCGATTCTCGACACCGATGAAAGCTCGAGTGACCGTCGATCCCACCTATCCCATTGTCCCGGTAGTATATGCACGGCCGACAAAGTGACGTTCGCATGGTTGTCGGCAACGGCTCCTTGGCCAGCCAGGTCGTAGTCGAGATAACATCAGTGCAACCATCGTGTATCGTTCTGACGGGTGCGTTGGGGAAAGGAAAACATCTCGATGCCATTGATGGAAATTGGGATGCCGTCCACCGGAGAAATCCACCTCCAATGGTTCCCCCAGGGTCCCTGAGAGGCCCTGACAATTACTTCCCCGCATTCCGCTAGTTCCTTATAGCCCCAGGCTACCCTACCTCTACCCCACAGCGGGCTCTTCCCTATCGGTTTCGTGCGGAGTAAGATTGGCGATGATCCGGGGATGGGAAGTGGAGGACGGTGCCCTGAATACCTAGTATGGACGCGGATAGATCAAGGGACAGGGAACAATTATTGAACGGAACATACGATAGGTATCCGAATTGTTTGACTAGTCTTGAATATTGCAATCATAGCTTACTATCCTTCCAAACAGGCTTCCTCTTCTCTACAAAGCTCGCCACACCCTCTCTCATATTCTCCCCCTTCTCCAGCCTCCTATACATGCCTCCCTCCAACACCGCCGTCGCCTTCTCCGGTCCCATCCCCTCCCAACCCAGTCTCAAGCCCTCCTTACTCGTAAGCACCGCATCAGGCGAATTACTCGACACCTCCTCCGCCAGCTTTACAGCTTCCTCAACCAGCGCCTGCTCGCCGCTGACAATAAAATTAACTACCCCCCACCTCTCCATCTGCTCAGCCGAGTACCTATTCCTCCCCAACAGCGACATCTCAGCCGCCCTTTGCTTGCCCACCGTGCGCACGAGACGAGGCAATGCGCCAGCAACGGCAATAACTCCCACTTTGACCTCGGGCAGGCCGAACCGCGCGTTGGAGGAGGCAATGACCATGTCGCAGTTGATGACCATCTCCATGCCGCCGCCGAGACAAAGGCCGTTGACAGCAGCAATGATGGGTTTCTTGCCTGAGCGGTTAGAAAGCCCACCAAAGCCGGCATTGAGGCCGAGGTTGCCGACGCGCGAAGAAGACTCGTTGTTCGCAACCCGTGCGGCGGCGGCGGCCGCCTTGCGAGAGGCAACGGTGCCGTAACCACCGCCGATGCCGGTGTTGATTCTGGCGTCATCCACATCGCTAAGATCCCTCTTCGTAGTCTCCTCGGTTAGATGGGCGGCGCTCTCGATGGCCTTACGCCTGTTATCGACCGTTCCATATCCGCCTCCAATGCCTGTCGTCAGCTTGTCCTCGTCCTTCATCTTGCCATCCCTAGCGCGACCCTCCTTGACAATCCCCTCCGCGAGCGCATCCGGCTCTTCCCCAGATTTCTTACCCTCCGCCTTCCGGAGTGCTTCCCTCCTCTTTCCCAAAGTCCCATACTGTCCTCCATGCTCCACCCCATCCACCAACCCCTTTCCTCCTCCTCCATAGTCCTTCCGCTTCTGCTGATCTTGGAACTTGCTATGCAACTCATTCCACTCCTTCAGATCTGCGCCCGCGCAAAAGGCGCGCCCCGCACCCGTGATCACCGCGCACCGCAGCGCCGGCTCGGCATCGAACCAATCCCACAGCGCGGCGAGCCGCTTGTGCTGGGACGTGGGGATGGCGTTGAGCTGGGCCGGGCGGTTGAGCGTGACGAGCAGAACGTGCGGGGCTGGGAAGGAGAGGAGGGTGTTGGGAACGGAGGGAGGAGGGGTTTTGAAGCTTTGGGTTGGCGTGGACATGGTTGGTATTGTTGTTCGGCAAGTGTATTGGTTTGGTGGTGGGTTAAGATATGGCCCCGAGTGGTAGATGACGTAATTGGATTGTTTTGGCGAGTATCTCAGGGCTTGATGTTTACTTGATGTTGATTCCAGTGGACGAGGTTGAATGCTGGGGTGTCGTGATGGCAATGAAATACACCTTGGAAAAGATAAACCGAGCAAAACCATGTGAAATTCGAAAATCAACAACTAAGGATTTTCAATGAACTTATATGTTAACGAAGGACAACGCCCAAATGCCGACTGAACCCAACCCTATTGGATCACTGTATCAAAGTGGCTGCGACTCAACCCAGGACAAGTGCGGGCAGATGGCGCAACCCTTGGGTTTCCCCTCGCTGCCCGGGTAGATCTGGGGGCATTTGCCGAGGCACATCAGATCAACGAACCAACACCAAGACCGCGTACATTTCGCTGAGAAAAAAAAAAAAAAAAAATATTCAATTAGCGCTTCCAACGCCTCATGCTTTGTTGGCTATTCTTTCCTACAAGCATGTGTTTTTTTACAATGTAAATACCACAAGATCTCTAGGCCTTGATCCTTCGTGGATTGTTTCATGGCCCTCAACAGAGGCCATACAGGACCGAGGAACAAACCCGCTGTCGTTGGCTCCCAGACATTCTCTTAAGCGGGCAAACCGCGCTTCTCGCTCTCCGTAAAGAAAATCACCATCCTCCACAACTTCTTCACCAGATCCTCCGCATCTTCATCAAGAGCCTCGCCCAATGTCTCCACCAGCTCGGCGGGCTTTTGGTGCTTGCGCAGGTGCTCTTCCACCACGTCAACAAGGAATTGTTCTTGTACTCCAAGATACTCGACCACCTTCTTCTCCACAAAAGGCCGAAGCTTTTCGCTGATGATGGATTCTTCGAGGTAATCCCACTTGACGTCCCAAGCCCAGAGCCCGTCCTTGTCCGCAGGGATCTCCTGCGCCAGAGCGCGCACGGCCTTTTGCAAATCCTCCTCCGACATGGCCTTGGTGTCGGTGATGGGCTCGAATTTGATGGGGACAAGTTGCCGCTTGGTGGTCTGCTCCTGTTCCTCGTCGTCCAAAAGGCCCTCGACTTCGGCAACAGTCCTGCGGGCGCCGGCGGAACGCTGGGCTGCCTTTTGAGCCGCTGCACCGAAGGAAATGGTAAACCGCTGGGGGGCAGCCGGCGCCGCAGCTGGCCGCCTCTCCATCTCCTCGGCCTGCCGCTCGAGGAAGGAGTCGGCCATACCCCTGGCTTGTTCCATCTCTGCTTCGGCCTTGCGCCTCTCGTCCTCCTCGGCCCGCCTATCCATCTCATCCCGTGCCTGTTCGTCGTTGCGCTCCTGTAGTCGTTTCCTGACCCAGTGCGCGTGGTCGCGGTAGTACATGTGGTGTTTACGGGCTGCCTCACGCTCATCGTCCCAGCTCTTCTCCCTCTCGAGTTGTTCTTCCTTTCTCCTGGCGAATCCTTCGGTTTCCGTCTTCTCGCGCTCCTTCTCACGCTCGAGAGCAGCTGCACGTTGGCGTTCACGGTTCACCCATTTCCTTTCGGCCTCCAAGTAAAGCTTTTCCTCCTCTGCCTTCTGCTTGTTAACTTCGCGTTGGTATAGCTCGTCATCATCGGCATCGGTGTCATCCTCGTCCTTGAAGTTATAACCGTTTGATGTGCCGCCACCGACAAACTCGACACCTCTGCCTTGTTGCCCACGAGGTCCTGATGGCGCATTAGGCACACCACGCGGGCCCAGCGGGACATGATTTGAGTTCGCCGCATCCGTAGGCGGAGGTGAATCCAGGCGTGAGATGCGTGGCGCTCCATTCCTTTGACGTTCCCTTTCCTCGAATTCTTCTTCCCGGCGTAGACGCTCAAGGTCGCGCTTGTTGCTCCTATCTCTGAAAGCAGCGATCTCGGCGGCAACAGTCTCGCGCATCTCGGCTGGAATATCCGCCAGCTCGTCCTCCTGCGCCAGCGGAATGTTGATAACCTCAACGCTATCTCCGGCAGCATTTGTTCCGTCGGCCATAGTAGTGTCTCCGTCGGCATCCTGTCCAGTGCGAAGACGCGGGTAAAAGAGGTCTCGAACAAACTGCTTGAGCGCAACCTTGGCCTCACCTAGTTTCGCCTCAAAGGCCGCATCCTCCCCTCTCTCCTCCTTGCGGGCCTCAAGGTACTTTGTCGTGTTGACGTCAACCTCGACCTTCAGCTTGACCTTGTCGATATCGGCGGCGAAAGCCTCGTCGTCATCTTTGGGGGGCTCGTTCTCGGTCGGTGTTTGCTTCTTCACAGGGACCTCGAGATCTTTGAGTAACTCCACAGCAATCGCTAGCGAATCGGGGTCCTCATACTGTGCAAAACCAAACAATGCTCCCTTGCAGTCCGTCAAGTGGGAGTGCCCCGAGTCCCACCTCCGCAGCCTGCCGACCGTGTGGAGCAGCTTCTGGACGCCTTCCTCGCCGCCGAGGCCGTCGGGAATCTTGTGCAGGAATATCGTTCGTAATCTCTCCTCGGGTGTCGGCGGGACAAGGTTCTGGATGCTCTCTCGCAACTGCGCGCGGGACTGTTCGACGCGATCGGAGCCGAGACCTGGACGGTTCGCACTGGTCGGGGTATGCGAATCCTTTCGGTCGTTGCCCTGGGGCATACCGGGCTTGTTGGGGAGCGAAGAGGCGCCCAGGCGGATGACGGGGGCATTGAAGTTGATGTTCAGGTTTGGGGGTGGTTGGAACGAGGCAGGTAGGCCGCTTGGTCGATTAGCTTGAGTAGCAGGAGGAGGCTGCTGGACACCAGGAGGTGGTGCCAATCCGGGGGCAGAGGACATGCCTGGTGGAGGACCTATAGACAGGAATAGGTTAGATGACATGGCCGAATGAAAAGGGAGGAGCTGTTTCGGGGCAGGAAGCTTACCTAGACCGGGTGGCGGAACCATGCCCGGGGCCATGGGCACACCTGGGTATGCGGCAAAGGTCGGTGGGGGGCCGTAGGGCGGCGCTTCATACAGAAACGACATTGTTAGTATGTGCCTGGCGCCAATATGACAAGGACCATAATCGCAGGCGCGCATAGAAACCAGGGCGACGTCAACAATGGGACATACCTCCATAGGGATTAAACGCCATGATGAATTTGGGGAAAGTTGGCTGTCGAAGAGGTCTTGGGGCTGAGGTGGGTAGTCGTAATCTCGGAGTTGGAGTTGGTCTAAACTCAAAAAGATCGGTACAGATCGGTTCGAGATGCGGTATACGTGTTGTTGACTCGAACGGAATATAGTCGGTTAATAGCTGGTGGGTGTTGGTGGTGCTGGAAAGCGGCAGTTTCCAGTTTGGAGGTGCATGGGAAGGGAAGGAATTGTTGTAAGTGTTTGATGCCGTTCGCCAAAACTTCAATCGCCCCCGGTCACTGGGTGACTTCCGCTTGCGTGGACGCGCACCGGCAACCGCACTCAGCGATCCAGTTGACTGGGGTCCATGGCACTTTGACCAACCTGACTGGCGGGCGGGAGCTCTAAACTTCCTGGAAAGCTCCACGCTCGGACTTGCACTCGCTGCAACCGCGACCAGCTGCGACGCTGCACAACTGTGGCGCAAAAGGCTCAACTGATGGGCTTCAGCCTCAGAAAGCAAGACCTCTGCCAGCTGGTTGGCGCAGAAGCCCGGGCCACAGTCAACCGGCAACTCGGCGGAGTGGACCGGCGCGCTAAGTATGTAGCAGCAGACGCCGGGGCCCCGAACCGTGCCAGTCGCTTGGTGGGAGGCTTCGAGATTCTGAAAATCGACCGCACGATAAGCCGCTGCCCTCTTTGCGACCGAACGGAGTAGTTCATGACCAATTGAGTGAGTTACTTATCCACCCTCTTGCTTTCTCGGTCCCTATACTTTACTTTCGTCCATCAAAGTTACTAACTGTCACTTCTCACCATGTGAACAGGCCAGCATCATGGAGCTCCGTTCAGCACTCCAGTCCGTCTGCCGCACGACGGCAGCGGCCGCCTCCGCCAGCGCCCGGTCCAGCCTCGCCGGTCGCCATGCCTTCTCTACCAGCGCCCGCGTCCAACTGCAGCCACCGCCCAACCCCTATGTCTCGGGCAAATCGCGCATCGAGACTCTCCGAGCGGCTCTCTCGAACCGGAAGCCCGCCGCCGGCGCCGCCGCTGGTGGTAGCCCTGGCGCTACCTCTTCATCCTCTGCTCTCCCTCCCCGTCCTCCCACTGCCAACGACAGCCCTTGGTCGATTGTCGATGCCATCAACAAGGATAGCAGTAGCAGCACTTCCTCCTCCTCCTCCACCTCCTCCTCCGGCGCCCTCTACTCCTCCTCCAAGCCCTCGCCCATGCAGACCTGGAACGAAACCGATTTCGAGACCCGGCACATGGCTCCCCAGCAGGAGCTCAACATTCGTCTCCGCCCATCAACCGGCAGGACGTTCTACGTGTCCGGACATCAAGATTTTGCGGGCGCGCTGAAACAGCTGCACAGGACGGTTGCGGCGAATAAGGTGAAGAAGGACGTGCGGTTGCAGAGGTTCCACGAGCGTCCGGCGCTCAAGAGGAAGAGGAACCTGAGAGAGAGGTGGAGGGCTCGCTTCAAGGAGGGCTTCAAGGCCGCGGTCAACAGGACCTTTGAGTTGAAGAACCAGGGGTGGTAAACGAAGCCCTGGGGGGGAACAGAGGGTGGAAGATTGGGAGAGATTTCGCGATTTGAGCGGGGCTGTAACGGATGGAGATGCGACGACGACGATGACGACGACGACCAAATCAAACCTAGACTGGATGGGGGGGGAAACAAAACTAGAGGTCGGTCGCATCGATGTATCATCACCAAGCCAAAATCTGTTGAGACCCGAAAAGGAACCCCGCGAAGAGAAAAATTTGTACAGTATCCAGTCGCGGATTCCTGCGATTAATGAATGAAAGCCTTAAAAAAACAAGCTAACCAGTTAATGCTGTGGGTGATGGAACTGGTTAACCAAGATTAGTAGCCTTACCACCGCCAGCATGAGGGGGACCTAGATATCTAAAGACTCAAGAACTCCTGTTGAACCTGTTGGACATGGTGATTGCCTAGGATTCAACGTATCTTGGAGCATGACTCAGTCAATACAGGTGTGCAAGAAACATTCCAGGTTGATATTCACACAATTATTCCATCACTAGTCACAGCAGAATTACCTCCTTTACTATATGTAGCTAAACAGTGGCAAACTAAGACACAGTTAGGTACCCCTGATCACCTTACTCCCACTCCCCAAACCCTCCTCCATCTTCCTTCCCTGGCGTCGGACCTCTTGCAATCTTCGGCCTGCTCCTAAACACAGCATCGTAATCCACATCCTGGCCCGCACTAAGCAGTTCCTCCGCCAGCAACAGCGCCGACTTTCCTTCTTCTTCTTCCTCGCCCATGGCAGGGAAATATCCGCCCTTTGATGACGGCGGGGCCAGCTGCTTCGACTTGCGTTCCGACCGTCTCCTCTCCATTTGAGCCTTCTTTTGGGCGGACTCAAAGTTGGCCATGGAACGACGCGTGCGGGTCATGAGATCTTCGTAGGTTGATGCCCCTCCTCCTCCTCCTGCTCCTCCTGTGCCGTTGTGGCTATCGCCTGGTGTACCTGGTGTGCTTGCTTTGTAGGGACTGGAGATGGTATGTGAGCGTTTGTGAGACGCAGAACGAACAGGCGAGAAATATGTATCTTCTTCCTCATATGCGTCGCCATAGGCGTCATCGTTGTCGGCAGCGGCCTGCGAATTGCACTGAGCAAGGGTGAGGCGGGTGCGTTCAGCCAGTGAAAGTATGTACCGTGGTTTGTTCAAGGGGGAAGGTGAGGCGGTATTGACGGACGCCAAGATCTGGTCGGCTAGTTGTTGTGGTTCGGGAGACGGGTGAGAGCTGAATTGTCGGCGAGTTCCCTCAGTCGGTGGTGTGGGTGGCCGGTCACGCCTTTCTGGCTGCTTCTCCTTAGTGGAGATCAAAGATGGCCTACGGCGTGGGGGCGAAACTGCAGACTGAGGCGGTGTTGGGTTTGTAGCTTCTTGTCTTTGCTGATTCCTTGTTAGACAAGAGAAGCCCTCGGCTGCCTCAAAATCGTTGGCATGTTGTGATGAAAGAGTCGCTGATTGTCGCGACCGTGTTGGAATTCCAGCGAAGACGGCATTTGAATAGGCCAGTGGTTCTCCATCGTCGTGGACACTCTTCGGCTTCTCCAGTATAGGTTGGTATGACATATCTTCGGCTGCTGTAAACTCCCGTCGACAGGTTCGAGCAGGTGCTGCGGCAAGGTTCCTATCGTCATCATTAACATTGGAAATCACATCCGTATCAGACTCCTGTCGTGGCGGCTCTCTTGGCCTTTGTAACCAGGATGGAATATTGGATAGCTTAGGGTCGATATTAGATAACTCGGACTTGAAGTCATTGAGTAGTTCTTTGTATTCGCCCCCTAGCTCAATAGGTGTTACAGTTTTGAGGAGAGTAAGCCTTCGCGCACTTCGTCCGCGGTGCAAAGCCTCATGTCCCCTGAGTCCGAGATCGATTCCCTTCGGATTAGGCTGTGGGGCGGACTCTTTGGTCGTAGAGTCCTTGCTGGTTTTTCCGAACATCTGCTGACGGAAAGTCTGCCATCTCTGGAGTCTTTCCTTCTGGCTCTTCACTCTGTCGTCCAGCTCGTCCAGCAAACTATCTGACTTGTCTTCAAGCTCCGAAATGCGACCAGTTTGAACACGGTGCCAGACTCGATCAAAAGGCGCCGACAAGACACCGTCGATTCGGGTGTTTTTGTCACCGTGTAAGAGTGTCTCCAACCACCGCTCATTACCCGACCAGTTATGTCGCACAGTCCGCCATACATCAAACTTCACATCGTTGGAGATCTCTCTCCCGGCATTTTGGCGTCTCCTTTGCGAAGCTTGGACTCGCTGTCGTCGATCAGCAACGGTTTGCTCTTTGATTCTCAACAAGTTTGAAAACTCTCTGTATCGCTCTCTCGTCGCTTTCTTGTCTTTCAAGGTACGGCAGAGAGAGGCTCTATGGGCGACTATGAGAGCTGTGAGCTCTGATCGGTCACCAGAGTAGCCACGATCCTCGAGTGCCAGTGCTTGCGCCAGGGCGGGATGTCTTCTTCGTGGGTCATGTAACTGCTGCTCTGCTACCACTTTTTTGAGTACAGCCGACGAGAAGACGGCCAGAATCTCCTCGAATCTGTCTCCCTTGCACTCGTCGAGCATTGTCTTGCGCACTATCGCATCCCGGCCAAGCACGCCGTTCTTCTTGGCCTGTTCTAGGCTCCGGACGAGAGCGGCGCGCAAATTAAGGGATTGGACGTTTTCGAGAGGCGGAAAGAAGGGCTTCAGCTTGTTTCGAGTTTCTTCGGGGTCCCATAGGTTGAAGAGCTGATAGAGAGCCCACTCAACGCACTGAATGCGCTTCTTCTGACCTTGCGCTGCATCCTTTACGCTGAAGGTGGCCGTATTGATATCGGGCCAATCCGGGAGCAAGTCCAGATCCAGCAATCGAAGGTTGGTAAGAAATAAGGAAATGTTGGAAACATTGGAAGCATTAGACGTGTTTGTAGTAGGTTTGGTTGTCGATGACGGCGGGCCGGTCGCGCTAGTGACGGAGCTGGTGTAAGTGGTGTGACTGGCGTGACTGGTAGCCGAAGCGGTGCTCCGGGAGAATCCTATAGGTTTGCTCAAGCTGCTGCTGCTTGTCCCAGCCGAGCGGACAGTCTTGGTGCGAGAAACTTTGGAAGAAAGACTGGCCATGGTGACATTATGCATCCATCCGTTGTATGGCACTGAGGCTGTCTTTCAGTCAGATGTGGAAAGGTAGGAAGCTGAAAAAGGAAAGATTCGAAAATCTGGAAGAAGGCCGATGAAAGTGGGCGTGTACACGTATGTACGTAGTAAGCACCGAGTACTAGCAAGGGCAGCAGCTTCTTGAGGTGAAGCTACCGTAAACAGTCCAGTTGTGACAGACGGAAAATGGCGTGTCGCAGTGTCCGAGACCTTTTCTTTGGCTTCTGGAGTACATGCGCTACTGTAGTACTCGTATAGTAAGTCAATACCAAAGGAAGTATCAAGATGGCTTGAATTCATACGTTACAACGAATTGAGCCATACGTGTAATGGCTGCCAACTCAGACGTGTTAAGGTACCGCTCAGCTGTAAGCTAACGACCGGACAGTACCTACCTTTGTTGGTCGGTTCGCCAACAAGGAAACTGGCAACAGCGGGCATGTGAGGTCGGGTGTAGTGATTGCACTGGTTGGTCGTTCCTCTGGGTGCCATTAACATTAACTGTTGCGCATCGCGTGGGAAAGCGACAGCTGTTTCCAAAGTGAGAGGTTTGTCAGCACCGTAAGGAAAGATGTTTGGAAACAACAAAAGCAGTCTCGAGGCGATGAAGAGGCGACAAGGGAGGTGGGGGGAGGTTCCTTGAATTCTGATGATGGAATGCGCGAGCTTGGAATCTCCAATCAGAATGTGCGCAATTCTTACCGCATCGTTGTGCCGGGGGTTAGGGTTATGGCATTGACTTGGTTGAGGCCAGTTGCCCGCATTCGCTTTTTCAGCTTGCGAATCCTCACTTTTACCACAACCAAGATAAACACATCATATGGAGTACACCAGCGACTGCGAAATGGACTGTCTCAAGTCTACAACCTCTTTGAACCATCCCACCATTTTCGTTGACGCCTACCGGCTAGTTGAGCGTGAGCCTCCATCTTAACTGAACGGACACACTCGCAAATTCTCATCTACCGCCTTCTCGAGCGTCCATCATGACTTCTTCTTATTCTAAGGAACTTCCCGCGCATCCTCGGCTGTAATTGACACCGAACTCCTACCCATCTCTCCCAAAGTTCGACGGTGTTGCACTTTCTCATGAAGCGCAACCCCCCACTCACAACCCTCACTCAACGCCCTTTCCATCGCCGACAACGACCTATCGTCTGCCTCTGCCCTCAATCAGTCCTTGTCAACCCGCGGTGTCGGTTGAGCGCTCTCGGTCAGAGACTCGTTATTCTCAACAACCCGCTTCTCCTGGGCGTCAGAGGTAGCGGAATACGGCCTCATCTCCATCGTCTGCTGCATGGTTGGCTGCACGCTCTGGACGCCGCAGACGATCCGTCTTGACTCCTCCTTTCGAGTCTTCTCCATCTCATATACCTCATCGCTGATGCAAGGCTCGCACGAGATGCAACTGCACCCGCAGCATCCAGCCTTGGATCTTCCTCTGGACATGTTTGAATTGCAGCATGTCGTCCCTCGGACGATGGCGGGAGATTGGGCGCAGAGGTTCCATAGGGCGATGAAGGGCCAGAAAATGAAAGCGGCAATGAAGAGCAGAGTCGAAACAAGTGTCGACAGGAAACTGCTGTTTTGGAGCGTGGGCGAGCGCCGACGGGCTTCTAGTGGTAAGAGGTGATGGTAGTAGACTGCCATGCCGAGGGAGGTGAGACCCCACGTGATGCAGGCCACGACGATGACGAATATCTCGGAGAAAAGCATTGTGATGGATGGCCTCTTCTTTCTTGGCTGGTATTTGTGCTGTGCTCCTGGGACTAATGCCAATGCTGATGCTGATGCTGATGCCGATGCTGGTATATGGGTATTCGAAAATGAGGGTGCGATGAAGGTGAGATCCTGCTATCAAGAACTCTCTCGACTGGAAAGCAGTGGCAAGGCACTCAAGATATATAACAGCGACATCAGCAGCCAGAACGATAAAACCGTTGGCGAAGCTTTTATTGTTCCTTCCCTTCGCACGGATTTTGTGCAATATCGCAACGGCCGAGGCAAGATAGGTCTCGGAACGGGAGGGTCTGAGACACTGCGTGGTACGCAACCTGTGCTGAGCTTTTACCCTCCATACCACGTTTCTGGCACTTGGACTCAACGACGTGCTTGGACAGAAGCAAAACGGTCTCCGAGACAGTTTGATCGATTTGTACTGTACACTCCCTTACATCTTGCTACTGACGGTACTATTGTGTAAGACTGATGCGAGACTTTGCTAATTCGGGCGTCAGCTCAGAAAATCTTTCCAGGTTTGGAACCTTTCAGCTTTGTTACTTGCTGAGAAAGCAGCGGTATCGTGCATATTGGCAAATTACACCATAGTGTTATGCTTGGGCAATCGCGACATTGGGAATCGCTATTCCAAGTCCCAACTTTGGGGGGCTCAGCTGACTGGGTAGGGCTGACTCTATGTGCAAGAAGTCTGCCTGGAGTTGATACTTGCACATTGATCTGCGCTGTTGACACACGTACCGGCGTTGATGCCGACATGCGGCCCCATCGGGAGGCCAGAAACAACATATGCATTGCAGCAAACATATCTTGAGGCCCTTCATGTACGGCGCCTGGCGCCGTGTTCGTGCAACCTAAGGTCACCGTTGACCCAGATGAGTTTTGCCAAACAAAACAGACTCCATCGTCCCTTGGTTCCAGTTTCACCATGTGGAACGTCAGTCACTGACCCTCATCTACGGAGCCTGAATCCAAGAGTGATTGGACAAAGACGAGCGTCCAGCCCCAGATTCCCATCTCTTCGGTTCCGGGTGAAGCATAATAAGACCTTGGGCCGATCGTTATGTCCTCTACTGCAAGGTGCGCAGAGCAACACTTTTTGTCGCCATGGGACATATACTTTTTCTGGCTTGGAGAGGTTGACTTGCACACTCTTCAATCCTCCATCCAGGCTAGACAGGCATGATTCTGGATGCTGGGGAGGGTATCATTCCAAGCACATATCGAGCTCCCCAAACCTTAAACTGGAGTGATTCCCGACATTTCATATCCGCTTCCCCAGAGCCACCGCAAGGGGAACTGCTGTCGGGTACTTTACACCACATGCCTCCCTCCTCCCTCCCCCAATTCTAATCCTCAAGTCGAATCAATTAGAGGGTTAGGGTCCAACGTAAGGGAGAAAAGCCGCCACCTGAGGTGTCGGTTCAGACTCGGGCGCTGGAGGGTCGTGGCGATCCACAATTTCGGCAGCTAGCTGGTGAGCCCCACTCCAGGCCGGGGGAGATTGGACGAACATGTCACAGCGGATCGCTGCAGCATGCGGTTGCCGCCAAGCAGTGGCAGCCCGCCAGGGGTCATTCGTTTTTGGCTCCGTTGTTTGAGCCCTGTTTTTGAAGACCCAGTCGACTCCATCATCACGAACCAAGAATCGGGACGGGACTCCCATCGAACGGGGATCTCATCAAAGTGGAATGGAGGAGAAGCGAAGTGGAGAACTTGGGAAGTCCTGCCACTCATGTCAACCTCATGCTTCCCGCTCGTATTTAACGAATGATGCCTCGAGAATGCTTGGTTCATCTTGGGTCCTCCTCGTGTTTCACTTTCCGACAACAAATCCTGCCAAAGCATGGTTCGACGCTTGATGATTGGGAGATCCGAGGCGGCATTCCTCACGTATGAAATCTATCGATTTGATCCTCTGTTGAAACATCTCAAGATTCCCATCCACATGTCCATGGGTGATTGATGGACATGATGAACAAACGGTGCGCTCCGGATGTAATACATTTCCTTATTCTTGAACCTGAAACTCCTGATGAGGTGGGACGGTGAGAACCTATGTATTACAATATTGTCTTGAGGATTGATGGCGTTTGATCAACCGCGAAATGAGTGGACGGTGGTATTAATCATCTGGGCCTTGGTATACCTTGGCGCACGCAATTGAGCCTCCTTCAGTTCTAGCCCATCTTGTCCAAATTGTCCATCCCAAAAAAGCTTCTCAGGCTCCTCAGCTTTGCACCAGTCTAGCGGTCCCTATGTACAGTAGAAACCCCTGAATCTGCAACTCATCCGGGCGGGCAAAAAGATTTGCACTTTCTGGGTGTTTGTAGTTGGGGGATCTGGTGCACAGACCATGAAGCCCCCTCCGGCCACTTGAAGACGCTTGGCTATACTAAAAAGTGGGACCTTGGAGCCTCGGTAACCGGGTATAAGTGTTCTCTCCCACCAAAGTTGGACCCCTGTAATTGCAAATCCTAGCCAAATCCTTTGCACTTTGCAGTTTGCAGTTTTTATATGGGAAAACAATTCCGGCCGTCCAAAAACTTGCACTTTGTGGGGTGTTTGCACTTCCAGGGGGTTGCACTTCCAGGGGTTTCTACTGTACCGTGGTCCCAAGCAATGCACCAAGTCACAGTGACGATGCGCATGTGGGAAACGGAATTCGGAGTCGCCAGCAGCGCGGACATTACCTGATGAGAGCCAGGCTCACCTGGAAATGGTGGAAACCAAGCTCGAGCCAAGAATGGAGCAGATGGAGCAAATGGAGGCCATTCGCGGGAACTTGGAGGACGGGACTGTCCTGATACGCCGAGGTCCCAACACGGGTTGTTACCACACCGAATAAAATAAAGCCAAGCTATGCCGGCGACAGCCTATTGGCTCGATGGCATTCCAAGAGGCTTCCAAGAAACCCCAAGATTCTTGTCACCAAATGGCTGGCGCTGGCTGGCGTCTTGCCTCGTCTTGGATGGTGGCTATGCACCGGCCAAACAACATTGTTCCCCGAACCGGTTTTAGCCACCCTTCGTGTTCTCTTTGAGAAACACAAGAATGTGCTGAACTCAGTCCAACTCTTCTTCTTTAAAACATTCATCGCTGGCTTTTGTTGGTTCTTCATCAGTCTGTCGCTAAACTCCCTCTGCCGCAGCTCTTTTTTTGCCCTTTTTCACACTCACTGCCATAGCGCTCGTTTGTATGGCATTTTAGTCCTATTATTTTTTGATTTTATAAGAAGTCCATTCCTGCACACCTCCCGTGTGACGCTTTGCCACCTGAATACATAACGATTTGTTTATCTGCATAACCGTCAACACCAAAATGCGTTCCACCATCATCATCACTGCCCTTGCGGCGTCTGGCACAGTTAATGCCGGTGTTGCCGGCACCAAGAACACCAAGCGTGCTTCCATCACCCCCATCACCGCCAAGGGTAACGCCTTCTTCAAGGGTGATGAGAGATTCTACGTTCGCGGTATCGCTTACCAGCCCGGTGGCTCTTCTGCCAACCTCGTATGGACCTCTAAACATCTTCCTTTGCCAAAACTCTGTTGACTAACACAGACGTTTAGGATCCCCTTGCCGACCCCAAGATCTGCCTTGAGGACATCAAGAAGTTCGAGGATCTTGGCATCAACGTTGTCCGTGTTTACTCTACCGACAACTCCAAGTCGCACAAGGAGTGCATGAACGCCCTCGCGGACGCCGGTATCTACGTTGCCCTTGACGTCAACAACCCGTTGTACTCCATCAACCGCGCGACCCCTCACCCCTCTTACAACGCCGTCTACTTGCAGAGCGTCTTTGCCACCATCGACGAGTTCGCCCAGTACGACAACACCTTTGCCTTCTTCTCCGGAAACGAGGTTATCCACGATGAGGCCGAGAGTACACTCGCCGCGCCCTACGTCAAGGCCACCGACCGCGACATGAGGGCCTACATCAAGGCGCGCAAGTACCGCGCCATCCCCGTCGGCTACTCAGCCGCCGACGTGTCCAAGAACCGCATGCAGACGGCCAAGTACTTCAACTGCGGCAGCGACGAGGAGCGGTCCGACTTCTTCGCCTTCAACGACTACTCGTGGTGCAAGAGCGACTTCAAGACCTCTGGCTGGGACGTCAAGGTCAAGAACTTTACCGACTACGGCTTGCCCATCTTTTTGTCCGAGTACGGCTGCACCACCAACGGCCGCGACTTTGGCGAGGTTTCGGCCCTCATGGACCCCAAGCTCATGACCAAGGTCTACAGCGGTGGTCTCATGTACGAGTACACCATGGAGGAGAACGGATACGGAATCGTCAACATCACCAAGGGCAAGGACATCACCGATCAGACCGGCGCGCGCATCGAGCTGCCCGAGTTCGCCGCCTACAAGAAGGCCCTTGCCAAGTACCCCGCCCCTACTGGTGACGGTGGCTACTCCCAGACGACCAAGGCCCAGGACTGCCCTCCCAAGGATGACGACTGGCTCGTCGACTCAGATGAGCTTCCCGAGATGCCCGCTGCTGCTAAGAAGGTAAGCTTTCCTCTCAACTATGCATGTGTATCATGAAGCAACCTGAAACTAACTGACCAAAAATAGTACTTTGAGAACGGCGCCGGCAAGGGTCCCGGTCTCAACGGCGCCGGCTCCCAGTGGGCCGGTGATGCCTCCCCCACCACCGGTTCCGGCAGCGGCTCCGGCAGCGGCTCTGGCTCCGGCTCCGGCTCCAGCTCTTCCGCCACCGCTTCTGCCACCCACAACGCTGCTGGCTTTTCCGTCGCTGGTCCCGTGAACAAGGGTCCCTTCGTCGTCACCGGCCTTGCTCTCCTCTTCACCCTCGTTGGTGCTGTTGCTTTGTAATTATAGCAAATAGCGACTAGCGAGAGAGTGTTAAGATGCGTCAGCTGAAAAAGCATTATGTACATAGTACTATACCACAAGAGGACATATAGACAAGGAAGTCGGGAGGATTGCGGTGATTTCGGGCCTGTTCAATTGCATTTTGATTGAAAATAATACCTAAATTAGTCAATCCACTTTTCGCGATGCATTCGCATTCTGTCGTTGTTGTTGTTAACTGTTTTTGTGTGTATGTTTCAATGCGTTGTCGTTCGTCTGGCCCGTTGATCTGCCGCACATCAGGTAGATCAGGGTTCGGTATGTATCGACAAAACTGTCGATGATGTTCGGCGATTGTCGGATATGCGTGTACATCTTTTGCGCGACGCAGGGATTTGAATCTCTCAACATGACTGGCTGCAGTGGAAATGATCGGCCTGGTGAGATCATAATGATCTATGCCAGCTTATTCTGACTTCACTTCCCGACTAGGGATACATCAGGTTGTATGCCAAAGGCAGTCTATCGTCTTGGTATCCAAAAGATGGGGCATTTGTGTTTTAACCAGGGAGGTCCCAAAATCTCCAATTTTATGGTGTTGCTAGTCGATTTTGGTTTTCACGGCACGGCAAGAACACTCCATGCAGTACCATAGACGCGCAAGCACTTCTGGTTTGGGTAGCAAGATGCAGGTCGGTAGGTATCTCTAGGTGGTCTTCAAAATACCTTCCACTATCACCAACTGAATATCACCGACTGATTCCAGCTCGACTTCCTTCAAAGCATCAAGCCCGCCGTTACAGCCCACCAATAAGTGAGCTGATGCGGTCGAGGTAGGCTGACGGCAGCAACAAATCGGGAACAAAACATACTGTCTCGGTACCGACCGGGACACAGGAACACAGCTGGCAGCCACGCTCCCACGTTATGCCGCTTGGGCACTTGCCTGTTTCGAGGGAAAATTCCCAATTGGGTTTTGGATCTGGTGGTGAGTGGGTGAGCCTCTCCCTCTTGAAGACAAAAGAAGAATTCGAAGGTATCGGATGTTACACCACAGAAGACTGTCCGTGTCATTGGGTTGTCGGGAAGGTCGTTCTTTGGATATTCCATCGGCGACGCTGCTCCACTCCGGTGGCCCTTCCCTTTGAGATGCCGTGTAGTGTGTCGCACAAGTGGAAATAGTGGACGAGCAGCTTCCCTTCCCTCCAGCTGCCTGCTGCTGGACTGATAAGTCGAGGAAGGGGTGACGAAGCCTAACATTACCTCTACCTACCAAGGCAATGAAGGTGACAGCTTTTGAACCGCAGCCGGCTGAATATTCCTGGGAAGAACGAAGCAGGAGAAGAGGTGAACTGTCAGGAAGGTGCATGAGAAATGCAACTTCCGCGGAAGAGATGTAAACGACTGGACAAACTCGAGCCGCAACTTCCCCAAATGTGCGATGATCAACATTGAGGGAAAGTGCATCACGACGAAGCCCGCTTGAGATAATATCCAGAGGCTGGCAGCGTATTATCTTCCTTCACATCGCTTCATTTCATTTATCCCCATCTTTACTCTCTGCTTCAGTTTTGGGTTTCTCTTCTCGCTGCAGAGTGGCATTTTTACTGGATGAGGTGCTATTCTATCAATGACACGCCTGTCCGGGTCCATATCCTCACCATCACCGTCTTTAACTTATGTTTCCGATCGATGGTGAACGCCCATTTGTACTAATGGCGCTCCTATCAGCGGCAAAGCTTGTCATCCTCATCGGCGTCTGTAAGTCCAGCCTCTGTACCTTTTGATTCTCAGCTTCTTGTGTAATCTTGGACTTTTTCACCAACTAAGCCCAGCTTTAGTTTGCTTCGTTGTCGCCGTCGAAGGCCGTCCCGATGTTCACCATCACTTTGGTTTCCCCGACCCCAGCCAGGGGGCACCCTCAGCGCCTGTCGCTCAAGAAGCACCTGGCAACGACCGCGTGTCCAAGTACTACCTACACGTCCATGGAATCATCGCTGCCCTCGCCTTCGTCATCCTTTTCCCTCTCGGTTCCATCCTCATTCGCTTGCTTCCAGGCCGTTTGGCCCTCCTCGGGCATGCTACTTGGCAGCTCTCTACGCTAATCGTTTATCTGGCCGCCGTTGGGCTCGGTATTCACCTTATCAAACGAAGTCCTAACACGGTATGCATCTCGCTCCCTCTTCCTCTAATCTTGGTTTCACATGCCTTTTTCTGGTCGACGAAAACTGACATCTTGTTATCATTAAACAAGATGAGCCTTGGGCGCTTGAACTACCACCCAATTATCGGCATCTTTATTCTCGCCCTCCTGTTCATCCAACCCTTGGTGGGCATTTTCCACCACAAGGAATACAAAGTCAATCGTCGCCGCGGAGTCTGGTCAGCCCTCCACCTCATACTGGGAAGGGTTGCCATTACTGTTGGAATGATCAATGGCTATATAGGCTTAATCGCAATGGACGATACACAAACGAAAGTCAAGGCAATCTACGTTGCTATCGCGCTGGCAATCTGGCTCCTATGGACCGCCATGTCGATATGGTGGGAGTGGAAGAGGCATAGGAGAGAGAGGGCAGAAAAGGAAATGGAGCGTGCCCTGGCCGAAGACGGGACAGGAGTTGGAGCCGACCGCGGAATGAATGGGATGGGGAACAGAAGCCCGGTGAATGACCAGAGCGACACAAGGGCGAAGGAAGCACTCAGGAAGGCTAAGAGGTCAAGAGGTTGACGTTAATAAGGTTTGATGTCGAGTTGATGGTGTGACAAGTCCGTGTTGTTGGAGATGGTTGGAGTCTTGCCCTTTTAATATCCTCGAAGGAGTCTTGGTATTGTACGTCCCGTATCCTCTACAGGAACAGTCGATAAAAATAGCTTTAAGAATAATTGTTATCCACCGAATAGGAATATCTCTCACCGGGCCATTCCGTGAAGATCACTGTTGTTGTGTACGATCTTCAGCCCGCCACATTTCGCCTAGTTAAATTACTTCATTTGCTTCATCGCACCATCCGACTTGGTCTCGTCCCCTTGTGGGCCCAGCACCATGACCCCATGCTCCATCACCACGTACAAACATAAGCTGCGCCCCAATGTCAAAGCCATGAACCCTGGGAAAGTCTCATCAATCATCACCATCACTGACGTCCCTGCCGTCCATCTGCAGCGCAGCAAAGCAAATCCCTATGATCACAGACGGCCAACCAAATAAACCATCAAGAGAGAATTCGTCCGAATCCAAACCGGACTAAGCCGAGACGGAAGAAGGACTGGGATACGGATCGCTCGTGGGCACACAGCCACACGGCGATACAATATTCCCCCCCAAAAACAAAACAAGAAAGATGCTCATCGGCAAGATGCTCAAACTGAGTCAACAACTCAACAAGCTCTCCAAACCCATCCTCGTCTACCTCGCCGCCCTCCAAGACGTGCCCGTCAACCCCATCCACATCGCCACTGCTGCTGCCGCCACTACGACGACGACGACGACGACGTCGTATTATGTTGCGAGTACTTGCACCGAGAGTCCGACGGCGGTTTGTCACTATCATCAGATTCCCCAGTACCACCCAGGAGGAGGAGGGGGAGGGGGAGGGGCAGGAGGAACGTGGCCGACGCCTTTTCCTTTGGTGTACTCGCCATCGACGGCGTCGTCGTTGTCGTCTGTGATGGGATGGGAAGTTTGGTTGTGGTGGTCTGTGGGGTTTTGGAGAGGTGAGATGGAAGATGCGGAGGAAAATGTCCTGCTGAGCATCATTAGGAGCCTGGTGGCCTGACTACCTTAGATCTAGTCCACTCTCCTCCAGTTGCTTACTCTAGGGGAAGAAGCGGAAGGGGTCAAATCTAAGGGAAGGGGGGAGGGGGAGTAGGATAGACAAGCGTGAAGAGCACCTTCTCTAGGTCTTCAATCACTTGTCGGCTGAGCTTATGCTTGATTCGCTCGGATTCCATGATGATGGCGAACCCTTTACGGCAGGTTGAGCGGATGATGAGCTCGAGGCGGTCGAAGCAATCGAAGCGCTCGAGTTGAGAGGTCCAGGTGCGATCCTTGGTTGTGAGGGTATTGTCTGCGGCCATGGCCATGGCCAGAAGGTCGGCCGACCTGGCTGGGTCTTCAATCTGCTGGATTCCTGTGTTTTTTGGGAAGTGGGGTTCATTAGCTTTTGCTTGCAGGAGGTGTGATGGTCTGGGTTTTCTGGCGTTATGCGGTAGGGGGCGTTTATGGTATTGTTTTGTTTGATGTCTGTGCTGCGTATCTTGGATTGGGATGGATAAAGGACCAGGGTTTTTTCAACAAGGAGCGGGCATTGACGGTTTGTAATGGCGCTTATAGGCATCTGGGTGACGGGGATTGGGCTTCAAGTACTTGGGTAGAATCTACGTACCACATTTCGTGATAGATCCGGCACCTGTTGAAAAGGGAAACGTCTCATTAGCACAGAAAGACGGAGTAGTATGACATTAGAAAGTAACGCTTCGTACCATGAATAAATGGCGTGAAATCGGTCCAAACTTTCGGGGGCGCTTGTTGTCGAAACGTGATGTCGATCGTGAAGGCTATGTACATTAGGCGGTTCAGTCTGTCGGGTTTGATCAGATCCTTGGCTGCCGTACTATTAACGATTGCGTACGCTTGAAGTGTGACAGACATACCATCACCTACCGTGAATAATGGCTCTTTCAGGCTTCCCAGGCCATCCCATCTGCAGACTGAGCAAGTTGATACCTTCGTGTTCCATGACCATATCCCTCCATGATTGTATGTAGAGCCACAGACTGTGGCTGGGCAAACGAAGGTATGCGTTGACAAGTAACTCCCGATTGCGTTGGCGAATGTCTTCGTCTATCCCGAGGGACCACGAGTCAATCTTGATTCTCAGGGTTTTCATCCTTACTACTTGATCGATGTCCTTTTCTACAGTATCACATGACCCACCTAATTCAGGAGATCGTCAGTAAATTTCTATAAAGTTCTTGCAGCTTTGTGCCATACCTAATAGTTGGTAGTCATCGAAGGCGGCGTCAACTTCCGATGAGCCCCATGTCAGTGCAAGTAGTTCCATGAATGTCTTGAAGAAACGTCGTCCCAAGTGCCGAAGCCGAATCGTTTCATGATCCTGGATTAACGTAGGCATCATCCAGAACGCAGCCTTCTTCGAGCCCAGAGAACGTGACACAACTTCCAGCTTCTTGAGTGTCTTGAGTCGACCTTCCTCATCTTCCCCTACCAATATCATGTCCAGCGGAAGAGGAGGGGTAGTCAAATACCACTCCAGTGTCCTTGCAAATGCTTGCTTGGAGTTAAAAACAAGACCGATGCAGTGTACACAATTAATGAGAAAGATCGAGTTGATGGTGTTCACATGTTGACTCCCGATCGGGAAGAAGGGAAAGCGGAACTTGTCGTTCTTAGTTATCCGTCCGTCATAGCCCTCTTGAAAGACCACGCGGCCATCCACGATTGTGCTGTAACTGTTTCCCGCCTTGTGTACAGGTAGATCAGCCAACATACCGTTGGAAAAACCATAAGGATCCAGAAACAAAGACCGGTTGAAATCCCTGCCCTTTTTAATTTCAGGATTTTGGTCTTCGTGTGGCTCAGGTAGCAGCACAGAGCGAAGGACAACCATAATCTTCGGAGAGACCGGCGCAAAAAAATGGAGTTCCAGGTAGGCAAGGCATTTTTCCTTGTTCGATGTGCCGTCTCGGCCATATTTGCTCGGCCCTTCATATATCGAGTAGCTGTTGTCGGTAAGGATGAACTCGTTCTCCGCTTCAGATGGTACGCACAAAGCCATGTAGAACTCTTGAATATGACTAACGAACCAGATGGCATCACCATGATACATCTTCTCGCAAAGCTCATCTACCCATTTCGACTCCGTGTCCATGTCAAGGTTGATGATTGTTTCGATATTATGTAACCATACCTGCATAGGGGTTTTGAATTGCGGATGTTCGTTCATGTACTTCCGAAAGAGTTCCTGGTCGTCTTCAGAATATGCGTCTGGTCTGTCGTGGCAGAAACGGGTGTAAAACCCACGACTGCGGTACTTCATAAGGAAGAGAAACTTGCGAATCAAGTTGCGCTCGTCTCGGGTGAGAACAACTCCGCCCTCTTTCGCTGCATATGCCTTTGTGATCTTGGTGAAGATAAGTGCTGCCTGGGCCTCCAGTTTGGAGAGCAACTTCTCGACTCGTCTTTGCTCCCCGGTGGGCTTCGTGAAGTCGTCGTACATGTTGATTTGCCCGAAAATCCTAGAAATGGGTTTCTCGGTGAAAACGGCAGGGTCCTGGGTTAGATCGAGGCTGTTGATTACCAGATCTCCCGGATACATGCCCTTCTCATACTTGGGCTTTGGCGTTCCTTTTGGTCTTTTGAACACTTTGGGGACCCTGTGGGCAAAGTTCTTGAGAAGGAACTGGGGGACAAAGTGTTGGTACTGTCCATTTGGTGCGGCGGGTGTCGCGATTTTAGGCTTGGGATGTGACATGATGTGATGAGAGGTGATGCTGTTCTTGAAAGCAACGTCGAAGTGGGAGAGGAGCTTTGACTTGGGAAGAAAGTGTGGAAAGTATGTAGCGGATGTACGTCGTTACCGACTTCATCGGAAAATCAGGTCGTCCATGAGAATATATTTGACGAGCTCAGCCACGGCCGTCCTCGTTAGAGTCGTGAGAGTGACATTCTCAAATGCAAGCGCCCGAGATGACCCATTCGTGAGGCCTACAGTAGCGGGGTTGGTCTTGTTGGACTCCAAAAGAAGAGAGAGTGCGCTGATTGGCAGCTTAGAAGCTCTATCTATCGGTGCGTTCGCATTGTACATACATAAATTTGGCGAATCGGGCTGACTCTGCTTGAGTTGATGGATTTGCATGCTTCCATCGCGGGCAATCAGAGGGACCCGCCGATGCAAGAGACGTTGCGTCGCATGAGAGGCAACAGGCGGCGTGCTGTTCAAGACTTCCAGTTCCGAGTGGAAAATAGTGAGAGATTTCGTGATCATTCCAAGCGTAACAAGTGTGCCGTCAGGTGTAATGCTGCTGATATTTTAGTTGGAGAATGGAGGTTGTGTTTACTATTCGTGATTGCAGGCGGAAAAGAAAGCGGGAGGAGAGGAACAGCAGGGACTTGGTTTGCGCTTCAGCCTTTGATGTACAAATATAGGCACTAAGTTTTGTAAAACTCTCATCAGTAACAAATAATGGGGCGTGTGGCTCAGTTGGTAGAGCGTTCGCTTAGCATGTTCTTTAGCATGCGAAAGGTCCTGGGTTCGATTCCCAGCTCGTCCACTCTTTTGTTAACTTTTTCTTCTGGGCTCGCCCCCTTTTTGGTCTCCTCCGAGGGTATCTGTAGGTGTCTTTCTTTTGATCTATGGTAATTCTGGATTCTGATCGTACTGAAGCGGTTATTTCTGAAGGACCAAGTAAAGAACTAAACCCTATTGGATTGAACGATGCTAGCTGACGCGTTGGCTTCGTACCCCATGTTTTGCCGTCCACTCTCCTCTATTCCTCATCGTTTGTGACACTATTCGTTCGGACAGTAGATTTTTCTAACTGACTCTGACATCACCATTTGGCTTCTTATTGCATTTCTGAAAGACCATTTAGCATGTGGCCGCATGTGTCCGTTGCCGCCCCTGATCTCCACAGACCACGTTTTCGCGCCTTGACTCCGGTTTCCGCACCTGTTTGATCTTCCCAGGGATTCGTCATAGCTTCCTCCCATGGAAAGTTAAAGGCCTCCAGAAGGGCACACGCCGTTAGATCCATGGGGCACTGGAGTATAAGGACGTTTCTGTCATCAGGCACAAGTTACAAGCCTATTCAAATCGGCCTTATTGTTGAGACCGGAATAAAAAGACCATTGGCAAGGCAGACACGAAGATTATTTAGTTGGCAAGACTATTTTTGTTGGGTTTGGGTATTGCTATTAATTTCCCCACAGCATACGACCCCTAATTACCGTCGTACCGAACATCCCATAGTGATCAATTACTCTCCAGCCCAACTTCCTTTCCTGAAGGAAGATGCTCTACCGGTCCACAATTTCCTTTTGCCGTTTACCGTCCGCTGTCCGTGAATCGTAAGTGAGTGTCCTATGTCCATACCGTTTCCATAATCGTCATTATTCGTCGCAGTCATTCACCCTTTACCCAAGCCAGTTCGTCATCCTTGAGGTCCTTAATCCGTATCAAAGAAACTGCCCTCCCTTCCCTTCGATCCCTTTCCCGAAGTCCCTGAATCCTCTAACTTGATCACCACCCCATCCCATCTCCTAACCTGCTCCCCGTAGAACCACCACACACCCGCCACTATGGCCGCAATAACTGTCTGTACCACTGCAAACCCAATACACATATCTCTCAACCCATGCCCTGACGACAAAGCCGCACCGCTACTCGAACTCGAGATCCCACTAGGAACCGCAATAACCAGAATGCCGGCAAACAAGGTCCTCCAACATGCTACGCCGGCCGCCATATCGTTTTCGTGTCTGGTAGCAGTAGTCTGGTTGTCGGGGGAGGACGTTGACGCAGTGCTCAGCCTAATCAAGGGACGAGAGATAGCGTCGAAGACGTACGCCCCTGCAGCGAGGAGACCGAGGACGAAGCTGATTGCTGGGAGGTTCATACTCAAAATCTTGCCATTGTCAATGCCCACGTTGGTATGAAGGCCAAAGGTAAGGATGCCGATAAAGAAGAGGAATGAACCGGCTGTGATGGCAACCGCGATGACCTTGTTGTTGAACTGCGTTGGAAGAGAGGACAAAACGGGAAATCGCGACTGTAATCGAGGTATGAAGAACGGTAGGAGCGTCAGGACGGTTGCCGTAGCGGTGGCGAGAAGCCAGGGACCCGTCATAAGAACGCCGATGGTGGTTGTGGTGTAGACAGAGTGGAACAGAAGGGAGAGAGTCGAGCTCAAGGCCCACAGTGATGAATATGGAAAGAGGGATGTGAAAAAAAGAATTGCTGTAGTAGGTGCAATGAAAGCACGAGGTGCTTCGAGCAGGGTGACCGAATCTGCCGATCCACTGGTGTAGGAATATGGCTTCATCTTCACAATGTAGTCGTTGATGGCATCCAAGATACGGTCCCGTCGAATACCCTGACACATGGACTCCTTGTACGGACTTTCACTACCCTCATCAATTCGCGGTAGTGTATCAGTGCGGTCATATGCTGTCTCAGGCACACCGAGGGCAATGGCCGGGACGGCAAGGACAAAAAAGCAGCTGAGAACTGTGAACTGTAACTCGAACCCAGTGTGGCCTCGCGATGTTATCCCACCAAGCAGTGGTGGACCCCATGTAGTTGTGACGACGATAATGGTGTAAATGGAAAGCCGAAGGTTGCGTTCGTGTTCCTTGAAAGCGTTAGTCATGTACATAGTAATCTCGATGAAGCGCCGGGTTGCACTTACAAAGAATATATCGTAGATAGAACTCTGGACCAGCGTATCAATGACACCCCATCCCAAACCTTGGAAAACCCTTGCGGCCACGCATTGGCTGTAGCTGGTCCTCACGCTGGTGTTCCAAACGGTACCAATGAATAAAAGTACTAATGAGATGAGATACAGCGGTCTTTTGCCACATATTTTCGATATAATAAGACTGACGAGCCCAGTAAAAGCAGACAGAATCAAGGGAACGCCGGTCAACGCCGCGGCGGCAGTGTATGATACACGATACCCATCAGCTGCCTGAGCATTTACACTGATGAAGGCTGTCTTCATAACTCCAGTTAAAGCTACCATCAGTAGCAGAGCATAAAAGCTGATCTCCTTTCGCCAGCGGTGCCAGTTCTGAAAACGTAAGCTTGTGAACTTGTATAGTGAGTGTCAAGAAAGCTTATGAACTTACCAATGGGTCTTCAGGATCATCACTTGGTTGCGGCGACAGCTCAACTCCACTGTGCTTGCCTTGCCCATATTTGATGGTCCTTGTGGTCGAAGCTAGAGATGTCCATGACGACTGTGTGTGTAGTCTTGAATGCCCAGATTTCTTTCCTAGTGATGACGCCGTTTCGGGCCGTGTTTCCGAGATCGTGCTCAGCGAAGCTTGTAATTTTAAGGGTGGTGGTTGAGCCGGCGGCGGGCTTGGAGAGCTGAAAGTGCTTGACACTGATCCAGATCGGCTGTGTGTTGTGCTTTTCCTTGAGTTTGGTGTCGGTGGTAGCGGTCTGTTGGGTGCCGGCGGTGTGCTTGTAGAAGGCATTGTCTCCTGCGGACTTGTAGAAGATGGCCTGAAAGGTTCCTTGGTAGGAAGGGGAGGTGGAGGCAACGCCATGCTGAGACCGACTATATCCCGGTTGTCCATCGCAAAATCCCAAGCCGAGTACTCTCGACGACCCAACTTGTTGCGTTCCAAAGCACGACCCAGCTGCTTGTTACCAAAGCGAGTGTTGTTGTCCCGTTGTCGCTGTCCAGCAGTCGATAACGAAGCAGTCGAGTGACACAAACGAGGAATGGACTGGCAAGAGGAGCAAAGAGGGAAACATGAGCATGGAAAGGGTCATTCGACAACGGTATTAAGAGAACGACGGGGCATGTCACACACGAGGAGGCCCACACATGATCGGGCACATTTCACGCTTGTGAGACCAAGAGCCTTGCTCATGACGTTGAGCCCTCCATGCCAGATATTGACGCCTACGTCTGGTATGGCCTGTGACAACTGGGGCTAGTCAGTATGAGAACCTCGAGGAGGAGGGCCCGCGACGATCAAGTGCGCCATGAGGGAGTATTGGCTAGTAACACAAAGCCGGAACAGTTCCGGACAGAGCAAGACAGAGATGCGATAGGATCCCTACTTGTTGACAGGGTACATGATTTCCATCCTGCCGGGAACTGATTCGTGGGGGGAAAGGTCGAAAAGGAATGTTGAAGCTTTTTCTTGCCCTGTATTTGGCTCCCTCTTCTCAAGCTCCCAGCTTGTTGGTCTCCCGCATCCACCTCGATTTGCCTTCCGAAAAAGAAACCTTTCAAGCGAAAAACAAACCGAAAAACACTTGGCATGCACAAGACACTTGCTACCCGTGCAGCCGAAAGAGCCAGATGCCATATGCTTTTCTTTTCCTTTGTGCGGCAGAAAGGCCATCAGCTCAGGTCGCACCGCCGAGTATCCACGCCGCACCCAGGAGTCCCTCACGAACGATTCGTATGTAGCTGGTTCATTGTCCCCCAGTCGGGTACAGGAAGCAACCTCAAAGTCCAGAGCTTCAGGGATACATAATAGGACCCACCTCGATCCGTGGGTAGGTATGTTTGAGTTGCAAGCGAGTTCTGGGGTGGTCGGGTCGGCAATCATCCAGGCCAGCGCCAGGCCAGCGCCATGACACCGCAAGCAGTAGGTTGCGAACTCAACCACCTTATTTTCAGCGAGCTGAAACAAGACTTGAAGCGGGAGGGGGCGCGAATGTCTCGGGAGCCACGGTGTCGACCTGTTCCGCACCGACTACCGCACCGACTATTTGATACTGGAGAAACGGTTGTACTACCGGTTTGATCGACAACTTGACAGAAGAAAAGAAGAAGAGGGGTTGAGTTCACACAAGGGAGACTCATTGGTGACGCCTCAGACCTGTCGCGCATTCAGGCAAGGTCCGCCAACCACCATCTGGCATGTCTGTTGGTAGAAACAAACAGCGGGAAAAAAATTTGAAAAATTTGAAAAATTGAAAAATAGGTGACATCGGGTTCCAGTTCTTCCAACGAAAACAGAGAAAAAGGAAAGAAGCACTTTGTGTCACGGCACCTGCCCGTAAACTTTCCTCTTGGCGCTCTTCCCCCTGCACCTTCCCGCGCAGCTTTGGGTTTTTTTCCTCGTCCTATTTTTCGTGAACGAATTGTTGCGTTTTTCGCAGGCAAATTGCCGCTTCGTAAATTTGCTACACGAAAACACAAGGCATCGTTACCTGCCTCTCCCGAGTGTCGGACAGCATCGGACCAGATCATAACATGGCTGGCTCATCTCATTGTTAGGTTGAAAAGGAAAATCAGAATATCAACCAGTTCGGAGGCGCTCTCCTGCACCTGGACAACCAGGACGCGGAACATAGCGAGCTATAATAGCACGTACAGGGGTGTGCCACAGGGGCTGTGTGTGGTTGGGGTTCCTGAGATGTCTCGCTGCTGCAAGGGGTACATCGTCACAGTGGAACCGTACCTGTAGCTGGTGTCGGGTGGTGGGTGTTTACGCCCGTACACAAAAAGCCCCGCCCTTCAAGGAATTGGACTCGAATGTATCGAGACAATAGGTCACGGTGAGCAGCAATGCCATTTCCCTTATATTGCGCTTGACGCCGCCCTGTTTTGATCTCGCGGAGGGACGTTGTTCTTATCTTCCCATCAATTACACTCACACGAGGACACCGCGTCGGAAAGATGCACCACCTTCCCTTCCGTCGCTCCCCATCGCTAGGTAGTGGACTCGAGGTTCCATTCCTTGTTTACTTCGCTCAGGGGCTGGTCCAGAAATTGTTAGTGCAAACCCTGGACAATGACGGAATCAAGGGCAACCCATTTCCACTTCCCTCTCCGCTTTACACCATTTTCTCTCTCCCTTCTCGATCCTCACCATCAGTGAAATCATTCCTCCTACTACACTCATACACATTTTCTTGGGATTGAACGCCTTTCAGTCCAAACAGCAGGATCAGCTCCTTTGACCCAGCCTCACCAGCCCGCCCTCCCCCTCCCATGCCCATCAAGATCCAACAAGTGTGGTTACACATGAAAGAAACAGATTCCGTCCGATCCAACCATTCATCCACACGAACAAAGGGCTGGAACGGCTCATCGCGGGAACCCGCTGCCTTCTTCTTCATGTCCCTTGTCTACGGTATGTGTATAGATACGACATCCAACATATCCCTCTCTCGAGGTACGTACCAATCACAAAATACGGCCGGGACCTTTCATAAAGACCGCACGGAGAGAATCGTATAAGTACCTAGGTAGGTAAGTGTTTGTTGATGTGCAATACAAAAAAACCATGTCTGTTTTGCTGCTGGGTACATTTAGATCGTCACACGATACTGTACCCGCTGAACTACTTATACTCGTTCGTTGGCTGCAAGTCAGTCAGTCAACGTGGTCGAGTCATTCTGGGTGTCGTCAACGTGTTCCAAAGCCAGAGTCTAAGAGCAGGCTTTTTTTTTCTTCATCTTTGTTTCTAACGCCCTGGACTTTCTCTCCCTCAATTCATCCCTTTGTTCCGTACAAAAGATGATATAGCGTGGACATGTGTTGTCGAATGTGAATCCTCAATTGATGATGGTTTCGATCGTCAAAAGCTGTTCCCGGGACGTTGATATTCCATGACACAGTCTTGAAGATTGAGAGTCGAAAACCCTTTCCATCCCATTTGTGTCAGGACTCACGAGATTTAAAGCGGCTTCGAGGAGGTTGAGAGAAAGATGATCTCAATTGGATTCACTAACTGGCTGCGATGCCAGACACTAAGGAAAACATCTAAAAAGAAACAAAAATCTCCAAACTATCCTTTTCGAAACTCCATAAAACTCCTCGAAACCCATAACTGTAATAGGCATAATCGCATCTGTATCTCTAGGTGCCTTGCAGAGCCCCTTATTATCCTGTCTGTCTTATCCCATGTCACTTTCTATCCCATCTATCCCGTGTGGCTCATCTTGTCTATCGGTATTCGAGTGGTCTAGTTCCGTTCCGTTGGGAGAACCTCAAGCTTCGTATCGGAAACAAAGTGAAAGAAGTGGGGATGGCGTCCTTTGACGAAGAAAAAGTTCAGTGTCGAGTGAGCAGAGACCGGGTGGACCACTGCAGTTGGCAATCGTCTTCCATGTTCAGCGTCTTGGGGGGAAGAAGCCGATCATGCCCGACCAGTCATCTCCAGGGCGCTCATGTGGTTCCAATGGAAAGTATTCGAGTCACCGCCAATGAGCATCGAAGGCCAGAAAATCATCTGGACTGGAATTGAAACTGGGCCGGTTGGGTCCATGAAGACAGCTATAGCGAGAAAAAGAGTTAGCTATACTTCGTTTATTGTGGAAAAGAATGTTGGTGTGACCCATATCAACTCGGTTCCAGAATAGCCTGGTCGATCCAACCTTGCTCGCGAACACATGGGCAAAAGCGCCAAACGGCAGGAGATTGGGGCGAACGAACCGTGGTGAATCGGTCTATCACACCTCAACACCTCCCTCCGTCCAACCTTCGCTCCATGTGCAGACCGGCATCATTTTGGAACAACCATGCTACTTACCTTTCCCTTCTTTCTCTTGGCCTCGCCAGATGCTCAATCTTGTTGCTTCCATCGGGGAATAGGGGATTGGATCAAACAGGAGAAGGGGAAAAAGGAATAGCAGCTCGCGATCATGCAAAAGACACAATGATAGCCGTACCTTCATGGTTCCCTCCCGCACCTTCGCTAACTTCTTCGCTCTTCTGCATCGTGAAGAGCAACCTGCTCGACCTAACCAGCACCTCGTCGAACTCGAGCTGATAGGCAACCGGTTGTTCTTCTTCATCGAACGCTTCGTCGGCTGGCACAAGCAGCGGCTGCTCGCGCCGGTAGTGGCGGTTGTTGATGTAATCGTCGGTCGCCTTCTTCGTAACACGGAAGCGGACGCCCACGTTCCGCTCGGGATCAGCCCAGAGAACGGTCCTGGCTGCTTTGGCTTCTGCTAGCCTGGCGAGTCTTTCCTCAGGGGATTCGGTTGCTTTTTCTCGTGTTGCTTCTCGCTGCGCGCTTCTCTTCGCATTGGCGTGAAGGTCTGTGGTTGATGAGGACGCCGACGACGCTACTGATGAGAGCGTGGATTTGGTCTGATCGGATAACCAACTGCGCCAGACACGCATAATGCCGTCGCTTACATTGACGTTACTGAGGAAAAAGCCGGGCTTCGGTCCAACCTTGACGAGGTTAGTTGTGCAGCAGAGCTGGGAGAACAGCTCGCCTTCGTCGAGGAAGACCTCCTCGGACGGTCGATGGTCGGCGGCATTTGTAGATGGCTCTCCGTTGTTGGCTTGCTGCTGTTGCCGTCTTGGATAGCGTAGCCTCGGTCGGCGATTCTCCTCCTGAACGACGGGTCTGAAGTGCGAGTATAGGCCCTTTAGTCCGGCAAGCGTGGGCTCGGGTTCGGGCCCGTTGGCTTCCTCGTCGCCATTGGGACCAGCACCGATCTTATCTGTGCGGAGATAATCGCAGTATAGGTATGGGGTCGAGAGCTTCGCGCTTGGGTGGTAGCATTCAAGGATGAGGCGATGTTCTGGAAGGGCAGCGGCCTGCAAAAGGCGCTGGTGGAGAATGTGCAAAGCGACCGAGTAGAAATGGCTGTTTACACGAACAAGCGGAAGAAGAGCGCGAGTTGGAAGCAGGTCGAGGATGTCGTTTAGAATCTGGTTTTCGGGGTGGTGTTAGCGGATGAAGCTTGGCGCTAGTGCGATAGGGGGGCCAAGATAGGGGATTTCGTGTAAGTGATAAGGCCTGGATAACATCATGATAACATCACATACCTCGTTGGGCAACGAGTCCATGGCGCTTGTAGGACCCATCTGGTCGCTGTCTGGAGGATGTAATATCGACAAGGTGTTCGAATCGGATGGAAGTAATATGAAAGGCTCGTTGAACAAAGCCGTAGGTCTAAAGGGTGTGATATCGCTAAGTGCTCGATTGTCTGAAAAAAGCTTGGGAAAGGGTAGGCCGGCGTGACGACCAGAGGACCACGATATATATAAAGAAGCATCCACAACAGCTGTTATCTCGAGTATGTCACTAAAAAAGGTCCGTGGCAGGTCCTTGTGTTGTGGTGGTCATGGATGATGCCAAGTGTAGCGTCGTAGCTTCGTTCGTTATCGTGGCCCAACGAGCCGTCCGCGCCCGCGGCGGAAACGCCCGCAACGGAGAGCGGTGACGTTATGCGCCCTGTCTTGATAGCACATATGCATGGATAATGGCGTCTGTACATACTAAGCCCGGATCCGCGAAACACGAGCATGAGGCCGAACGAGTGGCCAAAACGTCTGCTCAGTGTCCGGGATGCGACCGAGAAGTCAGGATATGGATGGGCTGATGGACAGGATTATCGACCAGAGTCGAAGAGGGTCTAGGGCTTCTGCCTGCGACTCTACGGCCTCTACGCGAGTGTTCAATGCTCGGCAGGTTGCAGGGACACAACCGCACATTTGACTGGGCAGTGGCAGGGCTGATGCGACCCGATTTGCCCAGAATTGTGAAAATATCTGCCGAGGAAAGGGCCAGAAACATCCCACGCATGAAATCTAGAGATGACTCGGCCGAAACCGTATCCCCGACCCCAACAGACAGTACGAAGGTACTTATCGCAGGCGCACAGAATGTTTGCTATCATCTCCATGGAGTAGTAGCGGTGATCCGGAAAGTTTTCTGTCGCAGAACCGTGAACTTTTCGATCTTCTAAAGGTTGTTGGGTTGGGTGGGTAGGTGGGTTAGGGGGTGACATCAGACATGTTCTCTGTCAAACCCCCCCAGTGCCCTCCCCATAAAGCTGCCGGTGCCTCCCGCCAAACCTAAGTACACAGTCTCCTGGAAATACCTGCAGTACGAATGTTATCGTTATTGGGTACAGTGTATTCACTAAGTGGAAAGTACAAGAGAGTGCACCCCCGTGGGCCCTCCTTGGGTGGCACGGGAGCGCCGAATCTGAACGAGACAGACACCCCCCCGAGATCCTTCCAAGATCGGTGGCAGCAAGTGAGTCTCAGGGGTCCATGCTTCGGCGCGCGACCCGGGGCGCGCCGGGGTTAAGGCGGATTCAACACTGCATAGCGGCCGCGGGTACCTTAGCAAAACACTCCACACAAAACGTTTCTCTGTCCTTGCCCACAGGGCATCGTCACCCGCCGTCGGGTGCCACTGGTCAGCCCCAGCCCGTAGGGTAGTTCGATGGCCGTTCGATTCCCGTTCGATATGTATGATCAAGGGCTCGATCATAGCCTAAACGTCCTTACATCTACAGTCACATGTAACAATGTGCACAAAACGAGGGAGGAAAGAAAAGGGAAAAAAAAAAAGAAAAAAAAGGGAGAGAAAAGTTTCCGTCTCAAATCCCTTGAGCCGACACCACCAACCAGATTAAGGGGTTATCAGTTCAAACATGTGGCATGTTGTTGAAACGAAATCCAGGACATATAGTTAATGCTCGGAATGTTTGTTAGCGCGGTTCTTGTGACAGGGGTCTGCAAAACTTCCAGATGCGTTTTCGAGGCTTTATATATACTCTTTGTGCAATTCTCCGTGTTGGTTGTCCCGTTGGTTTTTCTGTAAAGTCCCGCGCCAACGGTCTCTCCAGGGGTGAACTGTAGTGTACTCAAACAAGAAGAGAGTCATTCCCACCGCCAAACGCATGATCTTGTCTTGGCAATCCCATGGCCATCTGGGCACCTCTCATCTACATAGATGAGCGTCCAAAAGTTGAGAAATGATGGCGTTTTGTCAACCATTGAATGCATATCCTCCAGAGGACAAGATACCAGACAAATGACTGACATTGTGTTCGGAATCAGCGTGACTGGTAAAACTGAAAGTATATGATTTCCCTTTGGGCTACTGTAGATGGCCAGGAAAATGGCAAGGTCCTCGGTTTGGCCGAAGAAAAAGGTGGGTTTACCTTTTTGATTTTGATAAGTAGGGTACCTAGGCCTCGCTAGGTAGAGAGGCATCTTTTCCGAAGCATGATGGGGAAAAAAGGCTACAACTCAAAGTACTACCTGCGTATACCCCGCTCGCCCTTTCAAGTTTGATTTATCCTATGGCGGCAAGATAAGTATGTATTATCATAAATGATCTTGTCGATTTCATACGTATCGATTTCGCAATGTTCGGTCGTCAAAAACGTCAAAAGTTCACTGCCTTGGGCGAACGCGTGCGGACGCCCATCTTGGATAGATATATGCCTAAGCGGAATACACAATAGGCGTTTGGCAGCCAAAAAAAAAGGACCACTTTTGGCAGTGAAACATGTTAGCAAGGTCAGGTAGGAGTCGCGAATTCAATCGCATCTAGCGGTTAGTGTGGTTCGCAGCAATGTGATCAGAAACCTTTTGTTTTCATGGAAAACGATTGGTTTGACAACTGCAGTGGTGAGCTAGCTTTGCTGTTCAATAACACACCAGATGACGCCTTAACCAATAGTTTATATGCTCTGTGGCAGTTGTGCACGTGCAAGCTATGCACAAACGGTATTCGTATATGTGAGAAGGAACGGAATAGTAATTCAAAATATGACTGCATTTTTATGATACAGATTAACCTATGCTTGGGAGATTCAGGAGGGGAGAAAACACCGTTTGCGCCGTGATACCATAACCGTAGAGCCCTAAGAAATAAAAGTAAGGCAAACAAGCCGAATAGGTTCATTCTCCCGCGAGGGCGTACACCCAAAAGTGCCCTATCCTCTTTTTCTCTCCTTCTTTTTTTCTCCTAATGCCCGGACCAAATCCAAAGACATCCCAAGTTCTCCAGTTTCCACACCCAAGAAAAAGGCCCTCATACCCTGGTATTGGGGCAAGACAAAGTTGTAAGATAAACCCAAAACGCCCGCTTGACCCGTATGCTTATGATGCTGAATACAACCAAGGAAATTGTTGCGAGGGATGGTTGCCCGCACGAAGTCGTTGAACTAATCGCCGATTTGACCTCTAGGTCACGATTTCATAGTCGAAGGTTTGGAATCATTTGCTGGTGTACCAAAATTCAGGACCATGTTATCATCGTCATCGTCATCATCGAATCCAGTACTGTTGCGGAGACCGGTTGGTGACCACAGGCCTATAGATGTCTTACGTCCACGACCTATTGACAGACTCGAAGGCTTACTCAAGCCGAATGATGAGACACCACTTCCAACCGTAATACCACCTCCACTTCCGTTGCTGGCACTGGAAGTACCAAATACAAACCTAGGAGTGGTGGAGGAGCCACTAGAGCCTCTGCGACTGGCGCTCAGGGAATTGTTAGGCACATCCCCTCCCCCTCTCACGATTTCTTGATAGGAGAAATTCGACGTGGAAATAGAGTGGGAGTGAGTGTAACGGTTCCGGGCAGTGGCGACACTAGCAACGGAGATGGATGTAGACCGCGACAGATTTGGTGCTTGGCCAGGGATACGCAGATGGTCTGTGTTGGCAAACAACTTGAGATCATAGTAGTGATGGATGGGTATCGTTCCCTTCTGGCCCGTGTTTGTTCGCTGGATGTTCTCATGTATTTCCTGATCAGGCTTCCGAACCGCCATTGTAAGTGACGCCATGGCAACGTCTGCGAGGACTGGTTGATGGGTAATGGCGCCAATCAGTGCATTGCATCCCGCACCATGCGATACCAAAATAACGATCGATTCGATCTCCACGTCGTCACTATCTTCGGATTCCTGGGCCTGGGTTGACTCCCTCCGGGCGAACCGAGAAACCGTCTTGGTGACCATCTTGGTAGGGTGCTCGGCCTTGGAGTACCAGTCAACTAGCATCTGAATACCTGCACGAAACCTTGAATGCATCGAGGTCCATTCTTCGGGGAAGGAGCCACCATCGCCCCATTCAAGAGGAGCCCGCATCGAATCCCATTGGTAGTCAATATCACAGCACGCATCCCGAGCATGTGCGACATAACCCGGAGGAATAGTGCTATTGTTGTTGATTGCATAATGGGGAACTGGGGGGACGTAGCCCATGGCTGGGAAAGGATGACTGGCCGATTGCAGGGTAGAATCGGGTTGGGACTGGCAGGTACTTTGGCTACTGGCGCTCTCGCTCCTAGGCACAGAACTGGCCACACCGGGCAGGTCATCCTTTTCCAGAAGGTCAATGGAGCTGTGCGTGCGCTGCGGGGTCGGGCTCCAAAGCTGCCCTTGGAGATTTGAGTGATTGTAAGCGTTGAAATGAGGGTAGCTGCTGTAATCTTCGCGTCTGAGGAGATCTGCCTTGGCGCTTGCAAGCATCATGACAGACTCGGGTGGCGGGCTGATGAGCTCATAGTAGCTAGGTGACAGCCACTCGCCCAGAAAAGCGTCCAGCCGGAGAACAGATTTGCGGATGGCCGTCCCTTGAACTACTTGTATCTTTAAGGGTGCTGGGCCAGAAGCGGAATTGGACGCGGTCGACGGCCTGGCTCGGTGTCCGTGGGCAAAGTTCCCTGAAAGCTCTTTGTCATCGCCACCCGTAGAGGGTCCGAATGGGGTCGAGTCTTGTGCTAAGCCGGCACTGATGGCAACGGAGGTCTGGATGCATCGCAGAAACGGGGAGCTGTGGATGACGACCTCGTAACGTTTGCGTTTCGGTTTCGCCGTGGGATCGGTTTGCGCTGCAGCCTTGGCAGCTGTCTCATCCTCCTCGACTCTCTCTCGGATAATGTTGGCTATCCGAGCTCCAAGGTTTTTGGCTTGGTTCCAGCCACCATACGTGAGGGGGGGATCGTAGGGGGTCGGCGACGTGAGATGCCAGTCTTTGTCGGCTACATCGAGGCGCAATCCGTGCCTGTTTAATAGCGTGGTCAGTTACGTCCGGACAAAGTTGGGGACACGACGGCCACAAGATGCCATGCAGGAAGCAACGCCGTGGCCATCAAGGTACACAAAAATCCAGCTTACCTCACAACGAAAAGGTATGCTGGGGGCTTGCCCATGTTGGTATCTTGTAGACCCTGGGTATGTTGATGGCTAAGACAGAAAGCGAGGTATCGAGGACGTCGAAACAGCAGCTAATGCTTTATATGGGCCTACGGACTCTTGTTCCGGACGGACAAAGGAATGATGTATGTCTGAAGATTTCAAGACTCGAAACTCAGGGTTCAATCTCGCGCGGTGGTTTGTGTGTAATGGGTGGAACCCGGAGGATAGCTGGGATCCAGGCTCTTTCAGAGTACCTAGGCAAGGCGTCCCGTTCCTTTGACGTGAGGAGGGCAGGCCCACGATGACGATGGGTTGCGGAGAAGTTTGTCAGGGCTGAACCGAGGCCTCTCGAACTAACAAGAGGATGGGCCCGTCGCGATCGATGTCTGTGCAGTTTTGAGATCGAGGCTGGGGCTGAGTACTGTGACGGGCGAAGAATCTGGATCGACCGGTGGAAGACGGCCAGGGAGGACTGAGAGCAGGCGGAAAGTTGGAAGACTGGAGCGGACGGAGAGACGGTACCGGTAGTTGGCCGAAGGTTTATAGCTGAGCCAACGTTGGAGACGGGAGGGGAACTGGAAGGGAAGGAAAAGCTACAGACGCAAAGCAGTCGTAGAATTAGTCACCTGGGGTCTTGGATTGTGATGCGAGAACGGGCGTCCGATTTGGGATGTCTGCGAGGTAAACAACAAGCCTCGTAAGTAATCAATGTAATGATGGCCGGGCCACTTGCAGTGTTTTCTGCAGGCGTGTTGCAAGGTTCCCGTCCCTCTCGGTCGGGCTCTAATATTTCTTAGTGTAATGTTAATAGAGTTGACGCACACACAAGCGGGGCTGCAGCCAGTTTAAAGTAGCAAGCCGGCAGGGTACCTAGGTAGCGTAGCGGCTGCTGGGGTGTGGATTAGCGCGCAATGGTGGAGGAAACATGCAGCGTCAGAGAAGAATCGATGGAAGCTGCCGGACGGGAGTTCCACTGCGAGTCAGACTTGAACAAAGGCGTGCTGGGAGAAGGAACCATGGAGGTGACAAATGCAACTGAAGTCTACCTACGTAGCTAGCTGGCGACTGACCTTCTATGAGCCGGGTGATTGCTCGTTTAACTCCAGGACGTACCACGCTTGCGAGGAGAGAGGGAAAGCTCTGGTCTGATTCTAAGTAGTCTATGGATGTCGACTAACTGACTGACCAGGCGCTGTGACGCAGGTGTATGGAGTACGGACGAAACTGAGAATGAGTGGCTGTTTTCGAGCGAGTATTTGAGGTGAAGAGATTGTAACTCATGTGAACGGGGAGAAAGACCCACGAAATATACGTACAGCATAGGAGACGGTTAGTAATAGAGATGGAACTTTTCACCGGCTGGACCCATGGTAAGGTACTTCCCCCTCTTTGTCATCCAACTAAACGTAAATCTCGGATGCCGTGGGGTTATTACCAGATGCACCTTGTCGTCACTTCATATCACATGCCGTTGTTCCAAGTCGTATTGATTGAACGTGTGACTTTTATGGTAGGAGGATCATGATACCTCCAAGTGACAGATTGTGGATGGGAAACTGCCTCTGTGGTGAAGAGACAAGAACAACTGACGGGCTTGAAAATACCTGTATTCACCACTCCGACGGAAGATCCGCACCGCGCGCTTAAAGGACGTCCATACGAGAATCAATGTCCGTACAGGTCGATGCCGATAGAGGTGATGACATGGCTTCCGCCATACGATTGGACTGAGAACGTGAGCTCTGAGCCTTTGAAATATTTGCTTTCTTGCTGATGAAAACAAAACAAGAAATTTGCAGAGATGTGATCCTACATACACTTTGGATGTGCTTGTGTCAGATGATCGTTGAAGTGTTCGGGCAGGGAAGCCTTTTTTTTAAGCCAAGCTTTCCTAGCTTGCCGGTCCAGGGGGCAGCGGCACCCCTCCATTGTTGGCAGGTCGCCGGGGGGGCAAGAGTTGTCAGGATATCCCTGGAAACGGTTCATTACACCAAGGATTATGTAAAGCCGCCAACTGCATACCTAAACGAACGCGCCCATGACGGTTTGCAGGCACCGCAACGCAGTTGGGATTGGCCCGGTTTCTGCGCTCCCTCTCAGGCTGTGTTGCACAACCTCGACACGCACGCTTCAACCAACACCGTCTCTTTCACACAACCGAAACCAACGACACAAGAACCGAGCGGCCGACTGCCTTGATCATGGGTCGCAAAGGGACGAAGGACACGTAAACACGGAAAAATCAGAAGACCATCCGGACCCCCCATCCGCACGATACTTATCGACACGCGGCGACACTCGACCGAGGTACCGCCACTGATCCCGATATTTCGGATCCGGACCAAATAAAAGATGAAGCTTAGCAATATTCTCCGGCTGCCGGCCCTCTTGGGCGCGATGCTGCTCGGCACCGCCGCCGTTGTTGAAGCCGAACACACAAGTAACTGGGCCGTCCTCGTCTGCACGTCACGGTTCTGGTTCAACTACCGCCATCTTGCCAATGTGCTGTCCATCTACCGCACCGTGAAGCGCCTCGGGATCCCCGACTCGCAAATCATCCTCATGCTTCCGGATGACATGGCATGCAATCCCCGCAACGCCTTCCCGGGAACTGTGTACTCCAACGCCGACCGTGCCGTCGATCTCTATGGCGACAACATCGAAGTGGATTATAGGGGATACGAAGTCACGGTGGAGAACTTTATCCGTCTCTTGACGGATCGCGTGGGCGATGAGATGCCCCGGAGCAAGAGGTTGTTGACAGACGATCGGAGCAATATTTTGGTGTATATGACGGGACACGGAGGCAACGAGTTTCTCAAGTTCCAGGATGCCGAGGAGATCGGCGCATTTGATTTGGCGGATGCCTTCGAGCAAATGTGGGAGAAGAAGAGGTGTGATCTCCTACGCGTCCGCTTTGCGCAAGTGCTTCGATGATGCTAACTCGGTTCACGCCTAGATACCACGAGATCCTCTTCATGATCGACACCTGCCAAGCAAACACCATGTACAGCAAGCTATACTCCCCAAACATCATCGCGACCGGATCGTCCGAACTCGACCAGTCGTCCTATTCTCACCACGCCGACAACGATATTGGAGTCGCGGTTATTGATCGATACACTTACTATAACCTCGAGTTTCTCGAAAACGAAGTCAAAGACACTAGTAGCAAGAAGACAGTCGGTGACCTCTTTGACAGCTACACATATGAAAAGATTCACTCGAACGCGGGAGTGCGCTACGATTTGTTTCCCGGAGGGGCGGAGGCAGCACGCAGCCGCCTTGTAACAGACTTCTTCGGTAACGTACAAAACGTGGAGGTTGATGGGTCTAAAAATACAACTCTAGAAGAGGACTTGCTTGCGCTGAGCAAGACCATTGCGGCACTGAGGGAAAAGGCAGGCGAAGAAGAAGCCATCTCGGTCGGGAAGGGAAACGCGGCCAAAAATGAGACCAAGAAAGAGACCAAGAACGAGACCCTATTGACGCACAAAAGCCAGTTCGCCAAACCTCTTACAGATGATGACTGGTTGGTGAAGAAGCTCTCTGCGCTGGGAGCTGTTGTCGGATGCGCAGTGTTATGGCAGATGGGGTCGTGGCTCGAATCTGCACAGAAATAAGGCAGTAAGGGAGGTGGACTCAAGACTTACAAATAATGTTATACTTTGTTTACTTTTCGGCGATTGTACTACGGTACAACTGAAGCGTGTCCTTGAATTTCCTCGGCCACGCTGAACATATAGGTCGAGATATGTGAGCTCAACACAGCAGCAGCCTTGACCCCAAGCCCCTGACTTTCTTTCAGCATATATAGAAGGGTTAGGGTTGGCACTGGAACATGGTGGGGCAGGCAAAGTTCGTGCTTTGGTCGTCCTCCCGTCGTCCAAAATGGAAAGTTCAGTTTCAACTTGAACCATCCACTCACTTACATCCTGCAAGAACACCACTAGGCCTTCTGAACCCATCCCGGCGACTATCTCTCACCTTCGGGGAGAATCGCCATGGTTCCCCCACAACTAAACAGCCTTTACTCGTTATCCTGTGATCACATATATTAATAAAGTAGTCGCGGCGAAAAAGATACCACCCACCATGAGCGACGAGCCCAAGCTCCAACAAAAGGTACGCTGCAAAGACCGTCCTTGTCATGTCACTTCTGGAGCTTCGTACTTGTTGCATACAAAATACATATGACTTGAAAACAAATTTACGTGGCGTTTTTGCACAAAGATGAATGGTCTGCGGCCAGTGTAGACTGTCAGTAACTTCACTACCACAGCTACTAGCCAATTGCCAACCAATCAGACAACATTCACCATGTCCTATCGTGTGACCTCTTGCTAACATCTCATTGCAGTTTCTCCCTCTGAGGGAGCTCAGTCTCAACTCAAGGCCTCTCGTGAAGCGTGCCATTGCCTTTTCATGTGACGGCGAGCTGGCCGTAGCCGCCGACGATTCTGTCCATGTCTACGTCCCAGAGTTTCCAGACCTCACTAAACGACGGCAGGAGAAGGAGAAGCTGGCTCAAGCACAGGTTCGCCACCATCAAATCTTGATACCTGGCTCGCACACCCCGTCAACGTCTTGGTCGGATGATGAGGAAGGCCAGAGCAAAAGCCGGCGCAACAACCCGAGAGCCCAATTCTCCGAAGGCAGCAAACACATGCCTGTCTCCTACCCGCCACTAGATCCACGAATCAACAGGGAGCTTTTCCAGACGCAGAATCTTCCGTTCCCTTACGATAACCAAGCAGCTGCTGGCGGTAACGACGATGACGACTCTGATAGTGAGGACAACGTCTCAGATGCGCTGAGCTCTGCTGCTGACTCTGATGATGATGATGACGGTGTCGGCGCCCATCAGCGCGCAAATCAACCCTTTGGCGCTGGCTTCGGGCCCATTACTGGCGTGGGCAGTAGCATGAATCATGTTGTGCGGATAGCCTGGTCGCCCTCCGGGTTGGGACTCAACCGGCGACCTATACTCGCCATACTGACGGGCTCTGGAACATTGGCCATGTACGGAGACGACAGCGCTGTGGCCAATATTCTACCGAGGGCAAACGAGGGAATGCTGCAGCGGAGAGAGCTAATATCGTGGAGTGTGCTTTGGGGCGTCGGCGAAAGGCTGATGGTGCCTGGTCAACAACTTGTCTTGACAGAGAACATCCATGGGTTTGCGTGGGCAAAAGAGATTGCACCGGGACAGGCACTTCTCGCTACGATTAATGATCAGAGAGAGGTAGCACTTATTAGTGTGCAAAGTATGCTGAAAGTCGACGAAACCAGGAGTAAAAGCAACATTTCCTTGCTGGTCGAGTCCAAGGAAAGCTTGGTGTGGTATGTGAATGAGGTGGCGAGATTCCAGTGTTCAGGGCCTCATCCGAAGGGAAATGTGAGTATCTTTCCAGTTAGAACTCTGCATGGGAACCCGAAGCTGACGCGGTATGGCAGGTTATGGATCCAGACTGGGTCCCTTTTGGTACATCATTCGGCATTAACTTTAGCCCGTGGGTAGAAGAAGGTGATGGGCGCAGTTGCCTTCTTTCCTACGTTGATAGGAACTATGTCGGCTTCCGTAAAGTTACGCTTGCCTCTAACTGGAAGCGAGGAGAGCTGCCGGAACTCAAGTTTGAGGAGACGGACACTTACGGCAGATGCCTACACCTTTCGACAGACTCATTTGTGGAGTTTGAAGACGCTGTAAGCCACACCGCCACTGATTATCTAGGCAGTGTTTTTGTCTGAGGCTAACGGTTATGAACAGGTTTGGAATGCAGGCAGGGTCAAATACTGTCGTGGCTTCATCGTCACGGGCTTTGACTACAAGCCATTTGAGGTAGCTCTCGTCGGCGGCGAGGAATACAGCTGTGAGCCTCATGATTCTAGTGATTGTGGAACGACATATATGGATGAAGCTGTTGACCAGCCATCAACGAATCCTATCATCGGTGAGTACCCTTCCAGTGTCAGGTCTTGAATCTTTGCGTCCTTACTGATATCCAACACAGACCTCGTCATTCACCGTCCGGACCTTAAGAAGCAGACACCCGTTCCGCGTTTTACTCTTATTCGCATGTCGGCAACCTCTACCAATCTCGACTGGTATGAGACGAACGTACCTGCTCTTCCTGGTGAAGTTGCTACGTCGATTAACGAGGATAGTGACCTTGTCAATTCGCCTAGCGAGACTCACGAGCCGCAATGGGTGACTCAGGTTTTGCAAAAGTTGGCGGTCAGTGTTCCCGCTGACATGCATTTTAAGCGGGGTTACGGAGATGATGATGATGTATCGGTGGCGTCTGACGAGTCCGATGAGGATGAAGATCTGGACGACGATGACTTTTATGGCAATGACGATGATAACACCATCGACATGACCAACAATGGGAAAGATGCAATGGCGGTGGCGCCAGAGGTTCCGGAAATCCACCCACATCGGTTTAGACTACACGGTCTCACGATATCATCAGGTGGGAATGTCACGGCCATGATTGCCAGTTTACATAGCACGCAGCACCCGGAGCGCGGCGGTTGGCACACGGTCCGATCAACAGTGTTCTTCGGAACCAAGCCGCGGAAAAGGGGGGCTGCATTGCCTTACGATCAGGCCGATCAAGTGCAAGAGGCCACAGAGCAGGAGAAGGAGAAAGGCGCCGAAGAAGCCATTGATCCTGCCCTCCGTGGGCCTGAAAGGCCCTTGACTCCATCACCGGTGCCGACACGGAACTCTGTCACCAAATCAGCAGAACCTCAACAATCCCAGTCTAGGCTGACGACCGAAGCCCGTCTTTTCGAATGGCTATACGGCGGCGGCGATGAAGTCCCCGGCGTAACCATCAACCATCCCTCCAACCTCGTTAACCTCAACGCTCCCGAACACCAGTTTCCGCAGAAGCTCAATACCCTTTTTGCGTACGCCATAGCCCGCCAGAAATGCGACCTCTGCGGCGCCAGAATTTTGCCACCTGTCACCAAAAAGCAGCAACACTCACAGCAACAACAACAAAAAGACAAACGCAGCGGCCTAAGCGGCTGTGAGAACGGCCACTTCTTCAGCGTGTGCACGACAAGTGGACTGGCGATCCAAATGCCCGGAATCACGAGGAACTGCGGCGCTTGTGGATCGAGGACCATGCGGGCAGAGATCTTGGCTCGCAAATGTATTCCTCCTAACCCCAAGTTTAGTGATGAAGACAAGCAGCCCGAGCAGCAGGTTAAGGACAAAGATGGCGACGTAGAGATGCAGGAAGGGGAAGGTGATGCGGATGCTCGTCCTCTGACCGAAGAGGAACAGCTGGATATTAAGAGAAAGAATGCTGAGAAGAGGATCAGGGGAGAAATCATTGCCATGTTGGGTGATGGGATCTGTGGTGGGTGTGGTGGCAAGTTCTTGAATTAGTATACTGTAACTCGTACGACACTCTTACCGTCGAGATGGCTTCAACTAGAGACATTGCTTTGAGGGGAATGGGTGTTAAAGGAATTGTATAGTGTGAGGTCGGGGTAGTAGCCCGGTTATTCAAGAAACAGGCGAAGTTATCCATCATCTCCCAGGGACCAAACTGTGCGATCCCCATTAAAGAGTCAGACATGTGTTTCTCTTGGCAGCATTAAGGAATCAGTGTCGTAAGAAATGAAATGAAAATATCAGATTTATTAAGACGCATACATGCGAACAATACCAACTAGAGGTTGCTCTAGGGCGATATCGACATCAACATGAAGGATCACGCCGCAAATCCCATGATTTTCGCAACCTTCGCGTCCCACTCCTCATCCCACCTCCTTGCCCCCTCCTTCACAGCCCCTTTCCTTAACACCTCCAACTCTCCGCTCCCCTCCGGGCTCAACAGGGTTCTCAATATGATCGAAAGTTCTCCATAAGTCTCGAACCCCCTTCCATTCACTCCCTCCTTCACCAACTCCCCAAAGCTCTCATACCCACAAAACGCCGCCACCGGCAGTCCCGCCCCAAACATATCCACTACCTTCATCGGCAGATCCACGCCCGAGCTGCTCATATGCAGACATACGCCCAAATCCGCGCAAGCCAACAGCTTCGCGTAGTCCTCAAAGGGCAAGAACGCCGTGACAATGCTCACATTCGGCAGCTGACCACTCTTTGTAAGCTCAGCAATCTGTGCCAAGTACATTTCCTTCTGCGGACCTTTGCCCGTAATAACTGCCAACACGGGCGTGGTCTTCGACACGGGATCAGCCGCGTACGCAACCAGCGCATCAAGCAAGATGCCAAAGTCCTCGTCGCGCGTCCAGGATGTGCTGCTGACGATCAGCTTCGTGTTGCCCTCCATGATGCTGGGTACCAGGTCCCTCTGCTCAGCGGGGAGCACGCGCTCCAACACGTCCTGCCGCGCCTTCCCCCACCACATGGGCTTGAAAATCTCCGCAGGCCGGTCATGCACAGCCGTTATCGGCCCCTGGATCTTATACGGCGGCAGCCGCAGCTGGCGCGCCATGGCGTGCGTGACGGTTAGGTTGTGGTCGCCCAGCCGGCCGAAGAGGCACTCGTACAGCTTGGCGATGTAGACCAAAGGGTGCCGGGGGCCGCGGGTGGAAGATAAAATGGTCCAGCCGTAGTTGTGCCAGTCGATGAGGAGCTTGGTGGAGCGGAGATGGCAGACGAGGCTGGCGATGAAGAGGGTGGGGATCGAGGGCGGGTTCTGGACGAGCAGCCATTGGGAGGGGGGAAGGGTGTAGGAGAGGAGGGCAAAGAGACAAAAGAATTGGTGGAGGACTTTGAAGGGGGCGAAAAGGAGGAACGGGATGCGGGCGGGACGAACTGGGGGAGGGGAGAGGGCGTGGATGGTTATGGAGGGAGAGGAGAGGAGGGAGGGGTGAGGGGGAGTTTCTGGTGAGGATGTTAGTAAATTGAAGAAGGCCGCAGCGGTGCTGCTCGACCCGGAAATCTTACCTAGATAACCAATGAGGTTGACCTTGCCGCCGTGTTTGGCTATGCTCAGGGCGTGGTACGTCATGCGTGGGCTTCGGCCAATGTCACCAAGAACGAGGACGTGGACAACCACTCCTTTGCCTGAAGAGGGACCGTCATATTTGGAGGGGCCTAGGACTAGGTATGTGACCAGTAGCGCCAGTCCTGTAAGGACCAAAGGTATTACGAGGGCAACGGGGATTGAAGCCATCACGAGTGGTGTGTTTGTGTGCAGGTACCTCTGTACATGGTGGTGTAGGTTGGATGCGGGAAGATCAGGGGCGAGGTTGGGTGCTGGGGTTACAGTACACTGCACAGTAGACAGCGGCAGGCACGAGCGGACAGACAGTATGGGACAGCTGTTCCAATCACCTCACTGCACCGTCTCATGCGCAGGAGATCGGTGGGTTTCCAGGTTTGGGCGGCAGGGATGCAAACTTGATGTCGGGCTGTGACGCCGCAGAACAACAGGAGAAATGATAGGTACCTATTTGTGCGAATGAACCAGCTCGGGCGGGTGTCTCATACTTAGGACAACGAATCGATACAGTATGGTAGTGTACTATTGCAAGTGGCAAAGGTCAAGAAGCACTTGTTGAATTCACCATTGCCATGTCCTGATGGACCTTGTTAACATTCACACGTTGACTTTGCGCTGGTGGTTAGCACCGATTATCCCCCGTGGAGAAGCCCCCGGCTCATGCAATGGCACTGCCTGCAGGGGTCATTGTGTCGTTGAAACACAGCCAATGATTGTTCTTATCACGGTGGCTTCCGATTGTCTTCCCCCACACGGACATGGGAATGATGGGATGGGCTTCTTTCAAGGGGCACAGAAAAGGAAGGCGGCCGGCTTCCCCCCAAGAGACCCAGCGACCCAATACAAGACAAGACACCAGACGAGGGACCGCTTCTTGCTGGACTTGACTGGCCATGACCATTTAGACCAAGACCACTGCTGCACTGCACAACATCAACACCCACAGACTACCTAATCATCTCCTTCGCTTGACATTTTTGTGTTGTCGACTTGTCGCCATCATCGTCGCTACTGCTTTTCCTCGTACGCGTCCGAATCGCGGCCCCAAAGCAAACTACCCAAGTCAGCCCTTCTGTGACACCACCTTGGACCTACCGGAGCGGGGTGCACGGTACATATCGGCCGCGGTTGCTTGCGTTCCCCTGACCGGAACTCGTAACCGCATGTCTCACCAGTGAACGAGACCCGATCGTCGCGATTTTCGGAGCCATAAGGGTACACGCGAGGACGACCCCAGGGATAAAGAGTGGCGGTAGGCAATTTTCTGATCTAGTTTCGCTCAGCACTGCCAGCAAGCCACTCAATTGGTTCTTTTTGTCGTTGAAAGGCCTTGTAGCTGATGCCGTTGTCCCGTGTTGCTATCTAGCTCCATCCTTCGTTATCGCAACACAACCACCAGTGACAAACGCAAACTTGCGCCGGCCGTCTCTCCCCGAAATCTCTACTCAATAACCACATGCCGAGCGGTATAGATCGATAATAGGGGCATTGAAGCTCTCCTTGACACCGCGCACGACAATATCCTAGCCAATTGTTGTCTCAGATATTGCTATAATATCATAATGGCTACCTCCTACGCCTTGCCGGCGTCCACATACCCGCAGCACCATCATCTGGCCTCGGACCACTTGCGCTCCCATGGCCATGGACACGACCATTGCGACCATTCGCATTCACACTCCCACGGACACTCCCACGACCACTCACACGGGCATGCGCATTCCCACACACCGCCATCCCTCCCTTCTCTGAGCTCTTTAGACTCTCCGCCCAGCCGTAGGGGCTCGTACGCAACCGGAGCGCATTCGCATAAGAAGACGCAAAGCAACGATTACAACTACAGTTATACTCACAATCACAATCACAACCACGACCACGACCACGACCACGACCACGACCACAGCCACGATCACAGCCATGACCACAGCCATGACCACGATCATGATCACGATCATGCCCACAATCACTCCCCCGGTGCTGGCGGAACAGGGCATACAAAGACACGCCCCAACATTCCGCCTCTAGGGGCCATCAAGCACTTTCGGACGGGCTCAACCGCTGGCGGAAGACCCATCATCACGCCCACAACCGCTGGCTTTGAGAAGGGGCATGGCTTTGAGCCGCCAGCTACGGCCACCTCGCATGGGCATCACCACCATTCTGCTGAGTGGTCCAAGTTCACTGCGTTTCTGCTCCCATATACCTCCAAGTACCCCATAATTCACGCTGTGATGACGGAGAAGGACTCTCGGCGCATCTTCTACTTCATGTCGTGAGTTCACCAGTCTGTTTCGCGGTCAGTACTATTTTTTGCCTCTGCTAACCAACCCCCTTTTCACAGAATAAACCTTTCCTTCATGGCTGTACAAGCATTCTACGGTTATGTAACAGATTCCCTCGGTCTCCTGAGTGACAGTATACACATGTTCTTTGATTGTGTTGCTTTGGCAGTTGGCTTGGTCGCAGCCGTTGCTAGCAAATGGCCTCCCAGCGAGCGGTTCCCCTACGGCTTCGGCAAGATCGAGACACTGAGTGGTTTCGCCAACGGTGTGTTTCTGGTTTTGATTAGCGTGGAGATTATGTTCGAGGCGATCGAGAGAATGATGGAGGGCAGGGAAACCAAGAGGTTGGGAGAGTTGTTTGTGGTCAGTACCATGGGCTTGTTGGTGAACTTGGTTGGCATGGCTGCTTTTGGGCATCATCACCATGGCCACGATCACGGCCACGGACACTCCCATGGGTCATCATGCGGCGGCGGTGGACATTCGCACTCGCACTCGCACTCGCACAGCGACTCGGATGCCCACGGCCACAACCATAGCCACGGTCACAGCCATAGCCACAGCCACGACCACAAGCACGACCATGGTCACTCCCACGGCCATTCTCATGGAGGGCATTCGCACTCGCACGACAACGAAAACATGCACGGCATCTACTTGCACGTTCTTGCGGATACCCTCGGCAGTGCTGCTGTCATTGTCTCGACCATCTTGACGCACTTTGTCCCGTGGTCTGGGTGGGATCCGCTTGCCAGCTTCCTCATCGCCGTTTTGATTCTTCTTTCATCATTGCCGCTTGTGATATCCTCTGCTCGCAGACTGCTGCTTACGATCCCCCCGGAGACCGAGTACAACCTCCGGGAAACGCTGTCGGGTATTTCGGGTCTTCGAGGCGTCGCGGGCTACTCGGTGCCCAAGTTCTGGATCGATGATCGCAATTCGGGCGAAGAGAGCTCTGCGAACATGCTGCTGGGGGTGATGCACGTCCAAGCGGTTCGGGGTGCGGATATGGAGGACGTTCGTGATCGTGTGCGCAACTACCTGTTGGGACACCACATTGACATCACGCTACAGGTTGAGCGTGAGGGAGAGTCGAGCTGTTGGTGCGGAGCGGGTCGGAGTCCTCTCTCGCAATCGCAGAGCACAAATCAGTTCTAGAAGAGCAAGGCTGATGAACACCTTGGGGGCTTGTCTAATAACGCGGGATGACTGGAGCTGTTGGTTGATGATTTTGCCATGAGGACCGGATGGGGGTAAAGAAGCCGGCTTGTAATGAGGTATGGCGGCGTGCACATCATAATGGGTGTACTGCTGAGCTTGGGGCCGGGCCTCTTGCGCGTTTGGAAAACGTTAATGTACATAAGCTTTCGAGGTTGTCTCTGTACTTTGTGTTAACAGCCCATCTGCTTCATGAAGAGCAGGCGCGCGATCTTAATTGAATATGTAACCCCTAATTGGTGATTGACCTGCGACCAAGAGACGATTCTTTTTAATTCCATGCTTCCAGCAGCCAGAGACGATGCGGAGATGAGGTATTACTATCCGCTGACGCATTGCAGTGCCGTACCGTGACCCGTGGACGCAAACCTGATGCGGCCGTGCGGATGTACATTTGAAGACTGACTTTCACATGTCCGAATGTTGGCAGACCCAAACTTCCCTTTTGGCGCCGTACAACGTCTTGGCATCGAAATTCCACAAAACGGCTTCCTCCCACCAATTGGCCATGACACTCTGTGAAACGTTCACGGCGTGACCACTTGCCGTACGTCCGAAAGACGGCTCGAAAGATTTACCTCTGCGATTATAGGGCGCACTAGATCTCACCAAATCTGGGGTTGATGATCATCTTGTTCCACGCTCGTGGAGATATTCCCGAGGTCCCAAAACTCCCCTTGCTCCAGGTTTTGCTTGAGCTTTTCCCCAGCAGGGTCCCCGCGCTATTCCAGGGATGATGCATGATTTCTCCCCTTTGCGCCGACCGCGGCCGCGAATTCATTCTCTCCAACGTTCAGTTCAGTCACTGGAGCAAAACTGATCATGGAAACACATCATCTGCCTCTCGCTCTTGGTGATAGGAGGAACCCAGATGACCTGGAGAAGCGGAATCCTGGTGCCGAGGAATGTGACACTGACATGCCCACTCGCCCACTGACGGTGAAAGGGTAGTTAGTACCTCTATAAATGGACACCGCCGTAAAGGTACCTTGAGCGGTGGGGTCCGCCGCCAATGCTATTCGTTCACATAGGTATCACCGCGCCAGTAAGCTCGAATGCAGTCAGTGATGGGAGTGACAGCGAAGCCGCCAAAATGTTTACTGAGTGACCAATAAGTTGGAGAAATTGGAGACGCAATGAAAATCATCCACGACCTCATTTCAACAAGGAAGCCGGCATGTCAACGCCAGATACACCACATCCCGTTTCACGAAAAGAACTTGACATGATAACGGGACATTTGAGGCTCCTCCAAACTCGGCACTCCTCCGGACGAGAGGCGCTAACGAGCGCATCCGGTGGATACAAGTCCGGATTGCGGGATTGAACCCACCCAAAACTGGAGAGAAAGTGGGGAACATATCTTGTGCGCTTCCTTTTTGCCGAGGTTTGTGAGAGCGAAGGAGGACCAGTGACGTCTCATGGCCCATAGCCCATGGCCCGGTACATGCATGGACGGCCGGTGAAATGCGATTCAGGCCGTCGGGACTTGGGTCTGGCTCTGCTAGAACTGTCCGCCTGTTGCATTGGCGGTCTCTTTTTCTCAAAGACCCGGCGCGCGCCTTGATCATAAACTCCGAGCTCCTTTCTCACATCAGACGAACTGCTGCTTCTTATTCTTCTCTTCCATCCATAATAGTCTTCCTTTAACCTCATCTCTCCCACCTATCTACCTGCCTGGCATCCCTTCACGCGGGTCAACTACGACTTTATACAACTCCGAACGCCGAAACCCACCGAAAGACTCCAGTCAACCTTGTTTCCGGTTGCGCGTTCAAGAGACAGACGACAAAAGACCAGACGCGCATTTTGCAGAAGACTGTACAGGAACGACAGACAGTTGCTGCTCGATCGAACGACACCAGACCGCCGATACATATCACCAATACCAAGTTTTTGCGACAGCGCGCTTGACTGAAGATCCCAAGGATCTCTCTCTTGCGCCGGCCTTTCCTCGCCCCCTTTTCACACTTCATACACACACACATACATCTACAGTCAAAATGTCGTCGACCACATCGTCACCAGGCGCCAAAATCCAACAGGCAGTCACCGATAAGCTCCCTCACCTTCCCGAGACCAAGGAGGAGCTCAAGGCCGAGATCAAGGCTGAGGCCAAGGCCGCCGCCTCCGCGGGCGCCTCCCAGCTAAGGTCTTTTGTTGCTGGTGGTTTTGGTGGTGTCTGCGCCGTTGTCGTCGGCCACCCCTTCGATCTTGCCAAGGTCCGCCTCCAAACAGCTGAGAAGGGCGTCTACACCGGCGCCATCGATGTGGTCAAGAAGAGTATCGCCAAGGATGGTCTAAGGAGGGGTCTCTACGCTGGTGTCAGCGCGCCGCTTGTTGGTGTTACTCCCATGTGTATGTCCACCCACCACCTTTCTATCTTCACCCTTCCCCCTCTCTCTCTCTCCCCAACAACCCCCCTGCTAACATTTCTTCCCCCCAAATCAAGTCGCTGTCTCCTTCTGGGGCTACGATCTCGGCAAGCAAATCGTCCGGGCCACCTCCACCGTCGCGCCCGACGGCAACCTCTCCATCGCCCAAATCTCCGCCGCCGGCTTCTTCTCCGCCATTCCCATGACCGCCATCACCGCCCCCTTTGAGCGCGTCAAGGTGATCCTGCAAGTCCAAGGTCAGCAGAAACTCGCACCCGGCGAGAAGCCCAAGTACTCTGGTGGCATGGACGTGGTCCGTCAACTCTACAAGGAGGGCGGTGTGCGCTCCGTCTTCCGCGGCTCCGTCGCCACTTTGGCCCGCGACGGCCCCGGTTCTGCCGCTTACTTCGCCGCCTACGAGTACATCAAGAAGGCGCTGACACCCAAGGACCCCGTCACGGGCGAGGCTAGCGGCAAGCTCAGCCTGGGTGCGATTACTGTTGCTGGCGCGGGCGCCGGTGTTGCCATGTGGATCCCTGTCTTCCCGATCGATACCGTCAAGAGCAGGCTGCAGACTGCCGAGGGCAACGTGACGATTGGCGGTGTTGTTAAGCAGCTCTACAGGGCGGGTGGTTACAAGGCTTTCTTCCCTGGCTTTGCGCCGGCGCTGGCTAGGGCGGTGCCTGCTAACGCTGCTACCTTCTTGGGCGTCGAGTTGGCTCATCAGGCTATGAACAAGGCTTTTAACTAAGCGGAAGAAAAGGATGAGATAAGAAAGGGTGTTTGGGAAGCATGGGGATGTGCTATGTTGTAAGACATATGAGGCCTGCTCTGGTCTATATATACTTCTTGGTTGAGCCACGTCTGAGCGTTTCTAGGTCAAGGACAGAGAGATATCATGTGATGTTATACAGTATTGGCGGCAGCGGTGCCTGGGAGTTTGGTTTCCATTTTGTTTATATATACTTCGGTTAGATACGGTATACACGGGCCTTGTGTTAGGTCACCAAAAGTATCGAGTTTCATGATCTATTAAGCTTTTCCCGGCACTTATGTGCTATCTATGTCAGAGCAATCTCTCTCCTGACCAGCGCGTTGCTGGCTACAACAGCTCTCGGCCTAGGCCAACCACAAGACAAAGCAGTTCCTTCAACCCAGTCTTCCGGCAGAGCACAACTCTGCAAGGTATGTAGTATCATTTCGCTAAGGATATCCGTAAAAAAAACGTTTAACAAACTCGCTTCACGCCCCTCCTCCTTGTCGTCTCCCCTCTTTCCCATTTTAACAATTTCCACAGCCAGCCAGCTCACACATACCCACACCGACAGGCTATGCATTCCCCAATCACTCCTCTCCCAAACTCTCCCTCACACAAGCCCTGCACCTCTTCCTAAACTCCTTGTGTTTCCCCTCCTTCTCCTCCCTCAGCAAGCGCGCGGCCTCGACATTAGCGGGGCTATCCGGGTTCGGATCGCTGAACAAGCTAATGATGCTCAAAAGCACCTTCTCGGGCGAGCGCGCGGGGGACCACCGCTCCGACGCGTCCTCGTACCCGTACTTGTCCTCCTCGGGCGGGTGCAGGATGCTGATGCAGAGCTCGCCCGACGGATAGATGTTGGGATGGAACGGGATCGGGTTCTGGAACGTAAAAGTGGGTGGCATGAGTGGGTAGTTGGGTGGGAAGTGAAGGTGGGCGCGGAAGTTGCCTCCTGTTTTGTAAAATGGTTGCTTCATGTCAGTGTACTTGTACTCAGTAGTGAGGAGGAGGAGGAGGAGGAGGAGGAGGAGGAGGAGGAGGAGAGGGAGACAAAAAAAAGAAAAGAAACGAACCGCCATAGTATTTGACCTCATCGGGAATCATCAACATCACCTCCCACTCAAAAATGTTGTTGTCGTTCACCAAGCCGCATGATATCCCGGGAATGTCCGTGTCCTTCTGCATCTGCTTCAATTCCTTCCGCAACTGCGTCGCTGCTGCTGACGATTGGGCCATTGTGAATTGCTGTCTTGGCTGGTACCGTCGGTATCTACTCTTTTCCTTTGTTCTTGTTTTTGGGCGTAAGGGAAGGACGTGAAAAAAGAGCGATGACAGTTGATGGTGTGCTTTCACGATGTTGCTGTTAGACGCAAGGCAAAGGTGACGTTACTGGCTGCACGGTAAGGTGGGTGGAAAGTAGAGGACCGAACCGATGTTCGGTTTCGCGACACTGATGTTGGAAAAAGCTAAGCAGTTTAAAAAACGACAACCCTTATCGATGCTGTGAAGATTTTTCATGAACTCGAGGGTGGCGTCAACATCCGGTGAATGTGAATCTTGAGAAATTGATTAAGGTCGCGACATGCGGTCGACGTAGATCGGTGGGAGTGGCGGGCGGGGATCGCTCCTGCGGTCCGGCACCGTGCTTTCGGCCCCACCGGCACTCCAGCTCCTTCCGCAACGGATAGTGGGGCCGGATTCGTGATTGACTTGACAAGGCAAGCAAGGGCAGTGCCATCAGTCTGTTCGACTGAATACTTAGGTAGTATCGATGGAGCTCTAGGCGCCTGAAAGACTGAAGTTGTGAAATGTCAAATGGCAGAGCAACTACGGTACAGAGTGCAATCTATGTTGTTATTCTTCATCTCAAGCCAGGAACACCATCTATACTACTAAGTAAATCATTAAACAAACAATGAAAAACACGCAAACCCAGAACACCATCCCATGCTATGTTCGATATCTCTTGCGGTCCCAAAAATGCGTCTCGGAAAGAGATGGGACAGAAAAATATGACAAATAAAGTGTGGCGCGTATCGGCGTCGACACCGATGTCTTCCAGTTCCACAAGGTCTTCGCAAAGAGCGAGGTAGTATCATTCCACCTCAGGGTTGTTTCCATTTACACCAGCGAACCACGGAAAGGCAGCCAGTGCAGGAGCCATAGATACCTGCCGACTCGAAAGCAACTGGCAGACCTAACAATCCCGCAGCACAACGCAAGACTTGTAGCCACGGTAGTCTGCCCACAGTAGGACCAGCCCAGCCTACTTCTTCGGAACTCCAAATCCCGTGAACCCCATAGCAGCCATCATATCATCTTCATCGTGTTCGCCTTCAATCCTCACATCCTCTCCGTAGTTGGTCTTGGCCTTCAGTGCCTCCTCTTTCTCCAGCCTCTTCCGCTCCTCCACCTCTTTCCTCTTTCTCCTCTTCTCTTCCCTCTCTTTCTCATCTTCCACCTTCCTTACCTCCAGCCGCTCCTGGAGACTAACGACCTGCTCCCTCTTCCTTTCCTGCAGTTTCTCCCACAGCTGCTCAATCCTCTGGTGCACCTCCTCAGCCGTCGCTTTTCGCACCTCGCCCGTATGACCCGTGTTCCGCTGATGCTGCATGCTATTCGTATGCTCGATCCACTGCAGGTTATCCTTGAAGGTCAGGTCGCAGGCCTCGCAGTAGATGCCCGCACCCCTACCGCGCTTGCCCACGCCCGCTCCCGCGGGCACCAGCATCGTTGTGCCAACCAGCTTGCTGAAGTCTTGGTGTCCCGAGCGGGCGGTGGTCAAGGTTTCGTGCCCCTCGAGAGGCTTGTAGTACTTTTTGCCAGCCATCTTGGCCTCCCATCGCGCCTTGCGCTCCTCCTTCTCGGCCTCCTCGCGGTCTCGTGCTTTGGCGGCATATTCGTCGAGATCGTACTTCTTGCGGAAGTCAGTGTCGCCGGCGGCTTGGCCGTATGCGGAGGAGTTTTTGGACATGGTGGCGGATTACGAATTGGATCTGGCTTTCGATATGTTTCTTTTTTTTGCGACGCTGTCGAATAATTGGCAGTAATATATTCGACGATAAATGAGTGTGGCTTTTTGTGAATCGCCTTCGGTCGGCGACTTAACCTCGACCACTGAGAAGTGAGAACCGTGATGGATGATGGAATAAGTTGGCCAATGCTCAAGATGGAAATCAATTAAACAATGGCGCGCCAGAGCGCGCTGCCGCTGCGGCAACGATCGGGGTTTGTTTTAAGGTGGGGCAAGCTCCATCAGCGGGACATGGCGTTTAGGTAAAATGTACCTTAACCCCGGTACGACTCTTATCTCCCCGGTTTTCTCTTATCGGAGTGCTGGACCCACCTTTAAATTCCAATTCCTCCTCCACCACAGCACTCCAGAGTCACTGAAGTTCTGGAGCGCAGCTTCCTCGTTCCGGACATCAAGGTTCCTCCGGCTCCCCCAATTCCGAACCCGTCAAGCACCTGTCAAGATGCTGTACCTCGTTGGCCTCGGTCTATCCGATGAGACAGACATTACCGTCAAGGGTCTCGAAGTTGTCAAGAAGGCCGAGCGTGTCTACCTCGAGGCTTACACCAGCATCCTCCTTGTGGACCAGGCTACTCTTGTACGTTGGCGCCCTTCATTCATTGCCGTCGTTGTTATCTTCCTTGTCTCTCCTCTCTTTCTCCCTGCTTGTCTCTTCCTCGTCCATGATTCCATCCCAATTAACTCCACACACGAACGAATTGTCCATGCTAACCACCCTTCTCCTCCAGTAGGAATCCTACTATGGCCGCCCCATTGTCGTCGCCGACCGCGAAATGGTCGAGTCCAACAGCGATGAGATCCTCCGCGATGCGGACAAAGTCGACGTAGCCTTCTGTGTCGTCGGCGACCCATTTGGCGCCACCACGCACACGGACCTGGTGCTGCGCGCGCGCGAGCTAGGCATCCAGGTGCGCACCGTGCCCAACGCCTCCATCATGAGCGGCATCGGAGCCGCGGGCCTGCAGCTGTACAACTTTGGCCAGACGGTCAGCATGGTGTTCTTCCTCGATAACTGGCGGCCCGCGAGCTTCTACGACCGCATCAAGGAGAACCGCTCCATCGGCCTGCACACGCTCGTCCTGCTGGACATCAAGGTCAAGGAGCAGAGCCTGGAGAACATGGCACGCGGCAGGAAGATCTACGAGCCGCCTAGGTATATGACGGTCGGCACCTGCGCGCAGCAGATGTTGGAGATTGAGGAAGAGAAGCAGGAAGGTGTTTATGGTCCCGAAAGTCTGGCCATTGGCTGCGCCCGTGTTGGTGGAAAGACGGAGAAGTTCGTGTCGGGCACGCTCAAGGAGCTCTGTGATGCTGATGATCTGCTGGGTCCCCCGCTGCACAGCTTGATCCTCCTGGGGCGGAGGACGCACGAGCTCGAGCACGACTTTGTGAGGGAGTTTGCTGTCAACAAGGAGAACTGGGACAGGATATGGAAGGCTGAATACTGTGGAAAGCAGTAGATCAAGTTTTCTTGTTTGTTTCAAAAGCGTACGTTTCATTCAATTTAACTTGTTACTAATATTGCGCCCGACTCCAGTGTCAGTCAGAAAGACTCTGTGTGTGAAGTAAACTAGGCACATATCATTATCATCGTCGACTCATAAATCATTCGCATCGCACGACACTTCCACAGCTTAGTGCGACGACCTCCAAGACTGCACCTCCTGCTCGCTAATCTCCCGCAGCTTGTTCACCGACGCCGGCTTCCCCGTGATAACGCCCTGTGCCACATCCGCCACCTTGCCAACAATGTTCTTGGTCGAGATGGCATAGTGAGCGGTCACCATCTTGACGCGGATGACTCCCACACGCGGGTCCTCCGGGCCGCCGTCGTGGACACCGTCGCCCAAGTCGCCGAACCAGGCCTTGAGATGGGGGTTGTAGTGCTTGCGGACCAGGTTGCGGTCCGTGACGATGCTGGCGGTGCCGCTGACCGAGGCCCAGTCGCCCGTGGTGCTGTTGAGGAACGAGATGTTGATGTGCTCGTCCGACTTGAGGTCGTCCGTCTTGCCCGACTCGGTGTTGGTGTGGAAGAGCAGGTCGATGCCACCGAATTCCTATTGTTGAAAGGCGTCGTTAGTCAGATGTGGGAGTGTGAGAGAAGAAGAAGAAGAAGCACGATGTGTAATTTGAAGCTGTGGTGGATTTGGGAAACTACATACAGTAGCGGCCAGCGCCATACAGCGGGAGAGGAGATATCCCGTCTTGGAATCACGAGTGGTCATCATGCTGAATTTATTGCTGGTCATGAAGCTAGCAAGGTCATTGATCTTTTGATCCAGAGGTACCTCGGTGTCGAGGTTGGCCTGCTTGTAGGGATCAGCCGGCTTGTTGCCGGTATCAGCGTTGGAGAAACCTTGGCCGGACATCTTGTTGGTGTTGTTATTGTTGGTTTGCTGGGATTGGGTAGTCTTGATGTTGGTTGTAGTATAAGGTTGTGTGAGTGAGAGGTTGTGTTGGGATTGGATCAGTGAAGAAAGTGTGATTGTTCGTCTTGTTGGTCTAGCTGCACAGAGTGCTCTGGTGAAAGTGACTCTCATGGTTGCTTTGGGAGAAGAAGAGAAAGCCGTGTGCTATATACATATCTGTAGGTTCATTATGACAGTCATATGGTCTCCCCGCTTTCTCCTTTTTTCATCCAATTGCACTCGTTCATGATGTAAGCATCCGAAGTTTCAGCAGACCGTACTTTCTCCATCTTCTATTCGCGGGCAATCGTCATCATAGATCACCGGCAGCTGTATGTGTGGTGCTTTATTTGCTTTTTGCCGTTTTGGGAAGCAGCGGACGGCTGGTGACGTCACCGGTTCTTGGGAGCCCCCTCTTGCAACTCGAAGCACCAAACGACTCGGAAGCTTTGACCCCAACGGAATCCCAACACTTTCAGTTTGTTCTCACGATTGGATCGCAAAGGCGATCTTTGTCTCGGTGGAACTGTACACCAGATCGATACGATACGTATTATTGTAATTCGATTGTATGCTTTCTTGACGACTACAGTGTCAAGTTAAGTAACCAATGTAGCATTGACGGCGATCGATCCTCTGTTCATCCCTCTTCCATTTCCGACGATTTCAACCTTGGCCCTGTTTCGGGGAAACAAGTGGGAGTGTATTTACTCACGGGAGACTTCCCAAATGCACCTCCACTAAACTAACCCAAGTTGCTTCAATCTGCCTACTTACACATACATCTACACACGTACATCACTGCAACTTATCAGAGTCTGCATCACTCCGCCAGACCTGCCAGACCTACCCTCATTCGAGTCTTGACCGCTTCCCCTGACGGTTCCCCTACCGAGCTATCATCCGTTACTTGCCGACCCGCCGAGATTGACAGTGCCGTGTGATGTGAACGAAAGCAACAATATGAAATGCTCTGAATACTCAAGCAGAAGACGCAGCAGCAGCAGTAGCAGGGGTCAAAATTAGCACCACCCAAGCCACCTTTCCCTCGCCATCCTTCAAAGCCGTCCAGTGACTAACCAACCTCCTACCCTTCGTCTGCTGTTCCTGTCCCTGTCCCCAGTGTCCCTTGTCCCCCTGTTCTTCCACTTTTGATGCTGATGCAGCATCTTTACCTCCGCCACCGCCTCCACCGAGTCCTCGAAAGGCAAACATGTTCCCGAGTTTCTCAACGGCCCCGTGCTCCTTCAATTTATCACTGAACACCCTAGAGCTAGACGGCCGATAATCCGAGCTTGCTGCTGACAAGGCCCCGTCTCGTGTTGCTGCTGTCCTTCCTTCACGGCCGACGTTACTACGGCTGCGCGCACGGGCTGAGGAGAAGAGGGAGGGGGGTTTGTCTGCGGCTTTGGTATCTCTTGAAGGAGAAGGGATAGTGGTGGATAGGGCGGGATCATGAGCAAGCGTTGATATTTCAAGTGAGATGGACTCGCCCGCCGCCACGCTTTCGAGGACGGTAGATCGGAAGGTCTTTTCTATCAAGTCGGTCGAGCTCGTGGCACATACAAGGAGCGAGAAGATGGACCTGGATTGGACGATGGACGAATCGTGGCCCCTTAGGCCGAGGAAGCCAAGGGCTTCGGTGGAGCAGAAGGCGACTGGGAGGTGTGGCAATCGGGAGTGGCGCTTGTCGTTGGTCTGATGGGGAAAGATGTGAAAGGAGGTTGAGGGCGAAGGGACGTAGCGCATCACGAAGAAGCATGAGTAAGGTGTGCTTGTTGGCGTGGGTTTGGGTGGTTCGGGTTCAACTTGGTAATGGTCGTGGAAAGGATTCGAGATCCCCCAGTTTTCCATGTAACCGTCCATGGGCGAGGGCGATGGTGACTTCCTGGCATTCATGAGAATGGTCGGGTCATCTGGCTGGCGCTCTGCATGGCTGGTGTCAAGTACGTTCTTTCTGGGACGGAAGCGATCAAAAAGACGCTGTCGGTGTGATCGTCGAGGTGTGACCGGTGAGTTCTCGCCCGGGGGACACGAGTCTTGGATGTGTATGGCAGGTCGCTGAGCTGAACCAATGTAAGATTCTGTGGATGTGCTGGGTAAAGAGTTCTCCTCTGTGGGTGTATCAAAGTTGAGAAGGTCCATGATCTCCTGGTGACTTGTGCCCATGCCCTTCGATATGTTGATCTGACCACCGAGACAGTAGCGCACGATACCGTCTTCAACTAGAGGACAGATGAATAAGAAGTTCCAGAACGGAGTTCCATCTTTGCGATAGTTGACAATCAACTCAGTGTGTTCTCTTCCCATAAAGATCGCATTCCGCGTTCGACGTACTGCGTCGCCGTTGGTGGAGTTGCCTTGCAGAAACCTGCAATTCTGTTGGAGAATCTCGTGTCTCTCAAAGCCAAACATTCTCAGGAACCCTTCAGAGGCATAGACTATAGGGTTATCTGGCTTCCAAGAGTCGGTAAGACAGAAGGCATTGCCAAGGCCAGGGTACGTGGACTTGAATGGGCTGGAGGAGGAGGGCTGAGTGACGGATAAAGAAGTTTTCAGACGGTTGGCGAGCTGAGACTTGACGAACTCGGGATAGAGGTCATTGACGAGCCGTTCTTCAGCTGCGACCTTGGCTTCTCGGTACAACCTTTCCAACGACGGCAATGCAGTCCGAGCACACTGCTTAGTATTTGTCTTGAAAGCAAGTGGATATGTGTAAGCAGGTTCTATGGCAGATCTTGCCGGAACTTCCAAGTAAGTTGTGATATGATTGATCAGGCTTCTTAGGGTGTCAAGTGCGCCGGTGTACTGCTCCGTCTAGAAATTCGATTGTAAGAGCCATGAATTGCTATCATGTGACGATCCGAGGATTGACATACCTCTAACATGAGCCCCAAGTCCACAGAATAGTTCCTAAGTTTGGCAAAGTCGCGCAACTTTCTTCCTACCTCCGGGTCCGAAAAGGCGATTTTGATCACCGTACGATCAAACAAATTGGGAAGTGACCCAACGGATTGTGCGTATTCACTCGAGGCCACACTCGTAGTGCCCCCCAAGGAGATGGTATCGATGGTGCTTACGGCATCAACATCCTTCTGCTTCTTCCAGTACCAAGGTGAATTCATCGGACTTTCCGACCTGCTGTCTGAGTACTGACGGAACGAGGACTTGGTGGTATGCATTGAGAGTGCCGAGTCGCTTCGTAGTCGCACATGCGTTTTCTCAAGCTTCAGCTTTGGACTTGCCGGTGCAGGTGGTGGTGATAATGCCGTCGGATGGGTCAAGGTTGCCGTGGTGTTGGATTTGTAGGGCAGCACCATCGAAGTGTTTGACTGATCACTGCCGCGCCTTTCGAACTCCGAGTCAACACCATGTGGTGAACAGGGAATGGAGTCAAGTGTGCCTCTCCTAGAGTGCCGCATAATTGATATCGGACTGAAGTGCGTGGAGGGTTTTCTGAAGACGGAGTATTCTGGTTTTTCGTCTTGATGAGAGGATGAAAAGAACCCGAGATTGACCACGAGATATAAACGACAGACACCAACACCTTTCGGACCATATACCCTCTTAGCAGAATCGAGTTCTTGGAGACTGTACGTATAGCACTTTTTGCTGACTTTCAGTCGTTTCTCGTGTGCCTTCAACCATGGACGTTCTCACTAGGCATAGACCCCACTTTGATCGAAGCAAGAGGCGAAAGAGGCGACGATCCGGTCCTTCTTCCTGAGTATGGACTTTCCGATCATCATTCCGTATTGAGGACACTTTTCTGCGAAGAGCCGTGGTCACCCGTGGATGAGATGACATCCGGCGGTACGGTTCATTGAAAAGAGTCGAGTGCAAACGGGCAATCCCTGATTCCAAAAGAAAAGGAACGGGGCCCATCTCGGTCATAGGGGTCCAAGTGACTTTGCTTTTCACCCACTGCGAGTGAGTAACGGCAGTTCACCTTACCCGGGGTACACCTAGGCTTGCCTGAGTGCCACCGTGCTAACCTCCGTGAATAACCAGCCAGTCTTGCCGGGAAAGGTACGTCAAGTCATCTCAAGCGTTTGCATCGAGGATTAAGACCGCCATCCATGCCATGTTTCAACCGGGTCGTTGCAGAGGGCCGGCCACCTGGCTTGTCTTCCATGAGAAGATTCCATGCCACGAGCGTCAACACGAGTGTTTCAAGCCGCGAGCCAAAGTTTCCTGATGATTTGACTGGGGATATCGTGAATTGGTCATTCCATTTTTGTGGGATCATCGCCGAAACTTCAGCGATGGCGTTTGGCGGCCGGATCTGGAGATGAAAGAGAGCCTAAAGGCTGTCCTGTGAGGTGAGTCCCACTTCCCCAATCGAGGGATGTCTTTTGTATCTCGTTTGCCATAACTGGGCGCTGAGAAGGTCGTGAATCATGAGCATCGGATACTTGCTCGTGTCGTCCATGGAGCGGAAGATTGGTGACTAAGGCCGGTTGAAATAAGTAGCAGGTTTCCTTTATCTCCAGTCGTCTCATTGCGTGGTTGATGTTCGTAGCTGCCCGGACCAAACTTGAAAAGAACGCGAGATAGTTATTGACGGATGGAAGTCAACCGATGAGGTCTCGGTGTTTGACGGGGGATTTGATGTGCAACCGGGCAGCATTATCGGAGCCTGGCCGGTAGAAAAGACGGGACGGGTTGTCCGGGCCGCCCTCCCTCTGCTGCCCGGCCACCCGATTCAGCAGAGCGCTGTAGCCCCGCTCATAAACCTAATGCATCCTGGACCTTCTGCGGGGAGCTCCTCAGCGCGATATCGCGAGGGGTATGCGCCCTGTATCTTAAGCTTAGCTTCCCGTCCTATGTTCCATTGGCTACGTCTAGGTCGTCCCCGCCTCTTCCAACTCGACATCAACCTCATCAGACATGGCGATTCCTCCATCAGTATCAACTGTCGCTGCTGTATACTTTCCGCTATTTTGTCGTATTCAACCCATCTGTGCTACCTCCATAATGCAATTGCTACGCTACAAAGCATGTGCAATTCAAGCACTGCTCTCCGACTCTCCTGCGCGCACAACATGGCGGGAGTGCCTTGACTGAGCTCGCATTGGTGATTTCGTCCCACAGACCCTTTGCATGACACTCGACCACGAGACGATCGACTTGGAGATACAGAGCACGACCGCAGAGTCTATCAAAGGGCGTGATACAAAGGTTGTAACTAATACTGGCAGTTGGTTCCGCCAGATGGTCCAATACCGGTGTCACATCTCTGCCCACGAAGCCTTCATCATACCTACACCTACAAACAAGTCGCGATGGACGTCTTGGAAGGAACAGTAAGTGTAGAAGGGGAAGGCATCAGAGGGCTTGAACGATGTCGAGCGATCAACGGCTGCGCGTGACTTCCCCCGCTCAATGATCCCGGAAGTTTACTCCTGTTGCTACTGTGATAAGAGTGTGCTTGACTATGGCTCCTACCGGTTGACCTGGTGTTGTGCTCAGAGACCTGCACGGTCAGGGGTTCGATCAGGGCAACCGACTTTGAGGTTAGATTTAAGACATGGGATGAACTATATCCGCCATCCCGGTTCGGTTACTCTCCTCACATAAAGCGAGGACTGTTTCTTGTCCTTCTAGTCCCCTCCATCCCCATATACTTCGTTGTTTATCTTTACCTCATGGCTGTCTTCTGTTCACAATGACATTATTGCTTTCCGCTACTTTGGTGCTCCTTTCCGCAGGCCGAGCACTTGCCCAAGATACAGACGATATCCTCCAATATGTCGACCCATTGATTGGCTCAAGCAACGGCGGAAATGTCTTTCCCGGAGCCTCACTCGCATACGGTATGGCCAAGGCCGTGGCTGACACGAACAGCAGTTCAAACCAAGGTGGCTTCACTCTGGATGGTGCCCCGGTTACTGGTTTCAGCATGATGCATGATAGTGGTACCGGTGGTAGTCCATCTTTGGGCAACTTTGCCTTGTTCCCCTATACTAGCTGCCCCGGAGGAGACATTAACCGGTGCGCGTTTCCTAAGAAGACGAGAGCCAATTTTGGCGGTTTCGACGAATCCAGCGTCTCTGCCAGACCTGGGACATTCGGAATCGCACTGAACACCGGCATCCGGGCAGACATGACAGTCACTCAACATACCGCTCTGTTCAGATTCACGTTTCCTGAAAATAGTACCATGGGTGAAGCCGCGCAACCACTCATCTTACAGGATCTGACTGATCTGTCAAACTCGAGGCAGGACAATGGAACAGTATCAGTCAATGAGAAGACGGGCCGCATCACGGGGAGTGCTCGTTTTCTGCCCAGCTTCGCTCAAGGGAACTACGTCCTTTACTTCTGTACTGACTTCTCCGGTGCCGAGATCTTGGATAATGGTATCTTTGCGGACAGCAGAGCCAGCACATCCGTCAAGAACATGACTATCTCCAGATCCATCAATGGCTATCCTCTTCCGGGCGGTGCATTCGTGAGGTTTAAATCTGGAGTCAAGCCGATTCTGGCAAGAACCGCCACGAGTTTCACCAGTGTCGAACAAGCGTGCAGACACGCCGAGTCTGAGATTCCCGACTTTGACTTTGATCGGATATCACAAGCAGCAACGGAGCAATGGCAGGCCAAGATGGGCGGAATAAGGGTATCGACAAAGGGCGTGGATAAATCCTTGATCACCAACTTTTACAGCGGTATCTACCGCACTCATATCAATCCACAAAACTACACCGGAGAAAATCCGCTATGGTCCAGTGACGAGCCATACTTTGATTCGTTCTACTGGTATGTGCTCCCAGATATCCCCAGTGTGTATTCTCCACTCACAATCACAGCATATGGGATCTGTTCCGTTCCCAGCTCCCGTTTCTCACCATTACGGACCCAACGGCAGTCACTCAGATGATCCGCTCCCTCATTGACACGTATCGGCACGTGGGATGGCTTCCCGACTGCAGAATGAGTCTCAATAAAGGCTACACACAGGTATTTGCATTATGTCCAAAGTAGAGGACTCTTCTGACCAGCTCTCTTAGGGTGGTTCGAATGCAGATGTGGTACTGGCAGATGCGTACATCAAAGGTCTTGAAGGAGGAATCAATGTACGTCTCAATCTATTCATGTCATTCACCATCCATACTAACCTATCTAAGTGGGAGGATGGCTACGCCGCTGTTGTCAAAGACGCTGAGGTTGAGCCATTCGACTGGTGCTGCCAGGGACGCGGTGGCCTCGACAGCTGGCATTCTCTCGGTTACATCCCCGTCCAAGATTTTGACTGGAAAGGCTTCGGTACCTTAACACGATCTATCTCCCGTACGCTCGAATACGCCTACAACGATTTCTGCATCGCCGAAATGGCCAAGGCTTCTGGCAGGACTGCCGACCAGGAGAAGTACACCCTTTCGAGCGGTAAGTGGCGCAACCTCTACAAAGAAGATCAGACTTCCTTCTGGTGGAACGGCACCGACACTGGCTTCACGGGATTTTTCGAACCTCGCTATCTCAACGGCACCTGGGGCTATCAGAACCCTCTAAACTGCTCCAACCACGACGACTTCAGCGTCTGCTCCCTGCAAAACAACGGCCCAGAGACATTCGAGTCCTCCATCTGGGAATATGGCTTCTACGTGCCCCACGACCAAGCAACGCTGATCAGTCTCTATGGAGGTCCAGACCGCTTCGTCGACCGCCTGAGCTATCTTCACGACCAAAACATCACGTACATCGGCAACGAGCCGTCCTTCCTCACGGTGTTTCAGTACCATTACGCCGGACGACCGGCTCTCTCCGCCAAGCGTGCTCATTATTACATACCCGAGTTCTTCGGCACCACTCCCGATGGTCTGCCGAGCAACGACGACAGTGGTGCGATGGGCTCGTTTGTGGCCTTTACCATGATGGGTCTTTTCCCCAACCCGGGCCAGAACGTGTACCTGATTACTCCGCCGTTCTTTGAGTCGGTGAATATCACGAATCCGTTGACGGGCAAGATTGCGAGGATCAGAAATGTCAACTTTGATCCCAGTTATAAGAATATTTACATTCAGAATGCCACGCTTGATGGGGTCAAGTATAGCAAGAACTGGATCGACCATAGCTTTTTCACGGAAGGAAAGGAGCTGGTTTTGACGCTTGGTGATAGAGAGAGTGATTGGGGTACGAAAGTGGCTGATCTTCCTCCGAGCTTGGGCGAGTATAAAGGGTATGGAAACTCGTCGTCTTCTTCTGGATATGGATCATGGCATGATACCGCCGGTAGTAGTGCCAAACGGATCAGGAGTTGGTTGAGGGGGGATTTGGAAAGCTTGTGACAGGTTTTTTTTTTCTTCTCTCTTTTGTCAGTATGGTTAGCGACTACAGGTTTTCTTTCATGAAACATAGTTTAATTGCCATCACTAATACCCAATAACCACCCTACAAAAACCTTTTGCAATGCAAGCATTACCCAAAACTCCCTTCCTCAAACAAACCAAAACCCCTCGGGTAAATGCTCCCCGTACCCTTCCTCCTCCACCAACCTCCTCCCCGCCTCCCACACATTTTCTGGTATCTCCATTTTAACCTGCCACCCCTTCTCCCCATACTCTTTTATGCGCACCAAATCTCCCACCATGACGTTAATCACCAGTTCCCTTCCATTCCCACTCTCCTCATCAGGATACTCCTCCCACTCCAACGGCGGACTGGTCACGCTATAGTTTACTTTTTCTTCTTTTTCCTCTTTTTCTTCATCTTCCTCAATTTCTTCTTTTTCTTCATCTTCCCCTTCCATTCCCACCCCTGCTGCCCCTGAAGCCCCCCCTGAAAAAGAAGAAGAAGGAGAAGAACAAAAAGAAGAAGGCCACTGCCTCCCAAACGTCCCCCACGTCCTCCGCTCCATATACGGTTTCTGCACCAGCAAAAAGTCCTTTACGTTGATCCCTCTCTTTTCCAGTAAGGCATGAGTGAAGCGCACGTTTTCGCCCGTGTTGGTGGATTGCTCTTCTATGAGGATTGCGGAGGGGGGCACGCCCATGGAGAGCGCAATGGAGGCGAAGATGGAGGCTTCGGATTGGAATTTTTGCTTGTCTTCTTCTTCTTCTTCTGCTTGGGGTCGGGTGTCACCTTTGGAGGGTGTGGGGGTGGTGGTGGTGGTAGAGGAAAAAGGGTCGCCGGTCAAAGAACGGGTCAAAAGGCCGGAGTGGCCCGAGAAGAGGAGGTACTGGTAGGCTTTGCGGGGGGTGGTGATGAGTCCGGTTGTGCTTGTGCTTGTGCTTTGCTGCTGGAGGAAGAGGAGGAGGTAGTGGTGGAGGAAGGAGGAGGAGATGGAGGAAGAAAAGTGGTGAGAAAGAGATGGGCGGCGTAGCGGGCTACGCGGAGGTCGATGGAGCAGAGGGTGAAGATTATTCGAGTTGGCTCCGAGTCGTTGTCTTTCAAGTCTGATGGGTTTTGGGGAGTAGGAGAAAAGGTGGGAAGGGGCATGTGCATTCGGTGGTAGTTGTATATGGTGCGTGCCCAGTTGTCGATTTCTCCTGGCGTTGGTTGCCCTTCTTCTGTCGGTGTTGGTTATGATAGTTGTATCGGATGTGGTGGGGGTGCCAAGTATGTCGGCCGGGGCAGGAACCGAGATTGGGGCCGTGGACGGAGCTGTCGTTGTGGCCGAGGCGGAGGCGGTGGAGAGAAGGGACGGGCCGGGAGCGGGGCCGTGAGTGGGGACCCCATCCGGGGGATGTTGCTCTTGCGACATCTTTTGATCGCTTGCTAGATGATGGGAGGTATGATGCTTGTGATGAAGAAGGTATGATGCTTGTGATAAAGAATTTGACGCAGAAAGAACCAGAGCAACCTCGACTGGTGACAGAAAAGAAGTTGGCGGGCCGCGACTGTTACGTGATCTTTGTTAGTGAGAAGAGAAAGGTTTGTCGCGACAAGAAGTCGCTGCGGAAAGTGATGATAGTGAATGGCCGATGACACCTACCTCTAGGTACTATTGACATTTCAGCCATGACAAGGCCCAGAACTGGGCGGGGGTAACACTAAAGGCCGAAGGTGCTCATGACCAACCAACCATCACCATCTGTATCGGCAGCCGCGTTCCGAGCAAGATCACCACAAGATTGGATACAAGATAGGATGCTGACCACCATGAGGTTTTTCTGATATTCACACTGTCAAATCGTCAGAGAAAGACCTACCTGTTCATATGCATAGCCCTTCCCTTTCCTACCTACCTATCGTACAGAAACCTTAACTTGTTAACCTGGAAGCCAACGCCACGCTCGGGTATCATCCCCAATCCCATGTGCGCCGCCGATTGGAGGAAGCCATCAAAACTCCTTGGTCTCGCCAATGGCACAGCTATCAAACACTCCCGTCTCAGGCATTCCACTCGTCTTCAACGCCTCCTTCAACAACTTGGGCGGCTCCTCCACCTCCTCAATGGTCAACACCCACGTGCCCCAGTGGATCGCCATGGCCTTCTCGCACTTGGTGTCCTTGAAGATCTCCACCGCATCATATGGGTTCGAATGCAAGCCACTCCACATCCATCTGGGCCTGTACGCGCCAATGGGAATCAGACCCAAGTTAAAGGGCCCGCGCAGCTCACCAATGTGTTTGAAATGAGGGCAGCGGGGTAGTGAGTCGTACTTTGGTCCGTAGTCGTCTTCCTCCGCCGGCATCTCCGGTACGGCGCGGTAGCCCGTGTCACCGCCGAACCAGACTGACTTGCCGCCTGACTTGATGGCGAATGAGCACCACAGAGTGGTGTCCTTGTCCCAGCCGGTGCGGGCGGAGGAGTGTTGGCATGGCAGGCAAGAGACCTGGGCCTCGATCTCTTCCATGGTCTCCTTGCCGTCAGAAGTGCTAGGCTTCTTGATGGTCAGGGTGGCGTCCTCCCACCAGTCCATCTCCGTCACCTTGTCGATACCCGTGTCGCGGAACCAACTCGCCAACCCCAAGCCGACAAAGAAGTGCGCGTCCGGGTTGTTCGCCGCGAGCTCGCGCACGGTCGGCTCCGACAGGTGGTCATAGTGCGAGTGCGAAATGACGATGGCATCCAGCTTGGGGATGTCGGCCAGCCTGCACGGCGGTTGGGTGTACCGCTTGGGGCCGAGGTAACGGCTGGGTGCGCAGCGATCTTCAAAGACGGGGTCGAAAAGCACACGCAGGCCGTTGGGGTACTCGACATAATAGCATGCGTGGCCGAGCCAGGTAGCGCGCAGGGCCTTGGTGTCGCTGTGCTGCGCCTCAGACTTCTCTTCCAAAAAGTAAGGCTTGATGACGGGAATCTGAACATTTGACAAGTCGGGAGCTGGCATTTTGCCCTGGAGCCTTGACCTGTTCCCGCGTGTTAGCGCAATGAATATGATGGGTCGGCGCTATGATGATGATGCTCCTTACAAGAACATCTTGCCTACTGTCTGGAAGGTGTTGCGCAGGACACCGGCAGACGGGTGCGGGTTCTGGAACCCGATGAGTTTACCCTTGGAATCCCTGACATGATGGCTGGTGGCATCCCCGGGCGCGACACCCAATGTGGGCTTGGACACGGTTGCTGAGTATTCGGCCATGGTGTTGAATGATCTCCTTGATGGTGGTGGTGACGTCTGGGCTGTTGAAGAGTTATGGGATGGGTGCACGGGTGATCCAGATACTAGCAGATGAAGTGCGCGGTTCGTCGCAACTGTTGAAGTCGACGACCATCTAGACCGACATGCTGCCCCTTTAATAATAAATGACACCGGCAGTCCGGATGGCCTTGACGACAATAATAGCTTTAGCTTGTCCGACCGCAAACCCGCGGAGACATATCGGGAGCTGCCACTCATTGAGGATGGCTCTGTGGTGTGGTGTCAGCCCCCACTTGTTATAGCCTCTAACAGTAAGCTAGCAGCAGTGTCCGTAGACAAGCGAGGCGGACAGCGCAAAATGAATGCGGCCGCGTTAACAAAGTAATAAAGCGACCACCAGACGGACGCACTTTGCCCGTGTATCTCTTTTTTTTTTTTTTCTTATCTTCCTTCCCACACTGCCGTGCACCTCACTCAGAGTCCGAGTGACCGTCTGACTGGAGCGCGACGACCGTCAAACACAGTTCAACACAACCAACCGAACTCGATTCCCCTTCTCTGAGACTTTTCAGCTCTTTCACCCCGTACGTTCCGGTCCTGTCAAATTGTGCCGCGTGTGGCGTTGGGGGTTGAGGGTCAGGTCGGTTGGTTTTGCAGCGCTCGCTGGTGGTTGGTTGATTGACGGTGCCCCGAAAGCAGTAAAAGCTCTCATAGACGTGCTCTTTTTTCCGCCAAAGAGAAACAAAACACAGCGCAAAAAAAAAAAAAATTAAAAAAAAAAATCAGTGCCTCTCCGTTCTCCGAGTCTTGGCGTTGTTCGGGGTCCTTGGCATTTCGAGACGACGTAGTGTACAACAGAGAGGGGTTTAGGGTTGTTGCCCGTTGCAACGGCGACACCCCGGCTTGGTAGGGCTTGGCGTCAACGATGATTTAGGGGTCAAAGTGAGGTTGGTTCATTCCTGAGCAACTTTGACTTACACACATGAATGACCATGGAAACCTCATTGACCCGCAACGGCTGCTATCCAGTATCCAACCACCAAAAGAAAAAGAAAAGAATAAACGTGAGGAAGCTCTGCCCATATCATGTCGGATATATTCTACTCGAGGCAGTCCTGGCCTTCTTAGGGCTGTCTCAATACCTCCATGCTTTAAGAGGCCTGTTAAAGGTGGTGGTCAACAGTTAGGGCATGTTTATATTAGTCGTGGAATTTGGTGTTATGTTCGTTGTTAAGTTTACTGTCAACATGATAACCTGTTGCTGATATTGTACGTCAACCCAGATATTTCCCAATTTTTCTCCAAAGAATCAAAGAAAAAAAAGAAAAGTCATAATGAGTGTATCATTGATCGTAAAGTAAATTGATGTTGTCCAATTCTTACTCATTGTAGTCCGAATCACCAAGTGTCGTAAAACTATTCAGAGCTGTAGAGTGAAGTAGAGGAAAACAAGCAGAAGACAGGGCATATGCTTGACACCAAAAACTACCTCAACCGCGGAAATCCAGGAAACGCAACTATCTTTTCAATGAGGTGTTCTTCTTTCTTAATACTGGCACCATTTTGTCCTCTTTTTTTCTCCCCAAAGACTGGCGACAACTGCTTGCACCAGGCCACTCCTCCCGCAATCCTCTTTATTCTTCACTTCCACTCTTTGGCTCTCCAGCTCAAGTGATATTCATCTCCCATCATGTTCCCTTGGTTCTTGCTTTTCCTCTCCACTCCCTCCATGTCCTCCCTCAGTCCCTCCTCTCCTTTCTACCCTGCCCTTTCATTCCCTTCTTTCCCACCCTTTCCATGTCATCAATCGAGGAACCGAAGATGCCACCTCAATACTAGGGGGCAACACAAATAACCATCGGCGGCGCACCCGGAGCCGGAGCCGGCGCAGCTCCCACAACACTGCTATTCGGCAACACCGTTCCACCGGGCATGTACGCGTATCCATTGACGACCTGCGGAGCCAGCTGGACCTGCTGAGCCGGAACCGGGTAATAAGTGATCGGGCCGGGGGGCGGCGGCGGGGGAGGAGGTGGCTGGGGTGCAAAGCCGCCCGTTAGGTAGGTCGTGGTAGTGACGGTGTTGGTTAGGATCGGCATCGGCGGCGGCGGCGGAGGCGGAGGCGGAGGCGGAGGAGGAGCGTGGAAGAAAGTGGTGGTAGTTTGGGCGGTGTAGCCGCCACCGGGGAAAATGACATAAGGGGAGGCCATTGTGTAGATAATAGGCGGCTGCTGGTGAGCTGTTGTTGCACCTTGTGCACCTGCTGCTGCTCCGGCGCCTGCTCCGGCGGCTGCTCCGGCTGCGTCTCCGGCTGCTGAATGCCCCTGATTTCCGGAAGCACCTGTAGCTTCGTTGCTGTCGAGTTCGGACGGCGGGGGTGGTACGGGCTCGACCGGTGGGACAGATTTTTGTTCTTCTTCGCCGGCTTCGCCGGACATAGCGTCGATTTTGCTGTACAGGCAGTCAGAATGAGGGTGTGACAAGCTGGAGATAAAAATTGCAGGTAGGCAGCTGGGGGTTTTGTAGGAAATGGGAAGGGGTTCTTACCCTGAAGCGCAAACCGTTGCTGTTGCTAAGAAGGATCCCTTGGATGTGTCAGACAAAGGAAAGCAGGGCACTGGATGTGTAATCACAGGCGGCCAGGGAAGAAGTGGCTCGATTTGGTTTGTGAGTTTGGCATTCAAGGGTCAGCAGTTTCGGCTGTGCCTGAAATACTTGGAGAGGCAGCTGTCAGAGTCTTGGGACCGGGAAAGGATGGAAGTGACCCCAATCCCAACACTCCCGCGATACCTAGCTCCCGTCGTTTATGGCGGTGGATCATGATACCTTGACTCCGGCTACGTGTTACCCTTTGTTCCCCAGGGCATTATACTCAACGCTGGGATAATCGGGGTCTGGACTCGTCCTGCTTTTCTAGATGTGGGCCACTTATTTCCCATATTGCTCATTTTGGCCGCATCCCGTTTGTGTCCCTCCAGATTGGATGAAACCGTCAGGGTTTCCATGGAAATGTGTCACCGCTTCAATCTGGGACCGGTGACGTTCTGTGTCCAATCTTGATCAATCACCAGTGCTCTCCAACACTTCACAGAACGGTAGGATATGTGGACCGGAGTGAGTAATTCGAACTTTTGATGTGTAATTTGAGTCGTTGTGATATCGAATAGTGTGATCACATCAAACGGCCACATCCATTACCCCCAAACGTGCCGTCTCTGGTGGCCTGGTGTAGTCCCCATGCAGTAGGTCTCCACTCTACTTCCTCTCCTCAGCAAGCATCTTCTCCGCCGCCTTGGACAAATCCTTCAAGGCATCCTGACGCTTGTACTTGGCATCCTCGATCACACCTACGAGACAAGATGTTAGCAATTTGAAGAACCAGGAGTTATACGAGCATGAAGTGTGTGTTTGCTTACCCAAATCGGCATCACTCGAAAACCTGGTACTCCAACGGATAAAGGTGGTGTTGGCAAACTCGCCAGAAGTTACAGGCCAGAGGCGGATGGTATTGACGACGCTGGAGTAGCTCAGCTCAGGTTCGGCATTGATGACACTGAAGGTAATGAAGTGTTCGAGGTTCTACACATCATTGAACCAATTAGCAACCAAAGCTCGCTTTGGGAGGACATGGTTAGTTTCTTACGCTGTGCTCGTCCTGCTTGACCTCAATGACATTGCCGTCCTTGAAGGTCCACCTCACAATGTCGGTCTCCTCACTAGTGCCCTTGACATGCTCGGCCTTGGAGATGGCAGACCAGAACTTGTCGAACTCCTGGAGCTTGATGAAGTGCCACACAAACGAGAGAGGGGCCTTGATAACGGCACTCTCGACGACCTCGCCAATGAAGCTGAAGGGCTTGCCAGACATGGTTGGATGAAGGCGTATTTTGTTGACGGTTTTTGGTTCAATTGGTATCGTGTGTGGACTTTCGAGATGATGTGACGCTGGCTTTGAAGTTTCGTGTGTTTGCAAGCTTGAAGTACTACAGCAAAGTGGTGTTTGTTCTATAAAAGGACGAGGGAAAAACGGATATTTGGAGTAAGTTGGAGAAAATTCCAGACACGTAGATGGGCTCGATGCTCCAATACGTCATACGGAGATCACAGCGTAATGATAGGATGGCAATCGCGGGGTCTGGATGCGGTTTCCATTGAGACAACGCACTGCGACTTTCCCGTTTGCTTGTATAGAGATGACTGGGTATCCGCCTTCCCTTCGATAATCTTTTGTCTCGGGCAACTGCTGGATATTCACCTGGACACCTCATCTTTTCTTACCGACTATCTCGCGGTGGTGACTGCCTTCATTGGATGATCCATGTCTTATACCTACCCTACCTATGAATGCAGTGGTCTTGGCGACGGAAGCTAGATCTGCATATTCGATTGGACATCTCTTGGCATAACTACCTACCTATCATGTCTTTATTGCATGGTCATCACGGTGTTAAGAAGGCAACTCGGTCACTGGTCATATACTTGGGATTCACGGAGACGTATTCATATATGAAAAAGACCACAATGAACTGATTTCGAGGAATGTTCAATTCAACATAGGGTATAAGAGCGATCCATAAGGCATGCTGGAAAAGGAATACTGACAGAAATAGGAAGTTTCGCCATATCCCCGCTCACCCATGCTCAGAAACCCCAAGCCAGCCAAGAACTCCATTGTCCATACACCATTTATGTCCCAGAATCACAGCTCAGCCTTGCCCAAAGACTTCATAATAAAACCCATTGATCCTTCGTACAACTCCGATTCTCCAAATTCTCCCAACAATGCGGTCCCATAATCTCCCTGGGTCCTGCGATGAGTACATGCTTTTGTCCCGGTCTCCAGTCTCCTCCCAAGTCCCAATCCCACATCGCAATCCCTTAATGAACAAGTTTTACTAATTCAGCACAGATGTTTGTTTTCGGAGTCGACCAGCACTCGAGTTTCTTGTAGGTATCGGCAATGGGCTGCTTCCTGAACGTCCGTCCAACAACCATCGGCGATCAGATGTTTCCTAATCCGAGTCCTCCCAAAAGCTCCGCCAACCTTTTGTCGTTCTTCTCTTGGCCAAGACCACCATCTTGTTGGAAGAACTCATAGCGCGGCATCGAGACCGTCTCCTGGCAACACATACAGATCCAATGAATGGTACTTAGATCTGCCCCTCCCTCTCTGTTTTGGAAATTATGGGCGTCGACGCCGGGACGAGCCATGCACTTGGGACACGGCTTGTAGTCCCGCTCACCCAGACTGAAGCGGAACTGGACCCACTCGTTCATGCGACGAACTTGCTCAAGGAATTGGTCCGCCCTGAGCAGCCTGTGGCCGAAACATAGATCCGCCGTGACCAGTTTCTTGCAGGAGCATCGGAAAAGCTTCTTGGCTGTTCGAAACATACTGGGAGTATTGTCGGCAAGAGCTTGCGCCAGCGAGTCCGAAGTGGGAGGCGTCGCGACAGGGAATGATGTGTCGTCGTGGTAGCGCATCATGTTCTCGGTAATGGCTCCATGCTCATAACCTTTCTTGAGGTTCTCCAGGTGCTCCGGGTCCCGTCCCAGTGCCGCTTCGGCTTCGGCCCAGCGAGATTCCTGTTGTGCCTCCTGCGCCGAACAAGGCGCGCAAAGGAAGGCGCGCGATTTTGCGATCTGGTCGTTCGTGAACCATTCCGGTAGGCCGTTGAGCACTAGCAGTCTGCTTTGATCGCTGCAGTGACCGCACAACTTGTGTGGCTCGAGATGGGTACGGTCGGCGCATGTTCGTACCACTCCGTTGTGCGCCAGTTGGGGGTCTAGGGTACAAGGAGGGACCGTGGTAGCTGGGTCAACACGGGCATCTCTCACACAGAAGCCCAGGGCCGCATAGCCTGAGTACTTGACATGCTCGATAACGGGCGAGCTGCACTCGGTAAACCCTTGATGGGCGGGAAATACTCTTGGAAGAGCCAAAAGTGAAGAGATGGTCGGAAGTCCGATGAAGTCGTTGTTCCCGGGATAACAGAGACCTGCTGGGCGCGGAGGCATGGGGAGTTGAGGTTGGTAGTAGATCCTGGGCAATGTGTCGTATGTCTTTTTCTCAAAGCGTCTTCCTGAAAGCTCGTCGGTGGGAACGGTAAGGTTGTGTATGTCTGTGCCGTTGGATAGCTGCAACACGCCAGGTCGCGGGCAGCCCCTAGGTCGGCGTCTGAAATCGCGGCCAACCGACAGCTTGCTGAGGAGCTGGACGAGATCTTCGGGGGATGATGAGGGTCCCATGGTGTAGTCTGATGTGGAGCGTGATCACTTTGTGGTGTCTTGGGTGGTAGGTGGTCGTGTACAGGGTGGTACTTGATGGCGGTCTTGCTGGTTGCCAGTGAGTGGTTGGTCAAGTAGTTCTAGAAGGAAGAGATTTGTGAGGGCTTACCCTCTGGTGGGAGAAATTTAAGTACCATGGAGGAGGGAGTTGGCTGTCAGTGAACCTTGAGTTTATACATGTTCGCATACACAGTCGCAACTGAATAGCAAGGCCAAGGCTGACTTTGAGTCACTGTCATCTGAACAATGAGAAGAACAGCAATGTTGAACTGGGCTGTTCAGGACGACGACACCTTGATCCCTATATGACCACTGCGACGACATAAACATTCACCGAGCTCAGGAGCCGCTGATGGGTAGGAGAACAATGGCATTGTTCTTGCGGACAGGTTGGTGTAAGCCAAGGGTGTGAGCGAGGCCGGTCGTGCTTTGGACGTGGCCCATTCTCTGGTGAACATATCAACTATTCGAGAGGAAATAAAATGACCTTGGTTGACGCGGTAGGCTGAACACCTTGGCTGTATTTTGATAAAAACACCTAGCCGAGGGAACTCAATACCTCGGAAACGGAAAGATCAGCAAGATTCGGGGGAATAAGGATATATATAATATGCCAGCTAGGTACTTGACTCGATGAACAACTTGGCTGACTTCGTGTGGGTGGATTGTGCGAGCCATGCAAAACAAGACGCAAATGATAACCCATCTGTTCATTTGAATGGTGAATGGTACGTCTAGGGAGACGGAAACCACGGGCGTAATGTACAGGTGTCATCGCCAATTCCAGATGGAAGAATATACCATGACCCCTAACTGATGACAAAACAGTCATCGCTGAATGCGGACAATAGCTTGAATCATCAATTTGATGCGCTTTCGCCATCGCATTCACATCGTATTATATACTCTGTACACCATAGAGGCTGAAGGCGTGACATGTGGTTGGGGGGAGTTGACAAAACTCGGGGCATCGTTAGAGGTGCGCTTTCGGGAGGTATTTATTCGCTGTTCGAAGGCAAATAATGTGATGGAAGCCAAAGGAAGTGTACAAGATATGGCAACTTCTCCACAGTGCTATAGGTTTGCTTATGGTAATTTTCTGTATGAGCTTGATTGCTTATGCGCCAGGTGGTGTCGGCCGGCAAAACACTGCACAAACACACTGAGATGGCGAGCTTCCTCTCTTCCTCTCCACAGCAGGCTCACTCCATCTGTGCCATGCATATTCATCAGTGAAAGGTGATGATTCTACACTCTGGTTGTCTGAAGTTTGCCGGATGGATTGCTGAATGCTTGCCGTGGTTTCTGCCTTGACGAATAGCGGTGGCCCGTTCGCTGTCCCGTCTTCCCACACACAAAATATGAGCTGTTTCCTGTGCAACGACTTGACAATGGCATTGAAGTTGCTCACCAGTGTATTCAGTTGTTAGGCCAGATATTGTTTCAATAATGGGCTTCAATGTTCGAAATGAGTTTTATGACAACCTACCAAGGACTGTCTCGCTAATTATTCGTTGATTAAGTTGCTTATCAAGCCACAGATCTCAAACAATCTCGAAAAACATGACGCCATCTAGACACCACCTCAGCCTATAGACCACCCATCCGCATCCCGGAGCGGCCGACATTGGTGATGGCGCCCGTCCATGGCTATGGATTTTGCGATACCAGCATTAAGGGATCGGTATCCACTTCAGGAAACTGAATGGATCGCGGCATGGCGAGGTGTCAAATGACCCGACCCCATACCCAAAGCTTCCTGACCCAGTGGTCCGTACATTTACATAGAAAATTAGTCCGACCTACCAAAATGAAAAATTAACACAGTTACTACAAAACGTATTCGTACAGAATTACTTCAATAGTAATATTAAGTAAGATTATTTCTCCTTACAAGGCCGAAATATATTATTTGTAATCTCTTTTTGTATAATACTTCGGCGATATTATTATGGACAAAATCGAATTCAATACTATTAATACTTCTACTTATATAAGGAATAATATATACGTAGAAATTTCCCTGTAGAGAAAAATCCCTAATCGCCCGTAGAAAACTTTCCCTATAGAAAAATAATTATCTATAGAAGGACTTAATATTAATAAAGTGTTATAAATATAGCCGGGGATTAAATAATCTAAGGGTAATTTAATTTATCTTTAAATTATTTTTAATTTATTTTAATTATCCCTACTATTATTAATTTTAATACTTTAATTATAATTATTAGACTTAAATTTTAAATCAAGAAATTATAATCTTTATAAATTTACCTGTATTGTAATAGAATTCGTCCTAAATAATATAACCCTAACCTTTACTATTATTACTATAATAAATAGGGGGAGGGCTTATAATAAATTTATAATTAGTATAAACTCTATAAAATATATTTTGAAAATTTACAATTATATTTAACCGCCTTATATAACGTACAAATAAATAAAGTAGAAGAATATATATTATAATATTACTTATATATCTTTTTTATCTATTAAATATTAATTTAAAAATTATTAATAATATATTAAGGATATATTAAAGGTATAATTAGGAAATTTATATTCCTATTCTTCTAAAAGGATATTTATATTAAACTATCCGCCTTTTTCTCTGCCTTATTATTTTATTAATTCCTTTATACCCCTCTATTTTCAAATTCTAATTATAAATCTATTAAATCCGAATTTTCTTTATCTTCCTACTACTTCTCCTACTATATCTCCTATTCATCCTCCTACTATTTATCCTCTAATTATTTCTCTTATTTATCCTCCTACTATTTTTCTTATTTATTCTCCTACTATTTATCCTCCGGTTATTTCTCCTATTTATCCTCCTACTATTTTTCCTACTTATCCTCTTACTATTTATCCTCTAACTACTTTTCCTATTTATCCTCCTACTATTTCTCCTACTTATTTTCCTACTATTTATCCTCTAGTTATTTTTCCTATTTATCCTCCTACTATTTCTCCTATTTATCCTCCTACTATTTATCTTCTAATTACTTCTTTTATTTATCCTCCTATTATTTCTCCTACTTATCCTCCTATTACTCATCCTCTAGCTACTTCTCCTACTATATCTCTTACTTATCCTCCTACTATTTATCGTAAATTAAAAATAAATTTAATATATAGGTCTAGAGGGCATTTCTAACCCAAATAACTAAATCCGATTTTCTATTAAAATTTATTATTTTATATTTCTTAAAAATAACTAAGTACAAAGTTATTACGGGTAAAGGGTAGATAGTAGATGTGATTATGCGTAATTGCACGAAGGAGAAAGGAAGAGAAGTATAGCTGAATGCCTAGAAGGCTGGCCTTATAAAGGCAACTGGCGGCGGGTCTAATAGACCCGCGGTAGGTAGCGTTCTAACTAATCAATTACCGGTAATAATTGGTTTGCCGACGGTAATAATAGTGTACAGTAATCTTAGAAACTATTATACACTAGTACTAAACACAAGGCACATAGGCTAACCTTATAATATTTCCTTAGATTAAAAGAAGCTATATAACTAATTAATATTATATAAAATAATAGAAATCCCTATTAAATAAATAGTCTATTCTTAAAAAATCCTTACTATTGCTAATAATTATTATTATAATTTCCGCCGCGGAATTAGAGCCTCCCGCTTTACCTCCTTCTCCTTTTTCTTCCGCTTTTTCTCCGCTACTATCTAGGCCGGTAAGTATAGCACTTCTAAATATTTATTATAGAAAGCCCATACAATATCGGAAGTTATAAATACATTAGTGCGTAGTTACTATAATAGCGTATATAGAAGTGCCTAAATAATAAGGTATTCCTAATAACCCTTATTATTTTTCCGGCATCTATCAATCCTCTCGAATTTATATTCTACTGAATCCTTCTTATTATCGGTCCTCCTTATAATTCGGCTATAATTAGCACGAACATCCTATTCCTCTATATCCGTCTACCCTAAAAGACTTTACTCGTTCTATAATTTAATTTTACTAATATAGAATATTAAGCTATACTTTATATTAATTAGGAGCTTAAATATAATTCAATAGTTATCCGCTTTAATAATTTCAAATAATCCTTCGAAGAAGGGTATGAATTTAATATAAGGGTGGCCGGTATTAAAATTCTCAATATTAAGCAAGACCTTATCTCCCTTCTTATATTTTAGTGTATTGGTCTATTGGGTATTCGTATTATCTTCGTAGTACTACTATATTTACTAGGCTTAATTCGTAACGAAATTTAAAATTTATTTAAATTGGTTAATTAATTTATTAACTTTAAAATATTTAGTTTATTATACCGCCAATATCTCTAGCGGGCATAATTTAACCAGTTCGATACCTATATAAAGGTAAAAATTATAATTAATAAAGAAGGGGGAAATACTAGTAATTTTAAAAATTAAATTATTCCTAACGAACTTTACAATTAGTAACTAATTTATCTAATCGTCCTATACCCAATTAATATAAAAGTAAAGGTATTTCTTTATTTTAATATTAATATATTCAATCTAGTTATTAGTAATAGGGTAGAAAGCGGAGGAGGGTTTAAGGGCGACCTCTAATTATAATAATAAAGCTTTCTAAAACTATAAAATAAATTAAGTACTATAGTTAGAGATAATAGAGTCCGGTAGGTTGTAAATACTATAGATTTTTTCTATAAAGCGTTTTATTAATTCTTCTACTATTAAACCTACAATAGGGATATAATACTATATTTTAATAAGCCGATTAATAATAATAGTAATGTGTTTAAATTCCTGTCCGCAGTGTAGGCAAGGCGTAAATAGGGTAATATAATCGACTAAAATGTTCTTTTATAGTATGAATAGTATTGCTAATAGTTTTAAAAAACCGTAGGGGGGGTATTGTAATAATTTGGATTTAGTATATACTAAATAAGCTTTATAGTACGACTAGATTGTAATATATATTCCTAGTTAAAAGAAGGATCGAGATAGTAATAAGTAGGTTTTTTTACGATTTAAATACCCGGCGGTTAGTAAATTATAAATATATCGGAAGAGCGAGAGATAGAGTTCTATATTAGTAGGATTAATAAGGATAGTACTACAAAAGTACGCTCGTCCTTAAATTATTCGGCATTTAACGAAGGGGACCTGTTTTATATAGTCTTTAATTTCC